AAGATCTACTGCCTGCACGGTGCACCCGATAATATCGTATCCGATAAAGGCTCACAATTCGTCTTTGAGTTTTGGAAGCATTTATCCGAACGATTATTAATTGCCTTGGAACGATCTTCTTCATTCCACCCCAAGTCCGACGATCAGATAGAAAGGATCAATGCTATAGTCGAGCAATATCTTCAAGCCTTTATAAACTTCCATCAAAATGATTAGCCTGATTAGCTTCCAATCGCAGAATTTGCATTGAACAATACCACATCGGAAACCACCGGCATCTCCCCATTCTTCGCGAACTACGGTTTCCACCCACATCTCGGTATCGAGCCATCCACACCTGTCCCATCGAACCTGTTATATCAAAGAAAACGAGAGTTCCTTAAAGCCAACGAGATTGCAGATCGATTTGATCTCATCTTAACTAAATTGAAAGCACTTGCAGCCCAATCGATCCAAAGATACGAGGACTATGCCAACAAAACCTGCTCGGATGCCCCTTTGTATAAGGAAGGTGATAAAGTATGGGTAAGCACAAAGAACATGAAAACCAATCGTCCGATGAAAAAGGGTTATGACAAATGGGATGGCCCCTATAAGGTTCTCAAAGTTTACAAACGTGCTTGCCTGTTCCAACACCCAGCTAGTTTTAAGATCTTCCCAGTATTCCACAACTCACTGCTCCGACCGCTCCACCGCTCACCGGGATTACCAGGCCAAGACATCATAAACGTTACCGAATCACGCAGGAACCAAGGCCAAGTCCTCGAAAGGGATGACGAAACACACGAAGAAACTGAACGATGAGAATTCGAAGAAACCCTCGATTGCCACAATGAGGACGGATTTCACTATCAAGTTAAATGGAAACACCATCCAGCATCTTGGCAACCCGCTGAAGACCTTCGCGGCCAGAAAAACGTGATCATTGCCTTCCATCTAGCGAACTCAGACAAGCCAGACCTGCCCGCCTGGGTAGGTTTCAAAAGACCTATTACTCCTGATCGTATTGATCCTCCACCAGTACCTGCACCAAACGCAACCCCGAAACGAGGCCGAGGCAGACCTAAAAAGCTCCGTCAATTAACTACTATTCCTAAGAAGGTTCATTTTAATCCAATGGTGGGAATTAGAGTATTCTAGTGTTATTTTGTTACCTCAGGTTAATTTGTATTGCGATCGTGGACCGATCGCCTTGAGCGGAGGGTACTGTCACGGCGCCAACTACATGTTCTGTAGTTGCCTTCGTGCCCTACCTCCTGTAAGCAGGGCCTCACTCTTCCATAGCTCTTCTACCCTTATGGTACAATATACGTCTTTACCCGTACCTTGATAATATAGTAAAATTTTATAGAGATATAATTTTTTTAATAAAGATATTAAAGTTTCTTTCAAATTTTCGGTTTTGCTTAACAAAAATTACTATGGGGATTTCTAAAATCGTATTAATTTAAGAACAATATTATTAAAAAGTGTTTTGTAACTTTAATATTATATTTTTATTAGATATTAAGCCTAATTATCAAAAAAATTTAAATTATCTTTAATATTCATAGAGATATAAAAAGTCGCTCTAAGTACCTTTACATACAAAGTTTGGTGTAAAAGTACCTGTCCGAGTTCCCCATATGTCCGAGTTCCCCATACGTTACGTTATATTAGATTATAATATTAAAATTAATAAAAATAATAATAAAAAAAGCTGAGGATGGATTTGAAAACGAAATTGGGGATTGTATTATAATTAATTGTTGAATAATATAAGTTTTAGTTAAGTAGCCCCTTGTATTTATGGTATCTACGCCATTATGGTACTTACACCACGACTTACGTTGCTCTCGCAGTTCTTCTAAGGCAAAGTGTCACATAGAAAAGAATCAATTATCGTAACTAGAGAATCACAAACTACTGTACAAAGAGTGCGCCTAAGGAGAGCTTTTATAGATCCTATCAGATAGGACTGTCATGATACGGGTAAAGACTTATATTGTACTATAAGGGTAGAAGAGCTATGGAAGATTGAAGCCCTAGTTGTCGATGCCTGAGGCACAAAGGCAACTACAGAACATGAAGTTGGCGCCGTGACAAGGACCAAGATAGAACCAAGAATAGGCAAAATGGTTTGCCCTACCTGGTGGGCAAATGAGTGACTAATCAGGGCTTAAGGCCGAATCATCACATCTTAGAATTCAAAACTAAAGGAGGAAGAAAAGAACAAGAAGAAAACTGTAAGAGCTGCGGACTATATACACCAGTGAGTCACGTGTTACGCTAAGGTCCTAGAAGCTAGATGACTAAGGGGACCCGAAAGGGACCGAATCGTCACATACAGCATATAGAACAATGTCAAATAGGAAGATATGATTTTTGTGATCTATATTATAACATAATCTAATTCTAGTCAAGTTACGTTATAGAAAATAAATAAATGAGAGTATTTTCTATTACTGTTCAAATGCGAGTCAAAAATTGACCTCAAAACTCCAACGCTATTGTCACGGGCTCAAAAGCGTAGTCTTGTTGGTGCCTTAGGCATTCACGCCCTATATAGTCAGCGCTCATCCAGTGCCTTCTTTCATCCTTGTAGAATGCCATACATCTTACCTAGAACCTATTTCCTGCTCTGTGATAGCTATCTGAACACTCGATATTGACATTCAAAACCAATGTATATATCCAGATTAATATGTAAATATTGGTAGCTTATTTCTTCGCTTGAGAGTTTGTGACAGGCTGAATGAAAATTAATGTGGGGTCTTGTTCTATTCTCCAATGAGTCTTCAAGCATCTCGCTTAGACGGGTATCAATCCGGCTCCGCCATGTATAAAGAATTGAGATCAAGGAATCGAAGATTGGTTCTGGAAACATGGGAGTTTTTAGGAGATGAAGTCCAATCAGCGATGAAATGAATGGGAGTTTGGAGTAAATGAGATTTTATCGGTCATGATGCTCCGATGAGATATGCAACAAAGTGGTTTTGACAGACGATGATCAGCAGGGTGCTGAGATTCTTACTTGAGAAGACCCGTGAAGAGTATTGTAATTGATTTTCAGGCCAGGAATCATAGAAGAAGGAAATCAAGATAATTTTGAATTGGTGAGAACGCGATCTATTATGATCCGCAGCATCTTTCACAGTTACTAGCAATCGAAGATCAATTTGAGTGTGAGACATTTTTATTACCCACTCAGTTGAAGTCTCTTTCCACACCGAACTAGATTTACTCTAACTGATTTGACCTACGAAAACCTGGAGCAGTTTGCTGAGCATAGTTCGATTAGTACAAGGCATTCAAATTTGGTAAGTCCTAAATTATAGTAGTGACGTCACCATTGATTATATTATCAACATAATATCAAATTGATTCAAAGTAAGAATAGAAGCAAATAAAAGCACATGGAAGATTACAAATAAATTGATTTTAGCTTACTTGATTGAATTTTCGTTTTTATTCTGTAAGATTCGGTTTTAGACGATCCTATTTATAAACATAGGATATCCTTGGAAGAAGACCTAGAAAAATTAAGTGAAAAAGGGTTTGATGTTAAGGATTATGAGATTATACCATCTAAGCTTCGGGTTGAGATATTAGAGTAGGAGTTTGATAGTACTAAATCCACCGAGAGAAGGAAGATAAAGACAAGCCTAAGTTTATTTTTATTTTTATTTATTTATATTAATTAACGTCTGTTTTGGACCTCCCTAAGGGTATTTAGACGTGCTAAGATAAGGAACTATTTGAGCGGCGTGATCGTCGCGACCGAATTTAGCAATTTAACTTCAATGCCAGGGGCTATTCGCTCCTCTGCGGGTGCGATCCGCTTCTGTTTCCAGAAGGGAACGTCTGATCCGGGTTGTTGTTGAGGCAGAGCTTGGTTCCCGGGTGGATAGGCTCGTTGTGGGCTTCGATCCCTATGGTAGAGGAGAAGAAGCGAGAGTGGGTTGCTATTTGTTTAGCCGAGCAGCAGGGCTCTTGTGTTATATATTGGGTTTGCGGTTTTTTAGGGTGTAGTGTATTCGAGTGATCAGTTGAGTGATGAGTTTATAAGGGATGGGCAGCAAGCTTTGTTGAAAAGATGAAAGCCTAAGTTTAAAATTTACAGAAATTAGAGTTATTCAAGAAGCACATATTGAAGCTAGAGATTGTGGAACTGATAAATGTAAATCTTCAAGTAATACAGAAAGCGATTCTATAGGGAATCCTATAGAAGCTCGACAATGATGAAATTATTAAGGATCTAAATCTCTACGTTGATTCTCTTGAGGTAGTTGTAACAAAACGTAGTTGTAAGTTGGGGTATGCAACTTAATTAGGTATCAAAATTGAGGTTAAGGTTAGTTGTCTCTTCTTCTTGACAGGCTTGGCTTGTAGCAATGTGAAAGACGGCAGCGACAACATGGTTACTAGACCCTATGAGGAGGGTGTTTTAGAGTGAGAATTATAATGAGTTTGTTGCAATCACAATGTCTACAAAAGTAGAAATTGGAAGTGCATGTGCACTGATAGCACTAAGTATTGAGCCTGAGGATTCAAGGCCCCACTAATTATGTGATATAATAGCTATAAATCCAACATAATATTGAAGTTCTTTTATCATTCTTCTTATTGATATTTGAACAATTTCTATCATACTCGTATCAACTCGTCAAGTAATCAAAGATGCACCACATTTCTAACCGTTTAATCAGAAAGTCACTATCTACATTTTCAAGCCGTAGGAATTATATATATACTATAAAGGTATCACCCTATAGGAAATATTGAGAAAGAAGAAAAGGGAGAAAGGAGAGGACAATAGCAAGTACATATCTCAACTCGCCACACAACAAATCACTGATTATAAGACCCCGCATATTTGAATTCTGTTATCTTGAAGCATCTAGAGTCATCCCATCTATTCCCAAAGAAATATTTACATCATCAATTACGAACCGCAACCGATCACAAAAACGAATTGCCCACTTCTCAATACTCATACGATATAAAAAGCAATAGACACAATGAATACCTCCGGTCTTGCTAGCTCTACCGACCACCCCTTGAATACAGTAGAGGATCTCGATTACAATCAGGGCGGCTATCACCCCGTACACCTTGGTGATTCTTTTGATAATAATCGTTATCATGTCATACACAAACTGGGATATGGAGGATACGCAACCGTTTGGCTGGCCCGAGATAAAAAGAGACACAGATACGTAGCATTAAAAATTCTCACAGCAAGGGCATCATATTATTCGCCTGAGGTCAATATGACACGCCTGATGAGACATAGGTAAGCCATATCACTTAGCCTCTACAGTTAACAAACTCACCTCTTTGCCTCAGCCCAGATCATCAAGAAAAAGCCAATATCAACTTGCTTCTGAATAGCTTCCTTCACACTGGACCGAACGGAAACCACCTATGCTTAACCTCGCCCGTTCGCGGCCCCAGTCTCAGAAATTTCACCACCTTGACCTGCCAACAACACAATGAAGGAGAACGAATGGAAAAATCGATAGCGAGGAGCGTCTCCTCGCAAGTGGCACATAGTGTAGCCTACCTCCATCATAACAATATCATTCACGGAGGTAACGCAGCCCGCCCAGCCTCATTTTTAATCTTCATCGTCTCCATCATCTCGCAACTAACCCACTTCCTCCGTATAGATCTTACATCTGCGAACATCCTGCTTGAGATTGCCAATATGGATGACTGGACAGAGCAAGAAGTTTACCAAAGGCTGGGTAATCCTTGCAAGCAAGAACTTTCCCACGCCGATTTACTTCATGCCAATCTTGATACGTCCGTATCAACCTTCCCCAAGTACACTGTCGCCAGTATTAACATGCTAAACGTATCTCCCGCGTGGCTCTCGCCCAATGCTACAATCATAGACTTTGGTATCGCCCTCCGCCACGGAACCTCATCTTTGGAGATAGGTACGCCCAGAAGCTACTGCGCTCCCGAACTGCTCTTTCACTCATCCCGAAGTAAGGCATCCGATATCTGGGCTTTGGGATGCCTGATCTTCGAGGTCCACACCGGGTGTTCATTGTTTGCTTTCAGCAGGTATACACCGAGAAGTAAGATGGTGCAAACTTGGGTAGAGACTTTGGGAGGCCACTTCCCGTACGAGTGGCAATCAACACTCAGTCTATGTGATGCGCATTCTGAAAGCATGGGAGAGCCAAAGAATCTTCTCCTACAGCGAATTATGAATATAGGACCACAAGATGATGAAACTGCCCCCATATCTCCCTCCGCAAGCCAAAGCAATCGGGCGAGCATAGGTACGCACGCACAAACATATTGTCCCCAGTGACCGCCCACTAACAACAGTTCTTCCACGACAAACAGATCAACTCGTGTCAATGGCGATGGGTCTCACTACCAGCGAAGCCGATGAGGTACTGAGGTTAGCACAGCTTTCTAATCAGAACAGTTTGGATTGCAATATCCCTGGGCGTGAAAGCAGTGCTCAAAGCTCAGAATGGTCTATCCCTTCCGGGCAGAGCTTGACCCACCTTGTTAAAGTGCAATCTTCAATGATACAAGCCAACACTCACCATTCAAGCGTAACGACCCTTCCAACTCTCCATCAATCCCCAATCCAAGGTGTGCCGCCTCCCGCCCCTAACGTCATTTGGCAGTACAGTCCCTACAACAATCAAAAAATTATTGACTCTAAAGACTTGAAGATTTCCGTTGATGAAGCTGTGTCCCTGGAAGGTTTAATACGAAGCTGTTTGGAGTATCGACCAGAAGATCGAATTCTGGCTTCTGAAATAACCAAACATGTCTGGTTCTCCAACATCTTCTCAATAACATCAGATTCTACCACATAGCACTGTAAGTTTGATACTACTCAGATTCAAACATACAAAAGGTTTCATTATTATTAAAAACACTACATATTTGGACAAGGAAGGACGGTACAAGTTTTGTTTGCTTCGAAAGGGCCCTAGCATGGATCAACTTAACCTCGCAGGCGATATCGATCTCATACATTCTGATACAGAGGATTTTATTTTCCATTAACATTCCAATCTCATCTTAAAGAAAAAATAAAATACAATTTAAATGTTATGGTGTGGAATCACGTAATATCTTGGTTCTATCGGATAGGACCGAATTGGGCGTTTGCGCTGGTGTGTAAGTAAGCTAGAGTCCGATTGGGCTAGTTCGTTTGTGAAAATTCTGTATAACCGATATCCCTAATACGTGCACGTCCCTTTTACGTGCACGATTTCAATAACATCGACATCATGACTTCAGATATCGATGATATGCCTACAGAGGCTCGTATAGAGCTCGCATTGGATCATTTGAAAGGGGTTCGAGCCCCTAATTACACTGAAATAGCGAATTTATTTAAAATCGATCGATCTACGCTCTCCCGGCGACATAGAGGCAAATCCACCTCGAGAAAGCAGTTCCTCTCCGATACGCGACAAGCGCTTTCTAATGATCAAGAAGAGGTTTTAATTGATCAAATCAACAAGCTGACTCAAAGATCTATCCCTCCTACAAGCTGCATAGTTAGAAACCTTGCAGAAGAGATCGCAGGCAAGGCAGTAGGGAAGAACTGGACTAGCAATTTTGTGAAGAGACATTCGACGCGTCTTAAAAGTCGGTATCTCCGTTGCATTGACAATTTGCGCGTGAAAGCTGATAATGTCGCTATGTTTGATTACTTCTATGATCTGGTTCGAGCAATTTTCTATTGTTGTTGATTTTTATGACCTAAAATGCTCTTGCTAATGCCCCTCTTTTCATTTTAGTTGATAAAAGTGATCATAAAATACGATATCAAGACGAAAAACATATACAATTGGGACGAGAAGGGCTTTCTGATTGGCATGGAGAGGACTATGAAGCGGATAATGAGTGCTAGTGCCTATAATAGAGGCAGAGTGACGAAAGCTAGCCAAGACGGATCAGGAGAGTTTATTACCTTATCAGCCGCTATATGTGCTGATGGAACAGCTCTTCCTCCTGCTCTTATATATAAAGGAGAGTCTGGGGATCTACAAGACACATGGGTTCAGGATGTAGGGGAGAAAGATAAAGCTTATTTCGGAGCTTCAAGCAATGGGTGGTCGTCGAATGCTTTTGGCCTATATTGGCTTATAAATGTATTTGACTCTGCTACACGCTGTAAAGCAGGTGGAAAGTACCGTCTACTGATCGTAGATGGTCATTCTAGTCACGTCAATATGGAATTCCTTTCGAAATGCGACGAATTAAAGATTATCGTCTTAATTCTCCCCCCCCCCCCCCCCCCCCCCCATTCTACGCATCGCTTACAGCCTCTCGACGTCGGAACCTTCGGTGCTCTTGCGACGAATTATAGTACAGTATTGAATGATTTAATGCACAATAGCAGTGGTATTGTTGGTGTGACTAAACGCATGTTCTGGGGCTTATTCAAAGAGGCTTGGGGGCGGACCTGTACGAGGCATAATATACTACGATCCTTCGAAAAAACGGGCATACACCCTATCAATAGAGCTCTCACGATCGATGCTATTGCTCCAGAGGCTTCTAATACGCCACTTACGTCGTTTAAAACACGCAGGGATGCTCTTGCTACACCATATACGTCAAAAGCGATGCGTAGAATGAAATTGGAATTTCGACGAGCTCCCTCCCATGAGATCACTATGAAGCTTTTCAAAGCCGCAACTACATTAGGAGCTGAAGCTAGCATACAGGGGCATAGATCTAAAGGGTTAGAACAAGCTCTGAAGATTGAAAAGAGAAAGAGGGCTCGTTCAAAGCGTTTAAATCTTATTGGAGAGGAGGGAGGTGGGGCCTTTTTATGGTCACCTTCTCATATTATTAAAGCTAGGACATATCAAGCAGATAAGGTGCTTCAAGAAGAGCAGGAGAAGGAATATAAGCTTCGAATAAGAGCTGAAAAGAAAGCCGAAAAGGATAGGAAGGCTGTAGAGACGAAAGAGAGGGTATTGCAGAGGGAGGTTGATCGTCAAATAGCATGTTACGGGAGCTGCCTCTAGGTCACGTGGAAGTGGCTAGAGATCTCTCGAGGTGGTTTAGACTAGACTTCAAGTAGGAATTCGATAAGGTGGTAACTGATTGCAATTCTCGTAACTATAGTAATGAAACTAATGATTGTTCTTGAGCACGAAGCTCTACATGTAATGAAACCCATTCCCTTATATAGATCTTCGTCTTACTTGGACAGCTGGGACAGCCGGTCGCTCCTGGAGCGCTGTCGTTCCTGAGCTGTCCATCACGGGACACTAATCCCGTGACTCTTGGTATCCTAGCTTATTCTTTTGTCCTGGGGCTAATCCCCTGGAACATTACTAATCCTTAGTGAAGCCTCTTGCTTACTGTGTTCTGTCTTTCCTAGGACCTACTGTCCTGGGAACTATGTTCTAGGTTTCTAGGGTATCCTATGACTAATACTATATATATGCCTGAGGCTTTCCTTGGGTGCCTAGTGTCCCCTAGTATACTGCAGCTGAATCACTGAGGCCTATAATACCATTATAGCCTATACGTTGGTGATTCTACTGTTACGATGGATCAAGTAACAGGCTGTAGAATCACCAACTTATAGGCTATAATGGTATTATAGGTCTCAGTGATTCAGCTGCAGTATACCAGGGGTCACGGGACAAAGGTCATGTGACGCGTCGAAGATCGAAATCGATCTTCGACGAGATCGATCGTCGAAGTCGATATTCGATCAGGAGCAAGAAGGTCTATATAAGGGAATGGGTTTCTTTACATGTAGAGCTTCGTGCTCAAGACAATCATTAGTTTTATTACTATAGTTACGAGAATTGCAACCAGTTACAACCTTATCGAATTCCTACTTGAAGTCTAGTCTAAACCACCTCGAGAGATCTCTAGCCACTTCCACGTGACCTAGAGGCAGCTCCCGTAACACTTTGATATATTATGTTATAATATCTTTAAAAAACCTTAATTCTTTTACAATTTCATATAAAGACTTATACTTTCTATTTTGAATTCCTAATACTGCTTCAACAAATCGAGATTCCATTTCCTATACTTTTAAACTTTTTCAACGGACTATTATTGAATTGTTGCTTTTTGATGGGGTGGTCCCCCACAATTAGACGCATTAAGTCCACACCCCCACATATCGGACACCCCCACATTTCGGACACTTCAAAAACTGAATTTATATACATTTCAAACTTCAATTATTCAACAAGCCTTGAACTTCAATACAATTGCCTGTAGAATCATTATCTATAGTAGTAGAGGATTCATTTCCATCAATTTCATAATCTCCAACTTCAATTTGAGCCTCTTTTATAGCTTTAATCCCTACAAACTTCGAATTTGGAGACATTCGAACTTTACATCTTTTTCTGGGAGCAAATTGATCCAATCGATATTCTAACTTCCTGATCCTATTCTCCATCTCTAAGAGTTTATAATCCTTGATATCGAATCCCTTTGTAATCTTGCGAAATAAGAATCGTTGTGTTGCTAAATTCAGGGTTTTATTCTGAATTATTGTATCTTTATATTTTTGGATATCAGATGCTTTATAAGGAGTTTCCCATAAAACAAAAGATGATTCTATATCCAATTGAATCAGAGGATTATAATTAACCTCAGAATTGGATAGTAGAACTTCGTTATTACTGTTTTTGAGTAGAAGTCGACTCATAAGAGGTTTAGTTATATTCTTAGGCCAAAGACCGCTAGCTTTCCATCCAGCTGTAATATTTTGAAGTGTTAAACCTTCTATTCTGGCTTTCTGATAGCAGGAAAGAAAGTTTCGCTTTCCAATTGGTGTAGAATCTGATAATAGATCTAATTGATTGAGTTTCTTTTATCACTATAAATAAATAAATAAATAAATAATGATTGAGTTTCTTTCGATATGCGTTTTTCAAAGACGAGAACACTGATAATCGAGTGGTTGTAGTACATGTGACGTATGCGGTGGTAGAAACAAGAGATATATCTTATTAATGAAGCATTCTAACATGAATTCTGTAGTTTCATGGCTTCCGTGTCCGTCCAAAATAAGGAGTCTCCATTCTTCAGGATTGGAGGGGGCACTTTGAGGGATAAACACCTTTTTTAGCCACTCTAAAGCTGTACTGTTCGTAGTCCATCCATTTTCTGTAGCAGTAAATTGCCAGTTCTTATGCAGAGTGAGATCTGTAGGAAACCATTGTTGTTGTACTGATTTCCCTTTATATATAACGAGTGGATTAAGTGCTTTTCCAATAGCTGAAATGCATTCGATAAAAGACGTCCAAACTTTCGAACCAGGTTGCTTTTTCTGAATAAATCTTCGACTAGTACTCCCTACTACTAGTCCATTAAGTCCCTGACCCTCCATAATCCCTGCTTCATCCATATTCCATCTGTTTTCTGGCTTAATAGCCTTGATTTCAGGAATTAAGAGATATTGGAACCACTTCTTGATAATATCAGATGTAGCACCAAAGACTCGTGCAGAATCGACACAATATGACCTTTTGGTTCCAATAAAAGGATTCCGTTTGAAAAAGCTCTTTATCCATCTTTTTCCAACTAGTGAATCCTCTCCTCGTATAATGAGAAGGTGATTCGCTATATCTCTTATTTGCTGATGTGTTATACTAGTACCAAGAGATTCCTGTACTAATATCCAGTTTGCTAATAGTTCCTCTTGAATCGGAGCTATCTTTTACTGGCTTTGGGCACTTTCTTGATGCGATATACCACCATATATACGATTGTGAAGTGTACTACATGATACACCATAATCCAAGCTAGCCTTCCTGATACTAGCTCCATTTACTATCGCTCTAAGCGCTTCCTGAAGATCATCTTCGAGGTAATCATTTTTCATTATATGAATATAATAATTTCAGAATTTCGAATCAATTGATCAAAGAATTGTAGAGTTATTGAAGCTCTAAATATAATAATGACTCAAAGCGGGGTGATTTTTGACGTGTCCGAAATGTGGGGGTGTCCGATATGTGGGGGTGTGGACTTACGCCATGACTTACGTTACAGAATCATCCGTTCAAATAATCAACAATTCAGGAAATTAACCATAGATTGAAATGGAATAGAAAGAAATGAGATAATTTCTAAGCGGCATGCATTCTAGACACAATGGTGAAAAGTTGGTTTTCAAAGAAGATGAGTTGAATTACGTCTGGCTCTTGAAAATAGTCTATCTCGAAGCTAAGATGTTGAATTCCTAGCTGTACCTCCACCCCCACCCCTTCCTCATTATGGAACCCTTCATTCTCTGACTGATATACAAATATGTTTTAAAATCATTCTGCTCCATGATGCAACTCTCGAAATCTTTTCCACGTCTCTAATCTCCGCGCACGGCAAATGAGCTTTTGAAGCCCTTATCAACCCCTCCCAATAACTTTTGTAACATTCTTGAAAGAGTGAAAATCAAGGTGTTGTGTCGGCAGGGATAGAAAGAGGAGAGACTTCGAGTGTTTTTAGTTGCATGATAAGCTTCTGGTAAAGAACACATCTCTCAGGTTGTACTGGTTCGAATACCAAGAAGAAGTCCTTACTGGAGGGAAGTTCTTCGAAAAATTGAGTGAAGCCGTCTTCTTGCTCGTAGCGATAGAGTGACACCACAATCATCTCGTCGCCTCTGAGCTCGATAAACTCTTTCTTTGGAAAGCCAGATCTGTGATCATTGAGAGTTGATATAGAGGCTAGGCTTAAAATTTGTGTCGAAGAGGAGGAATCGAATTAGAACAAGAATAGTCTTATCGTGGGAGGAGTCATTTTGTGTGATGTATTCCCCCAATTTTGGTGGAGGTAGTTGAAAAATGATTGATTCTTAATGAAATTCAGCGGTCCCGGGCACTTGCCGTCTCTTATATCTTTACTTCCACTCAGGCAAAGCTGTATGACAAGGTTTGTGAGCAACATGAGTGACGGACAGATTGAAGTAATGTCTAAAGGGGGTATCAAAAAACTCCTGACATCTCAAGGTACTGACATCGAGATAGATAATCCCTGCCGCTTGTATCTGGACATGGTACTCAAGAGGCCATCAATGTAGACACCCTCTCTTCCTGGCTCATGATTATAGGACTCGTAATCTGATAGGTGTGTTCTTTTCTTTTCTTAAGACTGAACGCAAATTACATGAATCAAATAGTTGCTAGGATCAATTTCTTTGAATGTTACAACGAAAGCATGCATATGCTATCTCTACCTACCCCTAAACAATAAGTCTGCACTATGATACGAGTACGGATGAGAAATATTTTCCATGCAATCATTTATCGATGGGTAGAGTTTCCGCTTTGCTAGGAGATTCATGGTCTAATTATACATGGTGATAACAAGTGGGCACGGTAAATCGATCAGAAGACTATTTGAGAACATAAAGCTAAACGAGGTTCAGATGATGTATATCGTTAGAAAATTTGAAGGGTGGAGGTTGTGAGTTTGGGAGCCCATATTGTTGATGATACATTGATTTGTAACATAAATTTTGGACGAGACTAATCATGTGATAGCAATTGTTCATATGAGGAACGTTGAGAAGACTGGGGGTGGATGTGAGGCTTGGATTATTGCTGTAGTATAGGTAGGATCATTCATCGTGTGAATTTTTGGATTAAAAGGGCGGTTAGGGACAAAACAGCACGAAGGCACGCAAGCAATTAATCGAAAAACAGTACAAGATGCGACGAAGGAGAATGTGAGGCGGGTGAGATGAGAAGAAAATGCATTGGTTACATCGTTAACCAAGATTCTTCTCAAACATCCCGGATTTTGCCTTGAAATAGTTACCTCTGCATGATAATGCAGAATACGTAGTGTAATTCAGCAGTCTGAGGGGGAGGTAGAACATTAATCTGCATCAGGGGAATTCACCTGCCTGAAAAGGAGATAATCTTTCTTCTCAACGCTAACTGGTTGTCTCATCACGCAAGCTCTCTCATGAATCGCATCCTTAATACACTGAAAAATCATTCGCCGTTTCTTGCTGTCAAATGCAGAATCCTTGATACATCTTGGAGAAAGTGGGAATGGAGACAAGCTGTGACGACCAAGAGACTAGTGATAGGGCACATCAAGGATACACTAAACCCATTTAATAGATACGCTGGATATTTCAATCATTTTGATTTTTTTTTAGGAAGACTTACTGAAAGAGCTAGTCTCTTTCGCATTCGCTTAGGGCTTTAGTACAGTACAATAGTCATTGAATTGAAGTCATTCACTTCGTTCACACAATTATATTATTGAACAACAATCCCAAGATTTTCGCACATTCGATTATCTACTTTATATTTGTTGCTTGTACGATTTCACTTTGCGTAGACTCGTATAATAAATAGCATACTTTCTAAGTCCTTCTTTCATATACTTCTGACCTCTGCCCGCTCTTCTCAAGACGAAGCGTTATCTGAAATCTTCAAAAATTGTTACAATGCAGTTTAGGTTTCATTTGACATCGGATGCTGCGGAGTATTGCACACGCGCATCAAATACCATTCAAGATGCCAAGAAACAGAATCTCAACCCATTTGCTTCTTCTGTTGGCATGGTATTAGCTGACTTCAAACAACTCAACACAATCGAGGATGTGATGGCTATTACCCTCTTTCTCATGATACAACACGATCTCGAGCCTGATTGTGTAGCCAAAATTCTGAGAAGCTCCATATCTGAGGACCTTCAAGATATATCCTCCGTGTCCAGTATCGTCCGTCTTTACAACCAGGAACAAGAATTTCAAACACATTCTTTAGAAGACTTTCTACATATATGGTTGCAATCCGTTCCCAAATTGTCGTCACTCAAAACGACTCCTTCACCTTCATTTCCACATCAACTTCCACAACTTGCACTTCCACAACTTGCATTTCCACATCAACTTGCATTTCCACATCAACTTGCACATCAACTTCCACATCAACTTGCATTTCCACATCAACCTGCACATCAACTTCCACAACTTGCATTTCCACATCAACTTACAGGAAAGGTCACTCATTACACTGAGGGTGATATTCCTGTTCCACAAACACATACGTGTGATGATACAAAGGGATACTTGGCTCGTTACCAACGCTTTTTTGGGAAGAACTTAGATCTGGTTCCGCACGAGTACGAGGAACATCCTGACTTGTGGTTCCCAATCGATCATGACTCCAATCTCAAGTCCCTCAGCGGTCTACTAGCAGTTATACCACCTGAAGTACAAACTCTTATAAACATTCAGCCCCTGCCTGGATATCTCGGCAAATCCATCACGATTGATAGATGCGCTTTTCTAACAACATGCAATTTACAACTGGAAAATGATATACACTTTCCTAAAAAGGAGTTATTGACCGATATCATACGCAGAACAAGTTTAAGCTTCTTGGAAGACATGATGGAATTGGACAGAGGAGTCACTACAACAGATATGACTCTTGCTTACCTTCAGACTTTCTTCAATTGTGATGTTTTTTATACTAATTATAGGATTAGAGACACAGTAATGTACTCTGGAATGTTGAGAGGGATTTGGGCAGGGCCAAATGGTACGGTATTCTTGGATATCAAGGGCAGATTTTTCCACGGACAATGGCACCAGCTATATGATTTTAAAAATGGTTGGAATCTTCAGGACTCTACGAATCAACATTGAAAGTCTCATAGGATATTATTAGTGTGCTGGGTTCTTGTTCATTAGAGATCATTCAACATTGTTCTCAGATTTTATACTTGAGGAGTAACCCTCGAAGCTTTTGTATTTAAATTGTTTAGCATATGATTTAAGCCATTTGGCGTTAAATTATCTCTAGTTATCTTTCATGCTTTTCAAATTCTCCCAAGAAGAACAGTGACCATCAAAAGTGTGAGAAGGCATCAAAATTGTTGGTATCACCATGGAGATGGTGAAGTCAATATAGTAAGATTACTAAGATTAGGACTACGACGAAAGGCGCTACCGCAGTCACATAATCTCCATCCCGACAAAAACCTTTCAACTGTGATGAATTCACGAGATTGTTGGCATATATGACAGGGCTATGACTGTGGACGGTGATTCACATAGGGGGGTCAGATGTGATAAGATAGTAGAATCATACTTCAAACAAACACGGTATCAACTGAAGGTTGCCAATGCTCATCTTCATAAGCAACTCACAAGATTCGTCTTCAGCTGCATGCTTTATGCACAAGAAGGGATCATTTCTTGTTTTACGATTTCACGACAGATTCTTAATTGTATCCTCTCAACAAAAGAGAAAATCCTCTGGATGTTCATTCGCTTCTCGAACCGAAGGAAGTTTCGGCGGTTAAGCAATCTCAGACAATAAGGAGAGCAAAGTGTGCGTTGTGGCGGGTGTTAGTATTTATCCGGTTTACAGGGGGCTAAAGGACCTGAGGTCATTTAGCCCCCTGTCGGTTTGACAACCTTCGTTAAACAGCAGGACACTAGAGGACATATGCGGTTGACAGGGGGCTAAATGAGTTAAAATTAAGAATGCTTTCTGTCAGTTTGATAATCTTCACTAATTAGCAGGACACCTTGCTCTCTACACAGGTTATTCGGCTAACGAAAGAAAATCAAAGTACATTCTTGTTGACCTTACCTACTATCTTTATCATTCGATCCTCTCAATCCTCGTTCCTAATCAGTATGGGTGGACTATGTAGCCGACTTGATGTTGACGTTAGTGGTATTATCTCTTTCTGCGTTGTTATGTGTATTCACGAATTCCATAGCAGATGACGATCATTCGTCGAAGCGTTGCAGATTTGGTATGCGTAGTACAAGAGAAAGATATTGTAAGTCTTCAAGTTCCTCAGTTCAAGGTACAAATGACCGACTATGCTGAGCAGGTATTGGCACACTTGATTAAAAGTCTTGAGCAATCAAACAGCACAGAAGTATCAAAGTTGCAACTGAAAAATATATCACGGCACATTGGCTCATCCAACGCTCGTTCGAAACCAACATCATGTAAGGATGTGGAAAGCAAACATCTTTCTAAATTCATCGCTACGTTCCAGAATCAACAAGCCAATACAGAAACATTTATCGAAGAAAAGAGTCCAAAATGGCGCGAAAATTACACTCTTTTTTGGGGGGACACTAGCTTTTCAACAGGGTTTACATTCACAAGCATTGGCCAGCTTTCACGATGCATCGATAGATCCGAGGACGAAGAAATGTTGAATTCAATGCGGCGACGTATACTTCTAGTTATGTTCTTTTTCATAAAAGAGAAAATAAAAAAAAGGATTCAAAGTGTAATCAAAAAGTTGCCCAACGGGACAACCTATCAATCATTGGCCATCTCCATCGTTGTCAACAACACTTGCGAGTCGGATGTCACCCAAGATGAGAGATCAAGGATCCAAGAAAAGACAAATAAAAGGATGCGTATAGGCGAAAGATATGCTCAACTACAAGATGATATACTCTTGAAGCTGGGCAGATTGCCGGCAGTACTCATGTAAGTATAATACCTATCTAGACGAGTACTTAAGTCAGGTACCCCACCTTTCGGACGCCCCCTCATTTCGGACACCTTTACCACCAAAAATCAGAAAAATTGACTCTTATAACTTTCTTATTGAGCCACCTGGATCATTGGCTTCAGCACTGCAGTACCGCGGTTCCGACTGTTCAACAACAGCTCCTACTCGGTTCTCCTAGACAAACCCCGGGAAATTCAACTTCACAGCACTGGCTGCCTAGGGTACTGTAATCCCTTTACCTGTAATAGAGCCCCAAGATACTCGACATACAGTAAACTAAACACTGAGTACGAAGGCACACTTGTATATCAGCAATGTACTAGAGCAGCTCAATGCGCTAATTGTTATGAGCCCTTCCGCGCTGGCCATTCCAACTGCCCAGCCGCTCCTAGGGTCTATACTAAACGACAGATCGTTCTGACCGCAAAGGAACTAGCCGCAATCAGAGCTATTGGTAGAAAAGATTATGAAATGTTGTACAGAGTAGATGCAGATGAAGCGAATCACACCCCTGAATCACCTCCGTCTCCTAGAGTAACAATCGCAGAAACCCTGGTCACTCCGGGGACAAGGATCACAGTGTATGAGAATGAACGCCTCAGCAAACGCTCATGCAGGCTCAGTACAAGTCTGCCGGTCGCATCAATCGCACTTCGCATACGCTCAGCTTGTAGCCAAAGCCAGCGGAATCTCAATATAGAAGCCTTAGCAGAAAAAGCCTTCATTCCAATAGATCTGGAGATAAGCGATGTAGAGACCTCTATAACGGTAGACACTGTATCTAGATCTTCTCTATGAGTAGCACAATCGACAAGCACACTCAGAGGAACAAAGGTCTCACTATCGCTTGAGCGAATGTAGGCCGGGGATACGCGAATCATATCACACTATTACAACTAGCAGCCGAAGCTTAGCTGAATGTAATCTGTATACAAGAGCCAAGACTATACTAGAATTCAACAACACAAAATTACAATGCATACAATCGATATCAGCCGATCGATAACTAGAACCTTCGAGGAGACTTGGAGGAGAACGAGCAAGGCCCTCGGGTTATAACATATATACGGAAAAGTGCGCATTTGAAAGTAGAACAAATGAGTCGACTCGAAAATAAAGATCTATTCTGGATACGAGTCAATGGATACTCGATTCTGAATATCTATAAAGCTCCGTGCACTTTGGATATTATTAATTATATCACACACCTGATCCCAAAGGAGTGCACAATCATAGAAGGGGACTTTAATGCAAAGCACGAGCTATGGGAACCGGGGGTGATCACAGCTATCAAGGGACGCAGCTCGCAACATGGGCAAACGAGCAGGGGCATGGAGTTTATAGGTACCCCAGGCATACCCACCCACGCAAGAGGGCATGTGCTAGACCTAACCTTCTTCAATGTACCATTCGCTTACTCAGAGGTGCTGGAAGAGCTCCACTGTGGATCTGATCATACTACTTAGGTTACCAGCCTTGCGAACCGCGGAACAACAGAGTGGGACCAGCACCACTACCGGATAAAGGAGGCGGATTTGCCGAGGTTGGATGGACTAATGGCCAATCAGCTAGCCCACCTTAGTAATATAGATATCCAGACCACAACCGAGATCGAGATCTATGTTAGTGAGCTTGCGAAAGCGTTAGACAAATCGATCCGAGTGGTTGGCAAGATCTATCAAAAGATAGGGAAAGCTTCGCTATAGTGGACGGATGAGTGCAGAGAAGCTCATCGAGCATATATAGAAGCACGAAAGGAATCGGATTTGGAAAGGAAGACTCATGCTACACACCTTTTACAAAAAGTAGTGCGACAAGCCAAGAGATCCTATTGGGCATTGCGCTTAGATGGGGTCAAGGACGATAAAGAACTCTATCGAATCATGGGATGGCATAAGTTGATCTTCGAAAGTAATACGAAATCCCCTTCCCTAATAATCGGTGAATGGGAGATCTGCGATACAAAAGAGAAAGCGGACGCCCTATTTACAGCGGTTCTGGATCGATTCAAGGCGGACGATGATCTTCCAAACGACCTACTGCGCAATCAAACACACAAGGGGACCCTCCCCTGGAAAAGAACGATCTCGGCTGAAGAGGTAGAAAAGCATGTCATAGGAGCTTCGTGTACTGCATCAGGAGTGGATCGAGCCATTGTGCGCCTCCTTAAGGTATACTGGCCGAGCGTCAAGTCACTAATCCGGGAGATATTTGCATCATGCCTAGTTCTAAACCACTATTCAAAAGGATGGAAGCTAGCAGAGGTAGTAATGATTCCCAAGGCAGGCAAGAAAGACAAAACGTCACCGCGGTTGTAACGATCGATAGCCCTGATCTCCTGTATCGGAAAGGGTCTCGAACGGTATATAGCCAGCCAACTATCTTGGACAGCTCTGAAACATAAAGTGATCAACCCACAACACTGCGAAGCGCTTCCCAAAAGATTAGAAACAAATCTAGTAGCTGCTTTCACTTACGATGCGGAATTCACATTAGCAACTGGTAATGTGGTTTCGATTGTTACTATGGATGTACAAGGAGCCTTCGATGCTCTTTTGAAGCATCGACTCTTGAGCCGAATGATCAAACAAGGATGGCCCAACTACGCTGCTCAAGCTGATAGACTCATTTCTCACAAACAGAAAAGTCAGAGTGAGACTCGAAGGCATTACAACTGAGGAGTATCCAGTGGTATGCGGCACTCCTCAGGGGTCCCCACTATCACCTATACTCTATATGCTCTATCTTGCTGAGCTCCTCAATCGAGATACGAAATTCCGATTCGGCTATGCAAACGACATCGCGATCTACTACTCTTCCAAGCATCTCTCTACGAATACTAGGATCCTGCAACGACGAGTACGGTAGATCATCAGATGGGCAAGGAGAACAGAATCCTATTCGCCCCTGAGAAGTTCGAACTACTTTATATTATCAAACAACATGATACCACTAATCCACCATTGGTAGTGAATCCAGATCTGATAATCACACCAGTACCGATTGCAACGAGCGGAAATGCTCAACCTACTCTGAGGTGGCTAGGCATCTTCTTCGATCGCCGGCTCTCGTTTTTACAACACATCAAAATACGTACAGCGAAAGTTATGAAAGTAGCCTCGCATATCAAATCGATCGCCCGCACTATACATGGGCTGCCAGCTTCCTTTCTAAGAAAAGCAGTAATCACCTGCGTTCTCCCAGTAGCACTATTCGGTACGGAAAGTATGGTATGCTGGTAAATATAAACCTAGCCTAGGCCAAAGCGACCCAAGCATAAACGCAGGCATTAAAGGTTATCTCCGTTGCATCAATAGAGTGATCAATACTACTGCAAGAGGAGCGATTCTAGTATACAAGACTACACCGGTCGCAGCTCTTATCAAAGAAGCTGGCTTGTCATCGGGGATAGTTGCACTAGAATACGCCAAGCTGCGATTCGCACTCCGTTTAAAAACGATCGACAATCAACACTTGCTGGTAAATCGTTTGAAGCCAGTAATACGAAAACGCGAACGAAGAACAAACACAATAAAAAGGCCTCTTATAAGAATCCAGCGGCTCAGCCGTTTCATCCCAGAAACTCAACGCTCGAAGCTGCTCCGCCCGCACTTCTCGATTAGCTGCAGAACGAACCCAACAGAAGGATTAATTAAAAAAGAAGCAACTCAAGCTTTCAAAGAGTAATAGCGACAACTCCCACCTAAAGATTATACGATCTTCTCTAACGGATCAGAACAAACTATTAATCGCAAAACATTGCGTTGACTACGGATACACAATATATCGCAATAGTATCCAAATAGCCTTCGAACTTAAGCAGATCCGAAGCAACTTATATGTATTCGATGCAGAAGCGATAGGAGCATGGTACGGATTGGAGCATCTAATCACTATACTTGAAGATCCCTTGAACAACCGGATCTGAATGTGTATTGACAATACATCGATCATCTAGAGTATATGCGGAAGTACACCGCCCACAACACAATAGGCCTTCCACAATGTCACAAAGCAATGAAACAACTCGACGTCCAGGATAAAGTGGTCACCTGGATATATGGAGATCGAAGGAAATGAGGAAGCAGATCGCTTAGCAAACGCAGGCGCAATTGGGCCTATGGACCAGGCAATCGACAAGCTACCAACAATCAGTGGGGTTCGAACGATCATTCGTCAGAAGCGCCTACACGCAGAATCTACCTGGTGGGAAGAGATGAACTCCTCTCTCTCCGCTGGCTACAAGGAGTGGTCTCCTAGATACAGTACAAAGGAGCCAAAGGAAACTAACTCTACCAAGAGCAGTCTTACATCGACTGATAGCTATGAAAACAGGCCACGGCGACTACGCCGCTTACCATCAGCGATTTGGTCATCAAAACAACAAGCTGGACTGCTCATGCGGCAGCGCTAAGGAACCATATCACTTCTTTAAATGCTCTATAAACAACCTAAAGCGTTCAGACTGGCCCCTTGCCCCTGTAGAAATGCAATCTAACAAGCAGGCGATCACATATATCAAGAAACTCTTACACACACCTAGCAAGCTCACTCAGCTGATCACCGACTCAGAGTTCTACACTCAGATCTGTCCTAACTACTAAAGGACCCTTAGAAAGCGACCATCTTTTCAACAAAGCTCGCCGCCCCCCCTTATAAACTTACCACTCAACTGATCACTCGAATACACCACACCTCTAAAAACCGCAAACCCAATATACAATATAAGAGCCTTGCTGCTCGGCTAAACAAATAGCAACCCACTCTCGCTTCTTCTCCTCCACCATAGGGACCGGAGCCCACAACGAGCCCATCCACTCGGGAACCAAGCTCTACCCTAACAACAACCCGGATCAGACGTTCCCTTCTGGAAACAGAAGCGGATCGCACCCGCAGAGGAGCGAACAGCCCCTGGCATTGAAGCTAAATTGCTAAATTCGGTCGCGACGATCACGCCGCTCAAATAGTTCCTTATCTTAGCACGTCTAAATACCCTTAGGGAGGTCCAAAACAGACGTTGAATTAATATAAATAAAACAAATAAATAAATAATAACTTTCTTATTTATCAATATAATTAATAAGATTTACTATATAGTATTATAACATTGAAATGAATATATTTTGAAATTTTCAGATTTTTAACTATTTTTAATCAAAAGTTATTAATAATTGAAGTTCACTTTTTTATTTTATACATAATTCTCATACAAATAGAATATTATTAAATTGCTAATAACTTTTTAATAAAAATGGCTAAAAATAAACCATATATTTTAATCAGACTATTATACTATAAGATATATAAACATTAAGTATTTAATCTTTATAATTTTTATATATAATAATATCAAAGATTTTCAAATTTACAGGGATTAAAAGAGTTAATTTAATTAATAATTTTATAAATCAAGAACTACAAAATATATTACAGTATTTTTCTATATTTTCTTGTATTTTATAGCTTAAACTTCTATTAAAATTTGTAATTTATTTTTCATTATTTTTATTGAAAAGTTATTCAAGATTTAATAATATTTTTATTTGTATGAGAATTATATACAAAATAAAAAGTGAATTTCAATTATCAATAACTTTTGATTAAAAATAGCTAAAAATCCGAAATCTTCAAAATCGATTATTATTAATATAAAGATTATAAAGTTTCAATTTTATTAGATTATATTGAATTATGATAGAGATATAAATAGGTCAAAATGATTGTTTTTGGTGTAAATAGGTGTCCGAAATGAGGGGGCGTCCGAAAGGTGGGGTACCTGACTTACCAGTTAATTCTGAGTTGAAGTGAAAAATGCACTCAAAACGAATACCACATGATTCAACAGTATCTCAATACGATGCCATGCTCCGAAGCCCACAGTGCCTTGGTAGTGGATCTCAAAAATGCCTTTGTAGGTGGTGATACCCTTGAGGATGCACAACTAGATGCGATTATCGAGTCTGGAAAACGCCGTCTCAATCAACCACACGCTGAGAGGCCTCGAGTGCCTGAAATGAGCTTCGAAGCGGATCTTTGAATCCAGGTCAGGGTTCTCCGACCAATGGACGTATGGAAATTGAGAGCAATGGAAGCAACCTGAGGGTAATGAAGCGATTGAGAAGAATGTTGCAATAATGGCCGAGGTTTGCATGCTAGAGAGCCGTCTTGGAGCCCATTGTTTCAAAGGTATGGATGAAAGCTATCGGAGATCTGAAGAGAAGAATCGCCAAGGGTTAAAGTTTACCAATGCTGTGCGTTTACATGTTGCTTCTCGTGTAGGTGAAGATTTCAAGCTTGAGATCTGGCTATCTCGACCGATTGGAGTTATTTCACAAACAATGATGACATCAGTGGAAGGATTGGTGAATACACTTGGATGTTATCTTCTCGGGGCTATGAAAAGTAGTAATGGTTGGAAGAAACAAGAGAGGAATGGAATACAAGATCTCAGTGGGGTTTTTGACCTGTACTTTGAGAATGAAAAACATGGCAACGATTGTAGGCTGCAAGTAACATTGGGTTATGAGATAGGACAGATTTTTTTTCAAGATGTATATCCTTAAATTCTTGGTATTCCGTCATCAGGTAATGGTCCTCACCAATTTAAAGTTCACATCTTCCACCTTTACACTCCATCCTGGATCAATACTCCAATTCACTTCGTCTGAATTTGCTTTGAGTATTCTTATACCCAAAGTTATCTTGCCACTTCCTTTCTTCCATGACATATATCTCTTATAATTGACTGGTCCGAAAGTATGATTTTCGAGCAATTCGTATTCGCCGTCGAGAGTTTGTTCGGCCTCCGATCTTTGTGTTAGTCTTGTGAGAATGCAGATATAAATCAACGTAACCTCACCTCAGGCATTGTAGCAAATTATGTCCTCGACACTTGTATGCGCGCACACCACTGTATACACTTCTCCTGAAATGTGAATAAATGAGGAAGGTTGAGATCGAATTCTGATGCGTTTGTTGAAGCTCGAAGGTTTGAAGTGGGGTTGTTCAATTTTATTGTTTCGCGCTCAGCGATCTTCAGATATATATGAAAGAATGCAAATTACTTCGCCGACTCTTCCAAGTGAATTGAGAGATAAATTTGATGTATAAAGCTGTTGAAGGGTTGAGGGAGGGATGAACATTCGATCGGAAATGGGAGAAAATGCTTATGCGTTGTTCAGATGTGGTTAGGCTCTGAGTTGTAGATGGAAAACGATTAGAGCTTGAAAACCCCACACCTCTCACATGCCACAATACCGGTAATTATTTTCAAACGCTGCAACCAATAATCATTAATTTACACATGCTTACTGACTCCGGTAGATTGTTCCACTTTCAGAGGCTCAGAGAATGTGAGGTGGACAAAGGTAGGGATAAGGTGAGGTCGTCCATCACGACGCCCAAATGACCAAAAATTGTCACCGGGCACCGCACAGTTGGCAGAGCAAATATACTACTTGATGATTCGGGCTCGAAGCCGGTCCTCCACAGTCTGATGGTGGTAAGTAAACATCTCACTACCATACACGAGATTACTTCGGTACGATTATGATTTAATTCAGATAATGTTACACTTGGAAATTTTTGTACTGAATTGAGTACGATTCTGACTTCAAGGTTTTTACAATGCTTACTACAACTACTCCCCAAAAAACAAGAAAAGGAAAGACGAAAAAACAACAAGTCATAGCTCATCCCCTTCTCCTAGAAACAGTTTTCCCAACTTCCTCAACTTTCATGGAGGCGGGGATCTATCATCAGATCTTGCGTTTCCTCAACTCCATCTTGCGTTTCCTCAACTCCATCTTCTTTCTCATCTGTACTATCACACTTTTCTTCACTCTTCTTTTTGTTTATCTTCCTCAAACGTAATCGAGTCTTTCGGAGGGCAGTCAGAATATCATTGGCTTTATCTTCAAGGTCGTCTCTCCCATCAGAATCCATTGCCATCAACTGCTCAATTAAGACCTCTTCGGAACCCCCGGTTCGTTTTTTCGAAGTACTTTTGGAGGCTATACGTGCATTCTTAGATGGAGCAAGAAAGAAGTGGTCCTTTTGTGCTGAGGGAATAGTCAGTGACGGTTTTCATGCATTATGTGAACAGAAAACTTACGTCGTAAAGAGCAACGCTTGCCTAGATTGTTGACATGACAATTCGCACAGGAACCTTGCAGAAACCCCTCCAATGCTACACATTCTTCCCATGGTCCGGCCGGTCGACCTTTGTTACCACAAGAATTGCATTTGGAAGTGAAAATCTCACCCCTCTCTTGTACGAGATGCGCTTCCACACTGGTGTTATTTTGCGTACCATCAGGCTTAAGTACTGCACTTGTTCTGTTGGGCATGTACTTGAGATTGCGTTTTATTTTATGGCTCTCGATATCCCGCATGCGCTCAGTTGTCGTAATAGGGATTTGGAAAGGCGTTTCGAATTGCTGGCGATGTGCAGCCTCTGAAGATGTCGATCGAGTACGCTTAGAATTTGATGTGCTGGAAACCGAATCATTCGCTGGCTTCCTTTTTTTGGTATTTTGAGCTCCAAGTTTTTCGTTCTCGGTTTCCACATTTTCAACATTCGCGGTTGATCCATCAATCACCTTATCAATTTCATGGGCGTCGGCATTATCAAATTCAATAGAAGCATCAGTTCGCGTATTCTCGATTTGTTGAATAGTAGTAGAGGTGGAGTTCTCCAAGTCTTTGGAAATGTCAGGAGTATCTAGGATTTCGCATTGATGAATGTTCTGAGCTTCAGCTTCTTGCGCTTGATCACTGCTAGGCCTGGCGCTTTCGTTGGCTTCTTGATTTATGAGTATGTTGGGCGGTTTGGGTTGATGATGGGCGTTAACTGTAGCGGCATCTGATGCATTCACACTGCCAGCATATCGAATGACTGCATTTATTAACGTTGCTTCGCTCTGTTTGTCGTTCATATCTTCTCCGATCGTTGAATTTATCTCAATTGATTTAGTTGGTGAGGGTTGGCTCTTCATTGATTTGTCAGCTGCTGTGTAATTGCTGGGGAAACCTATGGTGGCAAAACTTACCCTCGGCAACAACCGCCCGTCTGGACCACGACGCCTCCCCTTCAATTGTCTCCGTTTTTCAACAGTTTTGGACATGTCTTTCTTGTTTGTAGTAATACGAATTCTAGTGAATCGAAATAAGGATATACAATGGATATATTTAATCAGAATTCTGCCTCCAAATTTGTTACTAATGTCTCTGCATGAGTACGATTAGTTTATAGCATTTGATAGGTGGATAAATTTCCCCGATTAAGGCTTAGTACTTACATGAGTACGATTAGGTCTTAATCTCCGGTCAGTCACTTTGCCCCTTCCATCTAATTTCCCATGATGCAGTACTTGTTTGAGTACGATTAGTTTATAGCATTCGATTGGCTCACTCTGCCCCTTCCATCTAATTTCCCATGATGCAGTACTTGTTTGAGTACGATTAGTTTATAACATTCGATAGGTAGATAAATTTCCCTGACTGAGGCTTAGTACTTACATGAGTACGATTAGGTCTTAATCTCCGGTCAGTCACTTTGCCCCTTCCATCTAATTTCCCATGATGCAGTACTTGTTTGAGTACGATTAGTTTATAGCATTCGATTGGCTCACTCTGCCCCTTCCATCCAATTTCCTATGATGCAGTACTTGTTTGAGTACGATTAGTTTATAGCATTCGATAGGTAGATAAATTTCCCCAATTGAGGCTTCGTACTTGCATGAGTACGAATTCTGTAGATCCTATTCCGAAAAGCTTTCCTTTGAGTACGATTAGTTTTTATCACTTCAATGGCGGGCAGATTTTCTCAAATCAGGCTTAGTACTTAGGTGAGTACGATTAGGTCTCAAGATCATGATTGGTTATTGTGCCTTCAGTCGGAATCTTTTGCACTCGTACCATCATAAGTACGAATCGGCCTTACCATTGATGCACAAACCTTTATCAAACCCCGCCCCCTTTTCTTTAACCGACGTTAAAAGATATGTAAATCTGGCATTCATTATAGGCTTATGCTTCAAAGCGCGTAGAAACTACTATATATAGCCTTTCACTATTCAATATGTATTTGGAAGATTTAATTACAATACATAATATATAAGACCTCTCTTTTCCCTTTCGACTTTTCCTTATTATCAAAACAACTCCTTCTCATCAAGATAAATCCTTCGAAGCTTATTAATTATTAGTCTTCAATCGTTATGCCTAGTTTAAAGCAGGACACTATGAACACTATAGCTGCAGCTGTAGCTGTAAAAGACGATGACCCGCGAATGCAAGGTATGTTATTACATTACAAAGATGAATTCATCTTACTGAATGGAAATGAGTAGATATCCAGAAAGGTCTAGGACATATATTGAAACATCACCTGGATGCTAATAGTATCAATCATCAATTTATCGATGTGAACAAACTGGCTGTTTATATATTTAAAGACATGGTTAAACATTTTGAGATGATAACAGTGATTTTACAATTGAAGAACTGTATAGTCTTCCATTTACTCCGCTGAATGACTCAACTTACAAATTGCAGATACCAACTTGAGGGGTGGTAATAATGCCATCGACCCGCGTCAATATGAGGAGATGATCAACTTGGCGGGCGACGAGCATGTGACCGATTTGACGGATGACGAGGACATGGTTGATTTGACGGGTGACGAGCATGTGATCGATTTGACGGGTGACGAGGACATGGTTGATTTGACGGGTGACGAGCATGTGATCGATTTGACGGGTGACGAGGACATGGTTGATTTGACGGGTGACGAGCATGTGATCGATTTGACGGGTGACGAGGACGTGGTTGATTTGACGGGTGATGAGGACCGCACATATAGTCCTCCCCCTCCCTATTGCCCTTGATTTTTACAGAGGGAATGAAACAATAGATGGATGTACATTTCATGTTTCAATTTTAACAATGTTATAATTCGCATGCCATTTTCTTTATGCGGAACCAAAAATAAGAACAGAAGATGTGAGGTGTTTAATAATTTTTGATTCAAAGTATTTACAAAAAAGACAACAATACTTGCTTCCCCTAGATGCCAGTACCCAAGACGGAGAGATGTAAATGGAGCTATAGTCCAGTCTTTTCAATTTGATATCCTATTTTTGATGAGGGATCATTCATATCCTTTAGTATCCTCTATGAAGAGTTTTGTTGCGCTCTTCGTATCGGCTCTACTTCCGTGAATTTGGACGCGGTGGATGTGGAGATATCGTAAAGTGACCTTTCGAGTGTTGATGATTCCATAGTCTCCCAGAATATTTGAATGTTCTGGTACAATTTAAGAAAGTGCACTTCTGTTTGTTGTTCGAGTGTGAGCTTACTGCACTTTTTCATGAACCAATTCTCTGAGATATAGCCTTGCAACCCCCCTCCCCCCCTTGCTATCTACCCCATTTCCTTGCCACTAGTCTCTTACTTCTGCCCTGCTTTCTGTCCAGCCCTTTCATCTCCCCCTTTTATTCACCCATGAAAGTTGCTACTATCTGTTCCTATGTATGAGTTCAAGGAGCTAGAATGAGACGGGAGAAAAATGATTTCTCCCTTTACTGTTCCAAATGCATGACATACTTTGATGGCGAGCGAATCATTACTTTCACACTCAAAATGGATTGAAAACACTGATAATGAAACTTCCTTTGCATTTGCACTAGAGTATGAGGAAAACCAATGCGGAAAAAACTCATACTAAGGAACCCGCTGATCACTTCCATCCACACAACATTATCTACACCATACTTTGATCTTCAGAAACCCCCGAAAATCAATTAGCCCAATTTTGATTCGTCGACTCTTGAATTATATCTATACAATAATCAGGATTGTCGATGTGCCACGGACACAGTATGGGCTTTTTGAGAGAATTCTCAAGGAACTCAAGGGTGTGGCGTGGATCTGTATGAGGGTTCGCAGAAGGATGAATTTTGTTATCGTTGTGAGGATTCCTTCCCCCATGCATGTCTTCATCTGAATAGTGTTAGAAAAATCATTCTGAAAACAAAGTTCACTCACACACGGCACTAAGAAGTGCGTTTATTGCTATTCTGATTGCTCTCTTGTTTCCTTGTGTTTGTGGATACTCTTGAAAGTCTAGAAGACGTTTGATTGTGGCAACCATATCTTGGAGTCTCTGATTTAGGTTGACCTGTTGTTGTTGAATTACATGCTCTGGAAGGGTTTCCATTGGTAGTTCTACATTCAGCCGATCATCAGATTCATAGAATCTTCTGACAGCCTCATGGACACTTTCCCTCTGCATTATACCCTCCCATGATGCTGTGATGGTGTCGATTTCCCGTATAACGTCTTCGTGAATTCCCTTTTTTGATTCGGGGTTATATTCGTTCGTCTGCATATTGATTTCTGATTGATATTGATCTGAGTTGTTCGCAAAAAGGTTTAAGAAGCATAGGGGAGACTCGAGGAGTGCGCGAAAGAGTGAAAATAGGTATAATCTAAATTTCAACGATCTAATGAGAAGATGAACAGAAGTATGATAGCTAGTGTACATCATCATACTATTTTTATACCCATTTTCTCCCGAAGCCACAAATTGATGCGGGTAGATCGGCTTGTATTGAAAAGGTATTGGTAAATCATTTTGTGTCTAAAAAACCTAGGGCTTAATGATCTATTGGTTATGGCTAGGTCAAACATAGCTCCCTTCTCCCGGATTAAAACCGTTTGGCGTCGGGTTTCATATGGGGATGAGAACTTGGTCATCTCCGAGGCATTTAAATTGTCCAAAATATCTATTCCAAGATAGAGAAGAGGCATACTAGGCCTAGAACAGGATGGGCGAAGAGATGAAAGCTTGAACACGTTGAATTCCGTCCAAAAACCTTCGCTGTCATACTTTCGCCTTGGATCGACAGTCATCGAAGATCCTATCCCTTGTTTAACCTTCCTTGTTGATGATTCCTTGTTCTAGGTTCAGTTGTAACTAATAGAGAATAGAAAGTCAGATGAAGACATACATGCATCACTTCATAACCACAACCAACTATACTTTATGCATCATGAACCCAATAAGGGGCCATAACTCCCTGCTATCGAGGATATTAAAACTTGCCAACGATGCATATTAAATTTTGATACATGAATAAAGATAAGAGATGATCATACTTGGAAACACTAGCCTGTCAATGGAGAGAATCGGGAGTAACATGGTTGATTCCAAAAACCCTGCACTAGGCTGAAAATTGGACTAGGGCTATTCAAGACCTGTGAGAGTAGGATTCATAGATCATTCTCCTTAATATTATACGGCTTCATCTTCACCCCCAGACAAGAGTACTTCTTTGATCACAATATCGTCTTGCTTCTGCCATCCGCTTATCATATCCATCAGTCAAAATGAACGACATCCAGGAATTCTTTCCAGATACTACTTCTTTCCAAGAGAACCAACCGAAAAGAAGTCTGCGAGCCTTCTTACAACATATTGATAGGTTGGAAAACCTCCCTCTCTTGACCACCAGCGATATGGTCACATTACTATCGTTATCAGAGAAGGACAAACATCATACACAAGTCTGGGCTGAACTGAATAACTGGCTTGAGTACGACACAAAGTACGAGGCATCATGCAGCAACAATCGTGATAGAGAATTTGACAGATTGCCCTTGGATCAAATATCTGGCCCCAACGCTGCCCCCCCCCTCCCCGAGAGAGAACACCTCTTTGATGCATATCTCAAGGAAAACTACAGAGACTGCTGCAATAGGTCAGAAATCAAGATGGGAATTCTGGATCAAACATCTTATACGAGTATGGACAATGAATGGGACTTTTCCATAAACTCGATTAGATCCTTGGAATGCTATGTCGAGGCCTCGAAGAAATCTTTCGTATCAATCATGATTGCTTTAAAGGTAGTACGGGAATCAGTACACAAATCAAAGGAAGAATGTGTAATCCAATCGAAGCGAGTCTTACATGAGGCCACATTGGCAAAAGTAATCTTGCAATCAGCCACTCTTTCTACTCAACGCCGATTAACCTTAAGAACTAGCACAAGGCGAAAACATGAAATCGACAGAGCGAGAACTTCAATCAACATGGCGAGGAGTAAAATCATTAGAGATTCTTCGATGCTCCAGAAGATGCAAAACAGAATGAAATTCTTATGCGACACATTATCGATGATTAAGGATTCTAAGTCGAGGGAGCTGAAGAATTTGATGTTACTTGTCAAACGTTTGAATTTGTATGTATGAAAAGGAGAAAGAAAAGAGATAATAAGCTAATCATTGGTTATAGTGCGAAAGAACGCTTCATTCTCAAAAAGACACAGCGAGAACCTTACCTTCCTGCAGAGATCTGGTACAATATTATAGAGAAAGTCATACCGAATACATACAACACAGAAGGTAATGGGAAACCGGACCCTGCTCTCAAGAGATGGATGATATCGAAAACATTGTTTCAAACGGCAGTTCTCGTTTATTATACGAAGGCCATGTTCTGGTGCACCCCTGACACATTCATGAAGTTTTCTACTTTCCAAAACATCAGGAATATCACTATAAACCTGAGGTCATCTCAATGGAATACACATGCAATTGTTTCGAATTGCATCTGCGATTTACCGAGGACGACAGCATCAGTTGAGACATACGTCTTGCAAGAGCGATTGAAGGAGTGTCGTTCATTATTGAGACTGCGATTCGTCACCCCCCTCTGTAGTAAAAGAACTGGCGGCTCTACTCCTTTGAGATGGGTTTCTTTATCTAAAACCGCTCTTCTCGATCTTCAGGAATGGAAGGGGTCGTGCGGTTGTTGCATCTTCAGCAAAAAGTCCAACAAATGCTCTTCGCACATCTCGGTACCAGTCGACAAGGTTGTTTAAATGAGAGAATGTGTGTAAATTCTTCAGTCAGTCAAAGCAAGCAAGCATCTCACAATCTAGATCGTATGCGGATGGGAAATTGTGATATTGGATAGATTCATTTTTGCAGAATTCGAAGTCAATTGAAAGTCAATTGGAAGTTGTTTCGGACTTCTGTGTACAAGGTCACCGAATGAAATTACAGGAGCCTCAGGCGTTTTTTCATAAGTCCGATTCGATCTCTTAACAGTACGAAAGAGTTGAAAATTCCAATAAAGTACAGGCTCCAATTCCCAATCTTTAAGTCAATACTCCACTCGCTCATGTATATAATCAACCCTGAATTCCGGCCCCTCGTGATAAAAGTAGCCCCATCTCGATCTTGAGTTCTCCCCCTCTCCAAACTGTCCGTTGCGCGTCGTATAATCCGGCTTCCCCACAGTGAGAACCATATTGGCAGGGAAAATAATGCTCTCATCAATGTTGTTCTCCGTTATCTGTTTCGCTGAAAAGAAGTCAATTGAGTGATCAGAGAAGTTCGGATGAATCTTTACCTTCAGATCCAAACCCTGCTCGAATTGGAATGATTTTTAAGTTAACCAAGCAAGCACGATTGAACTTGGCACTTAGGAAGGATGGATGTCCACGATATTTCCAATCAAGTCTTTCATCGCAAAGTACGTTCCATTCATAGACGAGGTTTTCTGGTTCAAAATGTTCCAATCTTAATTGCCTGCGACGATATCGTACCTGAAGCCCGTAAGCGATAGTGTACCAAGAATATCTGCGGCCTGTCATCGCATCTTTCAGTTCATCAAAGACTTGTTGATCGGACAAGAGATTTATTCTCGATACTTCTCGAATTTCACTCTCAATATAGGAATACATGTTCACGATAAAATTATCGGGAAAGATTCATAGTTTGATTCATCTCAATTAATATATATGTATTTCAAAGTCACCATTCCCAAATGTCAATGCCCCGCAACCGTGCACCGTTTACCGTTATTACTATCCCATTCCTCGTTTACTTTGCTAGATTATGCCCTTCCTGCGCGACCCATGGCAGCTTTTCGGAAACGTTTGAATTCCTCGAACAGTCTAAGCTCCTCCCGTTGCTCTTCTTCCTCGTCCTTCTCTTCTTCCTCTGTGGCAGGGGAATTGTTCTCGCTTACAACGTTATTTCTAAGCAAACGTCTTCCATTGTGCGGTATACTGTATGATGTTAGTTAAAGTGTTACTTTCGTGACAAAAATTGCACTTACACGTAGTCATCATCATTCGCTATACTGAGCCTAGAATCAGTGATCAGTGGAACTGAGTTTTTCCACCCAATATGTCTTGAGTTTTTCCATCCATCGTTCCCTGTCAACAGTGTCTGGCGTGCCTCTTTGTTATAATCTCTTATGGCCTCTTCAATCTGGCCACCAAATATCGAGACTATATCCGATTTGGTAAACCATTTTTCTACGCCCTTGTGGCAGATGAAAATGTAAGCCGGCGGTGCACGAATGAATTCAGTTGTAGTATCACGGCGGCGAACCTGAGCAACCCCACCAAAACCACAATCCCTCAAGGAATAACTTTTCAGTTCACTTTTGGTCCCAACTTCCATTTTACCCCCATTGTATTCTTTGCGTTTACCTTTGTAAACGCTTGATGCGACCAGTTCGAATGCATCGCGCGTGGCACCCTCATTGCGCCATTCGAGCAGCAATTGCTCACCATTACCCACCGGCCGAAACCCCACGATTTTCTTTTCGATACCATTTTCGATGATGGTTCCGGGAGGAGATTTCCATGCGATTGGCGTAATGAATCTGGAATTACTTTTTTGGTTACTGAGAGTTCCATCGTTGACCACTAATGGCTTGAATACAGTACTTTTCCCTGCAGCTTTCAGTTTCTGGAGATCCTGACTGAACTTCAGGTCGTTTCCTATGACAGCACTAGCTAAAGGCTCTGGCTCATTGCCTCGTATATCCTTGTATAAATCCTCTAGAGTTGCTACAAGTCGTTCATCCTGAGGATTTATCAGAACGGCTTCCCTCGCTCGATCAACAGAACGCCTCATATTTTCATATTCTTTTATATCTTCTTCTTTCAAGATGAAAGAATTTTGTTCTGGCTTGATTCCATAACTGTCGCTGCATTTTTTCCCAAAGAACTTTGCGTTTTCATCGAGCTTTCGTAACGCTGATCTTTGGTTAGAGTCAGATCCGCCGTCTAGAAACTTCTTCAGGATTCCATTCAGTCCTCCAATAGAATTGAAATATTCCATTGCGAGTGTTTGTGTTAAAGCTTTGTTTTCGGCATCGTTGTAAGATTCAGTATCTTGAGCTTCATTGACATCTCTAGTCAGAAGATTTGGAAAGAACATTGCATCAGCAAAGTTTGGCGGTGCTCTCAGAGCACTAATGAGTTCTCTTGTTCCTGCTATTCGTCGTTGGCACCTGACCCAGTCATCGTCACTAACAGGGTTGATTCTCGTAGCTATGTTTTCTATTATCGGATCGGAGACCAAAGTACTAAATTCGTGTAGGATTTTTGGAAGAAGTGTTTGAAGAGAGAAATCATGAGATACTCCCTGAATAGTGCATATCTCGAGTATGTTTTTGTCAGTCTGACTTATCAATTCTTCGAACCCTGCTTCCGCAGGTCTGTTTCCAAGTCTAGCTCCTAGCCATCGTGACAATGGTCCATCCCATCCTCCCAATGCTTCCCGAAGGGCTTGTACCTCAATCGGTGGATCAGGTGTAGATTCAGGTTGCATTCCGTCCATTTCTTGATCCTGATAATCTCCATCGTCACTCTCACTACCGTCTTCAATCTCAACATTAAACTTCTTGGACACATTAAAAACCGCTTGTGGAGGCTCGTCAAATTTTGGGAGCTTTAATTCTGCGAAGTTGGTGTACTCTTGGCGAAGTTGCTGGGCAGGAGACCCTTGAAAGAGTTTACTATTGAACAAATTCATTACTTTCTTATTTTCCTTCTTTAGTATGTGAACTATCTCGTCGTTGAAATCTTGGGTAAAGAAATCATCGCTGTCGGCCATTATTGCGTTCCGATGGAGCATCAATGCAGTACATAATGACCAAATGGGAGCAAGCTCCTCTTTTTGGTAAAAGGTGAGTTTGTCACAAACAAGTTCCCAATGCTCTTGGCTGCTTTTTTCGTCCCATTCATTATCAGGACTGTTTGATTTGAGCTGTAAGGTTGCGACTCTCAACCTTTGCAAACAAGGTCCACGCAAGGGTATTGGAACCAAAGTGCCGGAGGACTCATCCCTCTGCATTTTCTTGTTTTCTTCGTAGATTTCGTGATTGATTTTTGCGATAGTATCATTAAATGGTTTGATTGATTTCAAATACGATGTATGATGAGACTTCAAATCCTCGCCGTCAATTGGCTGGCCAATTTGTGTTGATAGTTTTTCCCACTCTTCCTCTTGTCTCTTTTGTGCCAAATGGGCCCGCTGGAATCTAGAGGCCCAAACAGATTTTTCTCCCTTTGGTAACTGACAAATCGAGTCGTACTCATTAGGGTTTACAAGGTTTGGTTTGACAATGGATATGGGCTGAGAATGTCCGTCGGTATCACTTTGAGCGGAGGAAGCAGGTGTTGCTTGCTCAGGATTCGCAGTGCCAATAGCCTGTTCGGGTTGCAATCCAGCAAAGTTTTTAGGCTCCACACGTTCCACAGGGCTTACGGGAGATATAGGACCGGTAGCAAGATTGGGAAGAGAAGACTCTGTGGGGTAGCAAAGACTTCGGCATGTGAGTGTCATGTTTTCCGGGACTGACAGGACTGACGGGACTGACGGGACTCGCAGGCTCGACATTCCTAGTTGCCGTGTCCAGATTTATTTGTCGACCCTTTCCTTTTCTATTCAGTGCAGTGTCGCTTCCGGTTGACATATCATTCTTTTCGATCTGACCAGCAGAATCGTTTGCTTGAGAAGAACCTGGGATGATGGAAGTAGAAGCTGACATTTTGACGGTAAGATTGGAGTAATTATGTTTTCGAAACTTGTTATTGAATTGTATATTTGTTATTTTGCAATTTGAAATTTGAGTTAATGACTGATTGCACATATCTTATATATAGATGAGGATACCAATTAAATTAGTGAATCAAGACTGCTGTTTCAGATACTGGTTAAACGGTTTTGTACATCACATATCCGAGAACCCGTTTCTGAAAATGAGTTCAACATGCGGCCAACATTTAGTGCCCACTTTCGCACTTTTAATTCTGTTATCATTTTCGGAAAGCAAAATTTACTCTATCATTACTAAAAAACAATGCATTTCTATGTATCTCTAATCACCATACTTTCTATGCTACCTGAGCTTCCCAGAGCCATATGCCTTTCTTCATCATCGTGCGCTTCCCCCACAGGCAAAGCTAGTTCCAATATCAGTACCCATTCCGTCATTGTTGGTGCCGCAGGTCGGCTCGCTTTCAATCCCACGAGTCTTGATGTAGCACTTGGCGATAAGATTCTGTTTGAATTCTTAGCACTCAATCATACTCTCACGCAATCCTCACTTCGATATCCATGCACGTGGAACGCTAGTGGAGGAATTGATACGGGCTTCAAACAATTCAATCCGAGCAATGATTCAGGCAAATTCATAGTGAAATACACCGTAGAAGACACTACCCCACTGTGGTTCTTCTGCTCACAACGGCGTCCGATTTCCCACTGTCACGAAGGCATGATTTTTGCTCTGAATCCGGGGTCATCGTTTGGCACATTTTTGCAAGGTGCGACAGGAGCCTCGATCAGCATGCTGGCTTCAAATACCAGAATGACCGACTACCCGACCGGTTCTGCAGTGAGCAATACTGTGCGCTTAACAAAATCGAAATGTCCATCCAATTCCTACACGCAGTCGGGCGGAAGTCAAACTACCCCCACATCCAATGGGCCTTCCAAGTCATATACCCAATCGCTTAAAATTCAAGCGACTACAACATTGAAGGCCTCGGCGTCAACTGATATTGCGATCCAGGGTTCTGCAACACCCAGCTCAAGTGGAGGATACAAGAATGGAGGTATTGAATTGATCCTGTTCTCTTTCGTTTTAGCAGTTGCCAATTTTTGAGTTCGAGTTTTTATGTAAATTGCCGTCAAGGCGGTATAGCTAGCTAGTAATAAGTACCATAGAAGAAATAACAAAATTTGGGTGCTACTGAACCCGAGAATCTAATCAATATTGGAATTCTGACTGCATTTCTAAAGGCCTGAGGTTCTAAATGACCTCAAGCAACATTGAAAGAACTATACAAAAGTGCTGCACGAAGAGAGAAAACCGAACAGAAATCAAATTAACTAAAGGACAATGATGGTATTACCAGTTACTAGCGTCCGGCCCGTTCACAACAATACTTGACCCCCCTTCCACATCACAATAAACTCGCGCAAAAGACTTTTCCAATCGAGCGGGATCGACTGGTTGATACATGTGTACAAGATCACATGAATCGGCAATTTTAGTATTCTTCAAACGTTGCGATTCGATCCGCCACAACTCCGTTGGGTCTGGGAAAGAAGTACCGGACCCAACTCTGCACAATCGTAGTGGGCCCATCGTTGTCGCTAAAATATCAAACCACGAGGTGTCTAAGTCAAAATGAGACCCTTTCTCAAGAAACAAGACACAAGCCTCTGCTCTATCAATAGTGCTTAGAAGTACCGATGTACTCAAAGTCGATAGGATGTGTTGGAACGAAGGCACCTGATACCACACTACCCCTGTATCGAAAGAGTCGGTGATGTGTGAAGTCCATGATGGTGTTTGCTTTCTCATCTCTTTTCCTATTTGTCCTACAATTACTAGAAACTTCATTCGGGACGGGTCGAACGAATAATCCCAGTTGCAAATTGCGCTTGCAAGTTCAGCGATTGATGTACCAAAGAGAGTCGCCGTACAACTTTTTTCCTCCAACTCATCAACCCACTTCAGGTCATGAAACAACTGTTTCCATGGGATCATATATTTGGCAACCTCAAAACGAGTTAATCGAATACCTGTTGACATGACGAGGGCGACAATATCCATCGGCCTAAGCATTGAAAATAGGGTCGTTCTGAAATCGTAATTTTGTAATAAATTTTGGGATAATTGGCTGTCGCAATTAACATTCAAATTGCGAAAGTTGTCGGAGCTGCGGTTGTTGTTTTTAATGGGTCGCTGGAGGGTTGATACTATGGATGCGATAAATACGTCATCCGCCCAAAGGATGCTCCTCCCGTTTCCTCTCGCAGACGCCATCCAAGTGTTGATTCCGGGGGCTCGGTTCGTATACATCGTATAATCTTAAGTTTTTGAAATTTCAAGGATGGTAAGGTATGTAAGTAAGCTCGTTTTGATCGTGAGAGAGCTCGCCCATGCGGCAACTCATTTTGATATAAATTTGCTAATACTTTTACTTTAAACGGATAACCGTTAACCTAGTTCGATCTTTAGAAACCGACCTTTACAATGAATTGAGGAATTGCTACATCATTCAACTTTAATCTCCGCCATTTTACTGGGACCAATAGAAGTTGTGCATGTTGCCGCTCACATCAACCAACCCTCGGACCAGTTCTTATCTCCACACCCATGAAGCTAATCATCGTGGCTAGAACTTTACTTCTCATAGTCCCTGTGCCGCATTTCGTTTGCCGAGTGAAGCGGGGGTTGAATATGAATCTTGGGAAAGACAACACTTAGACTTTCTCTACTCATCATAAACACTGACCAAAAATCATCCAACGTTACAGACAAAAATGAAAGGCCCTAGCTTTTTATTGGTAAGATTATAAAGTTATTCAGAGAAGGACTACCACTGACTATTATTGAGTAGTACGAGAATTTCCAACGATTACTGGATCACCAATATAACTCCAGTACCATTGCCATACTTGAGGACTTTATTTGCTTGCTGTTTCATAACAAAGTCCTGTCAAAGTCCGCGCTCCAAAATATAGGCAATAAAACTAAGCAGTTAGAAAACAGCAAGGAAAATTTGTATTTGAGACCACCAAATGAATACTACCTAGCTAAACTCCCAGAGGAGTGGCTTCGGGCCGCGTTTGATACTTTCCAAGATGAATTCAGGCATTTCAAACGCTTTACTAGCGGGTTCATAACGGATCCTACGAATTTTCAAAGATTGAAATATCCTGCGTGGCTCAATGACGAGATTCTAGAAGAATATTGCTGGTTAATATCCACAGCTTGTTCGAATGCATATATAACAAATTCATTCGCACTGGAAAATCCAAGTATAAATTTGAAGAAGTTTATCAATAGAGACAACTACCTCATCTTACTCACGGGCATAGCCATTATTCCAATCAACATTAGAAATGTACATTGGACCTTCGCATGCGTATGGCTAACATCAGAAACCGAACTATTGATTGAGTACTATGATAGTAACCTCGATTCAAACCCATCCTGGGAGTCTTTACCATCGGTCCTCCAGACTTGGATTCAACGCACGTTTCCACCTACAGTTGAGAGAAAAATATGGGAAGGAAGATCTCCACAGCAGCGCAATAGCTCAGATTGTGGATTGTTTGTACTCATGGGGATACGAATGAGGGCAATGGGCTGGTCTGTGTTTAGCCAAGAAGAGGCAGATAAATTCATGCCCGAAGCTCGGCATAGAGTTTTCGCGGAGATTCTTGCCGGTCATCTGGATCCATCCTTGGAAGATATGAAGATCTATAATTCAATCGTGAGCGGAGAGGTAAAGTTTCCAGATTTACATGAAACGCATTCTGTAAATTATGTTATCGAGCGGGACAGCGCAGGAAATGAATTCATAAACTTGGATTCTCCCGAGACCGAATTATTCACAATTGATGGTAAAAATGATGAGGTGGAAGATACGCATTACCAATTTACACTCAGATCAATGGAACCTGCCGCAGAAAGAGATCTTATAGAGAATTCGGATCAATCTGCATTCGATTCAATGGGAATAAATGGTGCGAGGGACTTAATCGGGAATTTGCACGAGTTCAAGCTTGACTCGATGGAAGCCAACGACGGAGACAATCTGCTAGGAGATACGATAGGACATGTCACAGAGGACCCCTACTCGACTAACTGCCTCAGTCTGGCAAGAGCTACCGATCAAGAGAATTCTGAGTTGATGACAGAATCGCAAAATCAAGAACTCAACATGGAACTAAATTCTGATGCCCGAGCCGAGAGTAAACTTAGCGTCGGGCTCGGGAATGAATTTTGTAGCATTTCAAAACTGGAAACCCGAGAAATCGCTTCAGGGGAGCTTTTTTTGAATGAATCCGAAGAGCATGAATCACAAGATTCTATTAAAGACATGGGTGGGAAGACAGTGGCGGTCCAAGAGGTGATACCTGAGAATGTGGCTCAAAACAATTTCTTGTCTTCTACGCATGCAGGGTTCAAGAAAAACTCCTCGAGAAATCGCTCTCAAGATGACGGACAACATGGTGATGTTGGTACGAGGATAAAACGACAAAGAAATGAAGGTTCCGACTTAAACAAAGCACTTTTAGCTGCCGATAAATTTGCTTCACCAGATGCCCTAATTGAGAACCTCAGAACTGCTATTATTGCATATAGAGGTCGAACTCGTCAAGAACAACACCAAAGAACATCTCTTGCATCATTATGGAGTAATATCCGTCCCGAGGAGCACAATCCGCAGACAATCTTTCAACGATATACGCGGTTGAACTTTGCACGTCGATGGTTTGAGGTCAAAGCACGACTTCCGCAGAATCCACGTGAACAAATATCTCAAATGAAAAAGATGTTGAATCTGAAGGGCAACTACGAGGAACAACATAAAGAATTCAAGGCGGCAAACACCTACGCTAACAGATGCTTGTTCTGGGTGGAACTCATTGGGAAACTTTCATTCTTGACTGATGGATGCCATGAAGTTATTATGTGTGCTTGTGGCGAATCTACCACTGAGCTAGAAAGAATGAAAAAAGATCATCGTGAGAAATATTTCGAAAGAATTCTCTTTCGAATTCGACAGGAACCGAATGACATCACAGAAAAAATTCGAGCATCAGCTCCTTTGTATAGAGCACTGATTGAGAACAATCTGCCAGATCACCAACTTGTATTAGAGGGTAATCGTCAATTCGATAGTATGTCGTTTGCAGAATTAGTCAGTCTAGACCCAGCTCGAGGAAGATGGCGATTTTCCAACACGATACCATCTCCAGGTAAGAAGTAAATACATGAATGAGAAAAAATCGTCTTGGTGCTCTCTTTGTATTCTCAGTTCTTGATACTACTGCCTAAGGCTTACATTACAATGAAATGGATGTATAGGCTTGAGTTCCATGTAATGATCACGTGATATACAAACAGTGGTCGCGACGGGTGGGTTTCGCGTCAATTTTCCAATCCCCATCCTACTCCGTACCCATTGGCGGGGATGGCTTTTTTCATCCCCATCACCACCCATGCCCGCGGGGTACGTACCCGTAGCCACCCAAGCCACCCAAGCCACCCGTTGCGACCACTGTTATAATAATACGAGTTATACGAGATAAATCACGACTATTGGCAAATTCATTGATATTTTGGAGTGTAGGGGTGGAACAACAACCTCGATACTTTCACCCTCATTTTCGATACAATTAATTGCTTACTTATAATTTATTCATAAAGAGAATCGTAATGTTAATTAGACAGTAGGCTTTCATATCAATTAATCATTCGTTATAATCCATGCTATCAATTCATTGACATTCAATTCTAATATTTAGAATCCGGATCGTACATATTTAACACCGAATTATAATGTCACATATAAGAATAAAACGATAACCTCGATATTTTCACTCTCATTTTCGATAAAGAGAATCGTAATGTTAATTAGATAGGTTAATAGGCTTTTATATCAATTAATTATTCGTTATAATCTATACTGTTAGTTCATTAGTATTCAATTCAAATGTTTAGAGTCCGGATCGTACATGTTTGAAATCGAATTATAATATTATGTATATTTATTAGTATTCAATTCGAATGTTTAGAGTCCGAATCGTACATTTTTGAAATCGAATTCATTAGTATTCAATTCAAATGTTTAGAGTCCGGATCGTACATTTTTGAAATCGAATTCATTAGTATTCAATTCAAATGTTTAGAGTCCGAATCGTACATTTTTGAAATCGAATTCATTAGTATTCAATTCAAATGTTAAGAGTCCGGACCGTACATATTTAAGACCAAATTATGATATCACGCAAATAACAACAAACTTGTATAAATTTCAAGGTATCCAATCAAAGATGAAGGTCTAGTACCGCCGGATGTCAAGCTAACAAATCTATTGGCAGGAAAAGAAGCTTCCTATCTGAAATTAAGCAAAAATATCAACCAGTCGAAAAGCATAGATAAAAATTAACCAAACTTCCGAACAAAATTCAAACGCAAAAACCCTAATCAAAAAAATTGTCTCTTTGCATGTAGTAAATGACCAATTCCACCCAGACCAAAATGACTTTTGGTCTTCTACCACGAAACAAAAACGAGATCTGCTATAGTCTAGACCTTTTTGATTGAGAGGTGCACCAAGTCATTACATCGCTAATCGTTGACAGCTTTCGCTTATTTCTTCTATCCTCCGCATTATCACAGTCGGCCGCTGAGGCAGAGCGATCGTTGTGCTCGTTAGCCTGGAGCATTGACATAATACTTACCCGATCCAAGTTCTTCTCCGGGGCTTTTGAAAGATCATTGCAATCACTGGTAGATGCTAGAGCGAGGTTGTCTGTGCCCAAGTTGTGTTGAATTGTTGGTGTATCATTTCCTTGATGGACTTCCTCAATAACCTCAATAATATCCGGCAATTTGCTCTCTGGAGTTTTTGGGAGGGTTTGATCATCATGGATGGAAGTTGGCCTAGCACCCACGGTTGTTTTGAGTTTGGGGTTTGTCGAATCATCTATCCGCACAACATGCTCGATTATCTCTCCACAGTTGACGTCTGTTGCCGCGGAGTTTCGATTATTAGAATCTTTCTCCAAAGTTTGGATAGTATGGTTGACGAGGTCAATTCTCTGACCATGGAGTGTATGGGTGTTCTCGACACTAGAGGTAGCCGTGACCTCTCTTGTCACATCTTCAGGATCTCCATTCAACCACAAAGGGCTGATTTGGCCATGTTTGGACGTGCTTCTTCGATGCCTATTGTCTACACTTGTTCCTAACTGGACCAATGTTGGTCGATGTACCTCATGTATTGTAGGTCCAGATCCACCCTCACACACGCATTGTCCATCATCCACTTCAAGAGGAATTTTCAATCTAAAGTTGAGCACTTCTCGAATGTTCCTGCCAGTACAAGCGCAACTTCTTCCTTTGATATCCAAGGGAATTTTCAGCATGATTTGGTCTCTCTCGGGGTTTTCCGTAGACAACAACTGGTGAAATTATTAGTTTTGAAATGGTAGCGTTTTGGTGATTGTCTTCTTACCTGAGATTCCGCTACCTTCATTTGACAGAGATTTAAGGCTCGTTCGAGAGCGCAAATTTTCTGCTAAACCTTTTGTTAGTTGAAGGGCAATTTCATTTTATAACACCAAATTCTTACCTGAGAGCCGGCCAGTTGTATCTGACTGACATGTAAAGCCTCTTCTGCGATATTGGTCCTCTTTTGGAGGTCCTTATTGCATTCATAAAGCTCTGATGAATAGACATTAAGACTGGAAGCGTGACCTTCTGCAACCATAAAAGCTGCTTGCATATCCTGAAGCTTTGAACGAGTGTGGTTGTGCTCATGAACTTCCTTCTGGAGACAAGAATTCAAGGTTTTTTTGTGGTAGTCTGACAATTCGTAATCGCCCCTTCGAAGGTCACCTCCAACTTCTATGAGACCATGGGGACCGACTGCAACAGCCGTATTATGACGATAAGGGCTATCCAAGGCCTCAGCAACAGCTGCGTTACGAGGATTATGGACAACCATGTCATGAGAACTGTGCGGGGCCGCTGCGACAACCCGCGTGCTAACATGGCTGGTGTTTCTTGGCATGGCAATTATCTTGCAAATAAAAGAATTGAGCTTGATGGGTAGTGATGGAAGAACGGAAAACAGAATGAAAGATAAGCTTTCTGTCCAAACGAATGCGCGAGGGTAACATATATAGATATCAATAATCATCTAACAACAAAAAAGTTATGTTTATGCCTCGTTTAAATTCCCATAAAGCATGGGCTGTCACATTCAACAGTACCGACGATGTGGTATCACACATGGCGAGCGGCTATGTCAAGACAGCATTTAGTAAAAGAATTTCAAATTGACATACTATGAAATCGCACCAATAAGAACACAAAACAAGAAGTTCCTGATATGGAATACCAGACTATGAGCTCTAATGTTCCATCGTACATGCAGGAGCTCTCGGGGGGATTTGCTCTGTCACTATTGTAATGCTTGCAATGCTGCTAGCTCCAGAATTCACCGAAGATGGCGAAATTGCATTGACAATGGAAGAGTCTAGATTATTGGTGGGGACCGAGGTAGATACTGATCTTGTTGAGGAAGAAGAAGTCACAACATCCGGAGATTCAGTATCGGCAGTGGCGGTTGAACTAGACTCTGCTGTTGCTGAGGATTTTGACAAGGTACCAATGCCAGAAGCAGTAGCACTGGCACCGGGCCATGTCGTAAATCCTGGTTTCGAGATATGACCTGATCCCAATGGGGTGATTCCCGAGCTCTGGAGAGATAGTGAGCCAGAAGAAGAGAATGATGAAGTCGTATCCACTTCTGTTGCAAACTTGGTAGTAATCATCGAGCTGATTACGGTCTTTGATTGTTGGGTAATAGTCGAAAGCGACGTAAATGTTGCTGTCGGCATTAGACAAGATACATTACCCTTTTGTTGGACATTTAGCGCATGAAAGTCGGCGCTACCACCTTCAAGGGATACTTTAATACATCCAGTCGCTTGCTGCCCTGCACATTGCCTAAAATCAGATGGTTAGAAAATGAATAATTGACGGGGGAGAATCGGTTCAAACCATAAAAATGTAGCGGGTCCGGTAGGTACCTCAAGGGGTATAGATATTTCAGCTTCTTGGAATGCAGAGCATGCTATTGGTTCAAATGTAAATGTGACAGGCAGAAAGTCGTCATCAGAGAATAACAAAGTGAGTTCGCAGGGACCGCTAATCGTATTCTCGACCCTGGAAGCTATTAGCATTGTTCGTGATAGGCAAGGAATATTTGATCTACCCTGTGATTAGTTTATCCCCAGCCTTGATGGTAACAAGGGGAGATAGCATACACGTGGAAGGGGCTCCAAGTGTATGCGCAAGACCTGCTAAGAATGCTAAGGCTGTTGTTCTGTTCATATTGAAATTTATGTTGATTGATTGTTTTAGAACGCGTCGATGTCGTGAAATTTTGATACTGAATGTATAGGAATCATGACACGAACGCGTTATATATGGCTGAATACTAAGAGACAGAACTTCAGAGAGACAACAACGTTTTTTCGTAACCCGTCTGCTCGTTCCCCGTCTTCCCGCTTTCAGTTTACGAGTACCGTCTATGCGCTAATCGACACGGGATTGTGTTTCCGAGTCCCCATGATCATAACTAATGCACGAGTGAGCCGCCCCCTGGCGACTGTAAGCCTCTTATCTGCCGCGGTCGGCTTTGACCGACCAAGGATTGGGCGCTAAAGTGAAGTAAAGCAATGTCGGCCGGTCCTTCAAATGCCACAACAACAATGATATAAAGCACCTCGACTTAACTCGGTAGAACAGAACAGATAACATCAATCAATTATATCATTTGGATACCTGAGAAGACAAAAACAACAACCTCTTACAAAAATGACATCGAACAATGCAGCAACATGGAACGCAGGCGACATACCATCTGATGGAAACAACTTGGTAGACTGGTCTTTTGATATAAATGAGATGTCCGACTGGTCTTTCGGAGATCTGCCGTCAATGGCACCCATTGCACAGTCATCATCCGACAGCGGGATAGAATTGCACAACGGACCCACTGAAGGAACTGCGATCATCCATAAAATATGTTGCCAGTGCACAAACGTTAAGTCGTATGTACCTTGTTGATACTTTTTTAATCCTCATTACGTCTAATTTAACGACCAAACAGATTTGAGACAATGATGGACGAGATTCGTAAAGTTGTTGCACAGGCGAGAGAAGACCAGATGGACGCTGTCGAAAAAAGGATTACATCCTTGGAAGCTAGAGCCGTTCTCGTGGAAAGTATTGTTCAAGATGTCAAAGAGGGTGCTGGGAAGTTTAAGGGCAGATTGGACCGTTATTCCGATGAGGTAGATGATTTGCATGAGCGAATCGATAAAGTCAATAAATGGCTTGGGGACGCACACGAAAAGGTGGAATTTCTGATGGATATGGAAGATAAGAAAGTATAAGCTATCTTTCCTGAAATTAGTACATTTGCGCGTTTTATTTTATCTGAAGTTAAAGCATTTTTTGATATCAAAATTGTTCAATCTAATTATACACTACTCTCCCAACAGTATGGTTCGCGTCCAGGCTCTTGACCCATATAATCTGCAACTACATTCTTTTGTCACACAGGAAGCCCGGGGAATTGAATCTGACTATAGATGACAAGGGATTAGAGTCAACACACATCTTGATTGGTATCTAAACAAATTAATATGGAGAATGGTCAAAAATCACTATCCCGAGACTATGGTTTATCCTTGTAAAGACGTGCTGTACAGGGGTAGTTCCTAGCTTATCACAAGTGCTGACTGATTTGAAATACATTCTCGAGCAGCAACCCTCTCAGCATTGTGTACCAACGGTATCAAACATTCATACTGCATCTCTTTGTGTTTCAAAAAAGGATGCTTAGATTGTTAGCTACATATTATAGAAAATGGCAAAGTGGAAGGGGAGACCAACTTTCAACAGGTTGTGTATATCTCCTTTATAAGAAAAGCACATTTCATAAAAGTCTAGAAATTCTGGAGATGGTTCGAAACTAGCGTCTAAGCCTTTCCCTGTCGCATTCCCCGAGAGCATCTTTTGACGAAGGGTGTGAGTGTCCGGCTGATCCGAGCTCTGAGTGATTATGTGGATCGCCAGGTTACCTAGCGTATGCAAGTCTGTGCGGCAGTTATCAGGCGTGTTCATTTTGGGGATTATACGGGAACCGAAGTTTGCGAGTTGTACTTTCCCGTTTCGTTTAAGAAAGACGGTAGAAGCATCGAGAGTATCGTAAATCAGTTCGATTCCTGATTCGCGAGTCCTCTTGTGAAGATAAGAAAGTGCGGAGACAACCTGTATCAGCACAGCTGATAAATGATCTTCGCTGAGATGAATTGTACAATGAATGATGTCTTCCAATGACACATCTGACAGCTCTGAACCAACATACATCCTTTCCTCAAACCGGAAGACGCATAAAGTTGTCAGAAAAAACTCACTTCCACTAGGCTCACGAGCTAGATCTACCAAGCGTAACCTTTCTGGGGTATAGTTTCGAATCGTGCATGATTTTAAGACGTATTCGGAACGTGGACTCCTTTTCGTCTCTTTCGGGTATGCAATGAAAGTTGAATTTGTGTACCCCAACACGAGAGTTTGTTGGTGATTGAAATCTTCCCATTTCATGTTTTGATAATTGCTTTCGGTAGTTGATTTCTCGACTAGGGTCTGCGACTGCACATGATCATAACCGTTGGTAATTTTATTTTGATCAAGGGTGGTAGAGTGGGCCTTGACTATGGGGTGAGTCTGCCCAACTAATCTCTTGGTCCAAGTATTCATATTCTTCGTGGTAAGATCGTAACATCAAATATACATTTCAAAGACCTCATTCGAGATAAATCTGTATATATATATGAGAACTGATCAATCTGTGAATTGAAAGTTGGACTAGACTGGAAAGATTGGATTTGGAGTACGGTTATTGTGCACCTAGCTATGCTTTTGAAGATTCGGAATACCGGAAACAGTATTTGACTGAAACAGATATACATATATTACAACAAAATATAACATGAGAAATAAAAGGATCGATTTTCAGTAGTTTTCACACTTAACAAATAATCAGGCACCCAACCGTATATAAAAATGACATTATCAGAGACAACATGGTTGACATTTGGAGCTGGCTCCGAAGGTTTACTATTACAAGAGCATCAACGTCCTTACACCATTCTCGGTGATTTGTCCCTTGATCAACAAAGACCACAAATGATAACCTTCATTGGAGAGCAAACAAAATCACGAGTGCTGAGAAAAACTCGATTTGGATTCCGGGAACAAAAAGGGATTAGCGGCGAGGTGCAACTTCGAGTAGACTACGAAACAATCAGGGAGCCAGAACCGGTTTTCTATGCAGACTGCGAGTTGCACAATCCATCACGCCCAATGACAGTAGCCACTGAGAATTACGGTGATATTACACCAAGGGCCCTTCCATTTCCACGGGACTTTGATTCTAAATTCCTCTCTTATCAAATTTATTCAAAGCTCCTATCGCCGTTCAGTACCGTGATTTGTCTCTTTGCAGACGATCTTGGAGGCCTAACTGGAATTTTGGATGTCTTGGCGACTTGGTTGACAAGCTTGCCAGAGGCTCCTACTGACCTTCCAGCCTCGACGTATCCGAAGGTGTTGATCTTTAAAAGCACTGAAGAAGTCCCGAGTGCCCTTGAGTGGGAGAATGGAGCTACCAAGAGATTCCTATTAGACTTGAGTAAAGAGGTTGCAGGAAGACAAGGAGAGACTCCGAGAAAAAAGGACTTGAATGTATTGCTGGCAAAGCATTTTAGCGGCCTGCATGTTTTAAGTCTTCCAGTACTGACATCTTCGCAAAGAACTTGGACGCCTGTAAGGGATCGTCTCCTCCAAGAGTCTGCAGATATACAGAAGCTCCGCAACAATCACCAAGTCGCATTTTCGATCCGCCACTTCAAAGCTTTTTTCCACTATGCAATTCGTCACTTTTGCTCAACTGAAGACTCGGCTTTCAGTTTTATAGAGGCATCTAGATTTTCAAATCCCGTATCAGAACATTTTCTTGCTCATCTGACTGCATTCTTACAAAATGTTGATAGAAAACAGTTATTAAATTTCGGGGTCCCGATTATTGCTTCTGCGCTAGTCTTTGATAGTTATCCTCCTGGAATGCATGGTATTGTTATCAAAACTCTCTCGCGAGAAATATTTATTGACAGCTACCAGCATTTCACCCTTTACTGGTTTTTCGGAAGTTCTTTTACCAGACTTGTCTCAAAATTGACCCTTTCAAATACCCTCAATTGACCAAAGGTATCGAAACGGCATTTTGCCAGTATGCCGTCAATGTAGTCAGTTCAAGCGATGAAGGGTCGGTTCATAAAAATACACTCTCTCGATTCAACAACGAATGGAAAGACATTTACAGCAACACTACCTGCTTCTGCTGTATGGCTCGAAGACCGGAAAACACCATGACTTGTCGCCACGCAATATGCGACGAGTGTACAATATCTGTAGGAAAGGAACTCGAATCGCATGCTTGGACTTTTCTGATTCCGCACTGCATCTTTTGTGGAAAGGCAAACGACAGAAAATTTCGTCTTAAACCAAATACAGCTGGTGTAAGGTCAATTATTGCGGAAGGTGGCGGAATAAAAGGAATCATCCCTTTGTCGTTTCTTAAAGAACTAGAAACCGCCATCGGGCTCCCCACTAGTATTCATGAGCACTTTGACTTGGCTTTTGGGAGCAGTTCAGGTTCACCATCACCTATTTCCAACTTCAATATGCATGCTGACCGTTTACAGGTGCGTTGGTTATATTGGGATTGTTCTTCAACAAATGGACTGTAGATAAATGCTTGACACATTTCCAAGAGTTTTCGCAACTCGTATTCCAGAAGAGGGTTCATTTTGGTCGAAGCCTTCCGGGATTGAATTATTTGAATCGGGTTGTCGAAGGGATTCTATCACTTGCGGCAGATAGCCGCTACAGCTCCGCAGGAATTAACAAAGCCTTGCAAGAATCATTTGGGATGGAGTCCTCCCTGTTCGAAGCTAATTCCGGAGTCAAGATAGGGGTCATTGCTACAACCACAGATGATTGTTCCACGTGCATTTTTACAAATTACAATGGACATGAAACTAGGTCTGAGAGTTGCGGTTTGTACCACGTGCGAAAATTTCCACATGATAGCTGACATATTTAACTCAGGATACCGTATGATTCGACCTGAAGATAAAAAAAAGGAATTATTTGTATGGCAAGCGTAAGTCGCAAAAAGATTTATAGTATACATTTACTGACTTTTAAAGAGCACGGGCTAGCTCTGCGGCGCCACCGTAAGTTTTACAATCTGATGTATATATATGAAACTGACCACTGTAGTTACTTTAGATCTTTTGGTGGCTACCAGGATGGTGGTCTTGGTGGGCATAATAATCCGATAAATTTAGCCATTTGGGAACAAGATATGATTTGGAACCGATCCAAGAAGCAGCCTGACATTGTAGTCTCTCTCGGTACAGGCTTCATACAAACTACCAAAGAAGAAGCCGAGGAAAACTCTCAACAAATTTCTTTTTTCAATTCTCGCTGCGTCCCTCGACTATTTGCTTCATTCTTGAACCTCTTCGTGGGAGAGAGTAGATGGCGAGAGTTGTGCAACACTCTATCCCCACAGGTACGGGATAGGTACCATCGTCTCAATGTCGAATTTTCGGGGTCTGAGCCAGCACTCGATGATACACAGGTTATACCAGGTCTCCGTCAACATGTGCAGTGGCACGTTTCAGCCAACAACGAAATCAAACAATGTGCCGATAACCTTCTAGCATCTTTGTTTTACATTGAGCTCGATGGACTGCCTGTATTTGACCGTGCCCTTTTCGTGTGTCAAGGACGCATACTTTGTCGATTGGGTCCATCTAGCAATGGACTTCAAGTGCTTGCAACTCGCTTGAGGGAGAGAAGGGCTAAGTTTCACCTCGACTTTCATCGTTCAGTCTTTGCAATCGATTCGGACATGATTATAGACATTGAAGCCGGAAAGCCATTTTCAAAAACTATAATATTTAGAGCGAGGTCATTGGCGGATTCGCTTGACGTCAAAATCGACGGTGTAGTGTCTAGACAACGAAGCATTAGTAATTGTCCGTATGTAATTGAAACATTGATCAAAGATCAGGGATTGGATTGCGAATTTGGACGCAGAGGTATCAAAAGGAATAATGATTTCCGAAATGACCGGTTTCCAAAAAGAATAAGGCGCCTGGAGTAAATTAATCTAATGTTAAATGGTTTATCATTTGTGCGGATTTTAGAATAATAAAAAAGACTTCGTGAACTCTGCCTTCCTTGAGACTCAATAAATCATGTGATCCATCGTCAAAAAAAGATACCATACTCGTCGTGAGTGCGTGTTCCAGATCATCAATATTTGAAATTGGATAATGGATAATAATGTAGTGTAAGAGGTCTAACGTTATGGTAGAGTCTTTAGGTGATGCTGTAGCGGCAGTGATAGTTGAGAATGTCATTATAGATCAGGTATCACGACAGCATGCTAGATGCAGAGAGGGAACTTGTAAGATGTTCATTCAATTTGATATGTACGGGAGTGTGTGGCTTGTGATTGAGGCTGCCCTGTGAATTGCACTCTCTACACTAAATCTAGAACCCGAGCAAGATATTGCGCTTCTTCCCGACCTCAACTAAGCCCAAGTACAGAATACCCAACCTGTATGTAGGCAGTTAGAGAGTAGAATTGCCAATTAACATAGAGACTCACGATCAAATCCAATTTTCGCCATCCTGATTCTGGTTGCTCTTTATAAGAGGATCGGGCTCAGAGTACTGAGCACCTTTTCCTTCTTGCACATCAAGGAGGATATTTTCAAACCTTTGTGCACTTAGTGTGGTTTGCTGGAAGAAAGCTTTCGCGGTAACATTTATCCTTCGGTACCGACGAAGTCGGTCCCTGCCAACTTGTATGTCATGTCGCAGCGATTGATTTTCCTTTCGAAGCATTTCATTTTCTATCTCTAATGAAGAAACCAAGGCAGAGCCAGGAGTCAAAGGAAGTGGCTTACTGACTGGTCTTTCGTTCGCCTTCACGAAGGTTAACGGTTGAAGCAGATATTTGTTCATATTTCGATGATGTTTGAATTTTCAGGCTCAGGTTGCAGATATACAGGGTAGGGTGTAAGGCTAATTTTTAATAAGTAGTCTATCGACAATCACAATCCCGGTTTTGGTATCCTGGATAGGACTACCCCGCATCTTTGAACCGAGAAACCCCCCCCCCCCATTTCCATACACAGGTTCAATTCAGCCCTGGGAAGAGGTTTCTACTAGCAAAACTGTTACTATTCCAGGTCCCGTTTAAGAGAAAAATATTTACTGGTAGATTTCTATTGAAAGATTCCTCCTAGCAAAACTTTTACTGAATCCCGAATCCTGTTAGTTCCAATAAAAATATTCACTGGTAGATTTCCATTGAAAGATTTCTACTAGTAAAACTTTTACTGAATCCCGAATCCTGTTAGTTCCGATGAAAATATTCACTGATAGATTTCCATTGAAAGATTTCTACTAGCAAAACTTTTACTGGTAGATTTCCATTGAAAGATTCCTCCTAGCAAAACTTTTATTGGATCCCGAATCCTGTTAACAATGTTCCGAGAAAAATACTTACTGGCAGATTTGTATTGAAAGATTTCTACTAGCAATATTTTTCGTAAAACAGTCTAATTCGAAGTTCCGTAATTCCTGCAAGATCTCTACTGAAAGATTTCTGCTAGAAGATTTCTACCGAGAGACATCTATCAACGGATACCTACTAGAAAATCTTATTTTATCGAGCTTGGATATATTAAAGTTATCGGCAAAATTCTAGAACGGAATTTGGAATTTGGAATTCTTCTTCAAATCAATTTCAACTCATTTCGTAAATTTCTACTACAAGATCTCTACTACGAGTAGTCTCAAGTGCATACGCAAGAACCATGTCACAAGTACAGATGCAAGAAACCCCCAATAATGGAAAATTGGTGTTGATCGGAACCGCAAAAGTCGGTGTCTTCTGCTCTAAAGCTGAGGGGAGCAAAGAAGTGAGCCGAGGAATCGTGGAAGGATTGAAACGAACATATCGCGAACAAAATTATAAAGATCACGACAACTCTAGTTACATTCCAGTTCTCTTAAACGAAACAGAATTAAAGAAGATTTCAGAATCTGGCAGCAAAGATTTCCAACAGCTCAACAATTTAACGATTCATGCAAGATACTCCGATGGTGAAGTGTATTGTAACGTCAGAAACACCCAAAAATTGAATGACGAGAAAGGGATCTCCGATTGGAAAGAAAAGCTAAGCCATTGCAAGAGAATCAGTTTGGATCAATTACTTAAACGTGAAGATATTACAGAACTACTCGACCACCTTCTGTCAATACCGGGTCTATGGACAGGGTTAGAGTTGGGAAATATTCAGAAGAATTTAGCCTTACGCTGTGATGAGGAGATTACGCGATATCTAGGACATATTCGGTCAGTTTGGGAGAAAGTGACTCTGAGCGATGGAAAAATTCAAAGGGCGGCAGATGTAACGACAGTCCGACTCCTGCAACTTCGGGTCCCTTTTTTGAGTCGCAGTGATGGGGAATTTGTTAAATCCGAAATGGCATCCGGCAAATTATTTCCCAAGATAGTTGACCCCAAAACAAGAAAAGATATATTAGAGGCTATATTGAAAGTGGATTGTTTGATACCAAGTCTCAAAACGATGCATGAGAACCTCAAATACTTGGAAGTTGGTGCAAAAGTATTGAAAACTCTCCTCGTCGCGAAGAGCCCACGCCTAACCATACACAATGCCCTACGTTCGGCTTGGACCTATAATGGTGAGATTCTTGTTGATAATAAGGATAAAAAGGCATTTATCAAAGCAAACCATTCGGATGGATCCGCATGGGACATCATTTACAAGCAAGTTTGGATTTTTGCACTTAGAAATTTCTCTGAGCTAGGAGGACGCGCACCTAGAAAGGAAAATAGACTGCCGTCATACCAGCCCATAATGGACCCGGTACTGCAATATGAGCTTTTAAAGTTCGCGAAGGACTCGGGGATCAATACAAGGAAGATTGACAGTACGCTAGAGAGCGATCCTAGACACACTCATACGCAGGACAAAATTGAAAGCGTAACCGCTAGCTTTGTGAAAGATCCACCAATCATCAACTCGAATGATTTCTTCTCACCAATGGACTTGAGTCGCCGATGGGGTGTTCCTTTTGCAAAAAACTATGCTACGGGGAAGGAAGACTTCTACCTTTACAACCTTTCCAAGACATCATGCGCAAAAGACGATATGCCTAACCATTTATTCATTTTAAGTGATTTCATCTCCTCATTCTTTGGAAAAACACCTCATTTTGAAGCTAGTCAGATCGATAACTCTAAGAAACAAAGAACTTACGGTTTAAAGGCTCAAATTAACACCGTCAAAAGCTCGTCTTTCTCTTCGATTCATGAACATGACGGCCGTTCATCTTTTTCCGTTGCTCCCAGGGACCAAAATATCGTTCAATCTACCATATTTCCCAAGACATCTCAATCGAAAAATGCAAGTCCAAAGGAAGGATCAGATTTTGTGTTTGACTCATCGACTGTATCTTCTGGTGGACCAAAAAATACCACAACGGAGCAAAATCGATTCCAAATCGAGTGGATGAACAAAGGTTCGAATCCAGAGATAGATCCAGAAATTACATCAACAATAAACAAAGAACTAGTAGGTCATCTTGAGCAGATAAAAAAAAGTAGTGATAGCCATCTTGGTATTCAAGGGACCGGTATTCATGAGGGTGGAGGCGATTTCATGAGAAAACCTTCCATTATTCAAACACCAAAGCGGAATCTGCCTGAAGGTATGGAACAGGAAAATATTAAAGGGAAAGGAAAGGAAATATTTGATTCAAAGGGTTTGGCGCTGGCTACAGAGAGATTTCAAAGATATCGATCGCCAGTTATATCGATAGCATCGGAAACATCTTCATCGGATACTGATAGTATGATCTTTAAGCATAGATTAACTTATGGTGCAAGAAATCCTAATTTAGACATTGGAACCATCACATGGAAGCCAGAAGAAAGCCCTAATTCACACTTAAGATCACCAGGACTACCGGATGTCTTACCAGTCGCATCATCACTCGGACAGGTGGTTAGCCCCAGCTACAATCAATCAGTTCCCCAGTCAGACGCTCGCAGTCAAGGTATGAAGGACGTAGCACTGTTGACGTTGGAAAGAGCTCGGTCACCCGCATTAACAATAGCTCTACCCAGTCTATCTCCGAACCATAAGATAGATCACCAATACCAGTCACTGGAGAAGAGACCCAGCCAGCAAACTGTGATCATGCAACCAAAACTACAAAGTTCTCCTCCAGTGGAGGAACACAATCATGCTGCTTATTTGTCCAGGCAGCAAACAAGCTCGATAGTTTCTCATACTGCCACAATCGAACAGAAAGCTATCACTGATGATGAATGGAGGCCTGAAACCCCACAGCGATCACCAATAATGTCAATGGTAGGCACTAATACAATCCTGTGGCAAGATGATGTAGATTCCGAGAGGCTTGCTACAGTGCAGCCAACAGTGTCTACGACAAGGAAAGAGATCACCATCAACCCTCAATACATGAAACATCTTACACAGGATCCAAGCAATAGATCTGAGCCTTTAGATTTGCGGTCTCCTGTGCAGCTAATTAATTACACAACACAACAATACAAAAGTCTTACCAAGTTTGCCAATTTGAACACATCAGAGACAAGCCTTTTAGCCAAGCCCCAAGGAGACGACCAGGCGATGGACTACGAGCCAACAAATACCCTAGTCTTATCATCACTGTCAAATCGAGTACCTAACATGATTGATGAAGATGAAAACATGGAGGATATATCATCAATTAGTTTGCCAATGGAACTTCCCAAAGAAGCAAGGAGATCAATTCCAATAGCTGCAACATTCAGTGAGGAAGAGGATGAACCTATGGAGGACCCAAAACCAGTTAAACTATCTGTCAGTGTTGAAGAAGAGGCGATAGTACAAGAAACATCAACAGTTCGTTTGGCAATAGAACTTCCAAAAGAACCTAGAAGATCAATGCCTATTCCCCTCCCTTCAGAAATGACACCGACTGCAATTGCTGACGCGAAAAGTAACAATTCAGATGAGGATACTTCAGTAAGTTATGATAATACTGATATTTGATCCAGTTTACTAACTTTCATAGGAACGAACAGAAGAAAAAAATGCGAATAAGTCTATATTTACTCCATCAATATTACTCCCAGATAATAAAAGGGCGCTGATTGTTTTTAATGCCCCAGGCCGAGAAGTCACCGAAAGCCCAATCTCCGAATCTTCAAACAACAGCTCAATCCCTTTTAAATTGTGGATCAAAATAAATGAGTTTAATGGAATGAGAAGTCAACAACGGGCTTTCGAGACAATGAAGGACATTGAGTTTTATCTCAATAGGCGTCATGATTGGGCATTATTGATTGATACCCCTAGTTCTAGAGGCTGGAAAACCATTTCCACTAAGCATTTTCTCAAGCATATTAAAACAAGAAGCACCGCTAGTGATACGTACTATTGTTTCCAACGTCAACATTACGAAAAGATGAAAAGCCAATCAAGAGGTAAAGTTTTCAAGCATTCAGGAAGGAAGGAGTCTAGCAATGCAAAATCTGAAGACATGAAGACAAAGAGACATGCCTTTCTGGATAGAAGAAAGGATTTAGACAAGATTATTACAAAGAAAGAGCAACCAAAAGACGTAAAATGGGTGAAAACAAGTCAGCCATCAAGAACACAAATACAGTCAGAGGAAAACAGGGATTCTGAGCAACCAGAAGGCGCAAATTCCTTGAAAAAAAAAGAGAAGGAGAAAGAAGAGGAAAACATCCTATTACAAGAAAGAAAACAGGATGAAATTATCTCCGAACAAACGGAACATACAGAATCGGCCTTCATAAACTCAAAGCAAAAAACGTCTTCAGAGCCCCTAGAAACAATTCCAATCAATTCTAAAGAGATATTGAAGACAGAAAAGTTCAAGCCTAATTACATACTGGAAGAAAAAAAGGAGTCAAATGAAAAAGAGCCGACAGACGAAGTAAAACCAACTGTCATCCGATCTGAGGAATTTGATCGTTCAAAGTTATCAGAGATTTCAGATATTGTAAGGAATATCAAGAGGAAACATTCTCCAGATCTTGATCATATTAAAAATGGTATAAGAAAGAGGGAGCTTCCAGAATCTGGAATTTCAAAGATGAGGAGACTTTCAGAAGGTCACAAGCTTGCAACAGCCCCTGGTATAATAAAGCCTCGTCCTAGTCCTATTTTTCTAAAGAGGACAACTACAAAGGAAAGATCACAAGCACTGCTGAGCGTAAATGAAGTAGAGAGTGGGGGACCTCGAGGATCACCGGAGCTATTCCCCGTCGAAGATTGAGGACTGACTTAAATGTTAAGAATTCTTTCGGCTAAGGCACACAGCCATCTCCATATCAATATTTTGGTGCCTTATTAGTCTTTTATCTCGATGTTTCAAGTGTAAATAGTAAGCATTCACCTTATTAAACGTACTAACTAAACAAACAAAAAAAAATGCCTCTCCTATCTGTTCCCCACGCTCCATACCACTGTCCTTTTCTTCACCTTTTCCTATAAGTTACTATTCTGTATTCACAGTTGTTCCTCATTTACTCAAATCCCTTTGGCATTGAAGATTTTGAAGCCAAATCTCTCAAGTTCTTAGAATATTGATCTTGTACAGCGGCATAGGCTTCTGGATTGGACAAAATAGTAATGTAGAATATATGTTGGGGGTGCTCCCTGTTGGAGTTTTAGTGCACCTGTCATAGGGCGTCCTAGCGCCAAAATCAACTGCTATTATGATTAAACCACCTGAAAAGTAACAGTGTTGCAGGTATTGCTTTTTCGTTTACAAGTTTTTTCTATATCAAGGATGGATTTTGACTATATAATTAGAAAGAAAATTATGTTGCTCTTAGATTGGGTATAAACTACAAAAATCAGTGGGTAAATTAGACGTCCTAACCTTGAACCCCAGCCAACGAATAATTGTTGGTCACTGCTTTGATCCCCAATGCGCCCCGAGTGCCTGCCATACTTTCGATGGTCCTTACGATACTCTCTATTGAAACCCTACATGCTACAACCCGTGAAATAATTAAACGTGAACCCTAGATCCTGACGACGATCTTTCACGCGATGACCTGAACTCTGGTATTTCTCTCATGAGGGATCTTGAGATCATTTCGTCTTTGATTCGGGAGATGCTTCGGCGGGGGTTCGAGTGACCGGCTTCACCCAGATATTTTCTGGGTCTTGACATCCTTTCCGAACCCTCTTCATCATCATTTGGAACATCATATGGGTTTAAAAACGTCCGCCCTCGGTCTAGTGCTGAATTTGTCCGTTTGATACCCCGGGTATAACTCGAAGAGCTAACAGGCATCGGAGGCGAGCTCATGGTGGAGGGAGCTGAATTAGTAACTGGAGGTGAGGTTGCGGCAGGTACGAATGAAGTTGCGGATTGTGCAGTGGAAGGTGGGGGAGTATATCGTGTAGACGAAGTAAGCCCTGTTGCCATAGCTTCGTTGTGTGTTCTGTAATCGCCAGGGCCTGTACTTATGACATTCTAAGCATGTTGTTAGCGCAAAAATTTATTTCGAACATGGAATCAAATCGCGTACATCATTGCCTGAGAGCACAGGCAGGGAGGAAGACTCTTCGGAACTGTAAATACACGTCTGTTCGTCGTTTTGAACAATAACCCAGACCCTAGTTCCTGGACACAACACAGCTAGCTCATCCCCTTTCTTCATGACAGTCTGAGTTCGGTCGTGGCAAGCCCGCTTTCGTCTACGTTCATCACCAACAATTGGCGTCAATTTCCTGGTATATTTGGCCATTCTGGAAATATGAAAAGAATTGATATATTTCTGCAAATCAGAGAGTCAAGAAACTGATTTCGAAAGTTCGAAGAATTGATTTTCGAATATCCGAAATACCGTTCGACTCTTTAAATATAATCAAGTGTTGTTGGTAGTCAAAAATAGAGTTCGTAAAGCCGCGCGCGTTACAAAATGACTAACCATAGAGTTGCAGGCGCTTATGCAGCCCATCACTTGTTCCCGAAAGCCGAACTTCAAAATACGGGAGTTGGTTGAACCATCATCATGACTGCCGCTGGATCTTTACTTCGGGATTTACCCATGGTCCCTTTCGAGTTTCAAGAAAAAAACACTTATAATCTCATTTCATGGAAGGTTATCTCAATCACTTAAATAAAAAAAATTATCATCATCATTTCGTTATGAACTTGACACAGTGGTACGCAATCTCTTTGGCCGCAACAGTGGTTCTCCTAATCATTTATCGAATTGGGTACATCAGTTCTACCTTCCTTATGGCACGATTCCAGGTGTTAGCTTTAAGGCATTTCATATATCCCTTACTTGTTCAACGTAGATATTGGACTGGTGTCACGAGATTGCAAGGCTTACTCGTCGGGGGATATCTAGCTATCAATGGCTTTTGTATGGGCCTTGGTGTAAAGACCATGTCCGACGTTATCTCTCGTGCGGGAATTATGGCCTCAGTCAATGTTGTACCGCTTTTTTTGGGTGGGCGGACTAACACGTTGGCGAATTTCATCGGTATCTCCATCCACTCTTATTATATAGCACATCACTGGGTTGGTCGAGTTGTCATTGTTCAAAGTCTTTTGCATGTTGGATTTGCCATAGCTGCTGGTCAGCCATGGACCTTCAACTCATCTCAAATTTCTGGAATTTCTGTAAGTAAATAAAGTCTTGTGTGTCCCTCTCTCTAACCCAATCACAGGCTGCATCTGCATTGTCCCTCTTGCTAATTACGTCGATATTCTTTTTGCGGAGATTGATGTTTGAAGTATTCCTCAAGATCCATTTTCTATTAGCTTTTATCGTTATTATTTCCCTGATGCAACACGTGGCATACCTTGGTTTAACTCGAAGTATGTTTCCGATAATTGCATTATCCTTGTGGTCTTTGAATGCTATAATGCGGTGGGGAAAGATGTTTTACGATAACGTTGGTGGTGTCGGTAGTTCCTTAACACCGCAAGCAGATATTTTCCACTATTATGACAACTCGAAAACGAGAACTGTCAGTGCAATAAGACTGACGGTCCTACTTAAAAAGCCTATGAAAATACACCCAGGTCAATACATGTATTTGTTTCTGTCGGATATGGGTGTTCGTCGACGTTTCCAAGCACATCCATTCGTGATTGCATGGTGGGACGATTCCATGAAGGCTACTAAACTTTCCTTCTTGATTGAGCCTAGCAATGGCCTGACCTCAGATTTGGTTGGACGGGGCTCACTTCGTAGGGTTGTGATGGATGGGCCTTATGGAAAAGATCTAAGATTGGAGGATTTCGAAAATGTTATCCTTGTAGCAAAGGGAATCGGAATCGCCGGAATAATTCCATACGTTAGAAGTTTAACTTATCGTAGGGTAAATAAGGATAAAAGTCACGAGTCATACAGACGAGGTCTTATTACAAGGAAAATCGATCTGTATTGGATCCTTGAAGACAATTGCCAGGAAGACTGGATATCAGATTGGCTTGTGGATCTGCAAATGAGAGACTCGGAGAAGGTATGTCACCCGGGCCTGACGTATGCTGAAAGAAGTGCTGACCTACTGCTGCAGATATTCCTTAATTGCACGTGTTTTTATCCACACAAGATAATGAAACCCCCCCCAATCGTGGAAGATCCCCATTGGAGATTTGTAGAGCAACAACAACCAATCACAATAATTGAAGGATTTATAACCAAGCAGGTACAGAGATCTGCTGGGAGGTCTAAAGTCGCTGGTATGCCTAACAATCCACCCGTATTCATCATGAATTCAAGCTCAATCTAATTTAGTTTGTGGAACATCTGGATTCACTCATGTACTCCGCAACATTGTAATCGAAACACTGAAGGAGTATGATGATGTTGAGTTTGCTGAAGTTGAGTATCAACCACATGGAGTGCACCACATTCACTCGGGAGTCACTTCTAAAGCCTGGGATCAAATTGAAATGGAGGCCATAAAGTTTCCCTCACGATCCAATACTAGAGGTCGACGTCTGCAGCGGTCACAACTTGAGTACACAAATAGTTATACACGCTCTAGAAAAAGATCTATCAGAAAATCTCCAAGGAACGACAGGTTAATCGAATGGAGATCAGGAGCATCAAATCAACTCACAACTTTGGAAGAGGCAGATGAGAAGCCAGATGAGAAGCCAGATGAGATTCAAGATTGGAAAAAGATGGATGTGAGGGAAATTGTTTAACTGTACATTCAAAGATGACGGACTCTGGTGTCTAGATTCACCTGATTAAGAGTCCTATTGATTTATAGTGAATAACTAAAATAGTAACAAAATAAATGTTCCACAATTAATTGCGGGGTTACTGCCTCCCCACTCTAGCATATTTCGAAGGCGCTCGTGCTAGAGTGGGGAGGCACTACCCACAATTACTGCTTTGCTCCACTACAACTCTATTAATGCAACGTTTGAAAGCCCAATCACAAGCTGTTTCTAGACACCGGAGGTGTTTTTTGTAATAGTTTGATTGGTCATGCTATTAATGTTCGGCTAGAAAGGTTCCATCTTCCAAGCTTCCCATCCCTGTCATATAATTCATTCTTTATCTCCATTGATGGGAAAGTATCATTGGTCAGATAGCGTGTTCATTCGAACAATTCGCCCAAAGCTAGCAAGGATTGATTATTTAAGCTCATCGTGGGTTAGGGTTGTGGAAAACGCCAGAGCTATTTGATTCGTTATATCAATGGATTATTCATCGAATGCCTTATATTTCTGTTGAATGGTTCTATTTTGAAGTGTTTAGAGGGAAGCCAATTGGCTCTAAGAGAACCTTAAATCATCAATCCTTGCTAGCTTTGGGCGAATTTTTCGAATGAACACTGTACTTGTAGACTAACAACACAAAGATCTAACTTGATACTGATGACTGGTTTACCGTAATCCGTTTACCGTCCACGGTATCTTGTTTGCAGTATGACTTACCATGTTATATAACAAAATGTATGACCCTAAGAATATCAAAATATTAAAAATCCAAGCATTACACAATCACAAATATAGAATCAAAAACCACAAGAAATCTTGATACAGACGTGAGTATAGTATCTTCTATCATCCTGATATTCATTTGACAAAAATCAACAGAAACATGTGCCTTTTCCCATTTTTCTCTTTCAGAAAGGCAGACAAGGTCATCTACCATGATGACTTACCAGCATATCGGCCCATCGATCAAGAACCAAGCCCACCTTCTACAACTCGGTCGTACAAATACACCTTTGACATTCCATCACCTGGAACCATGAATATCACTGCAAGAAATGATGGTACTTTGATTTTTCACCATATTCCTACCGCCAAGACCGGTTTCTCACACGGAGGTATTACGGGAGGGTTTGATGGTGGGGACAATGTCACTGGTTTGAGTGCTGAAGCGAGACAAGAGAAGTTGGACCAAACAAAGTTGAGACTTCAAGAAGCAAGAGCCAAATTCCAAGAGTCAATGGACCGCCTAAATCAAGAATTAACTCTTGTGAGGGATGATGACTCTGCGACTCTGTTAGAGAATGAGGATGTGGGAAGTTCAATTGGGGATGAAATCCCTTTTGAGGACAATGATTGTAAGGAACTAGTCAAGATTTAAGATACTTGGCCTCCACAGTGGATTTAGAAACGACATAGTTTGACGAAATTTCAATAGACTAATAATCTCACCACATTCCTTTTCTTCAAAACCTGTTCGTATCCAACTCTCATATTCCAAACTTGTACATTCCATGATTGCGATCTGACACTGTTGGTACTGCTCAGCTACCTGTTTGTATTCCTCCTTGATCTTATCCGTTGACTTGGGTTCATCCACCACTTTTTTTTAGTGATAACCACATCTTTCACCTTGATTTCGCCGGCCATCTTAGTATCATCTACCAGTCTACTTTCGGTCCCTGCCGTGCCATCGCTCAACGATTTGCGCTCATCCACCATCTCAACATCATCTGCCATTCTAACGTCCGTCCCTGTGTCCCGAGACGCACCCCGTAACGAGACAAATCTGTAATTTTGGAATCATAACTTTTTTCTGAGCAAGTCTACAGAGTTGCTATCAATATATTATTTTCTTTAGCCATTTCTCTCTAAGAAAACCACTTAGCAATGAGAAAAAGACGGTGGTTGGTTATGTTATTGATCGTTCCAACTACATCGTCAATCGTCGTTTTCGCTGTCCACCCCTGTTTAATCACAACTACTGATGTCTTCTCCTAATTCGGAGCACTTTAGGAAAGGTTCTATTCTGAAATAATATAGCTCCAAATTTTGAAGATACATAGAGAAGAAAAGAATGGAGTCCGAGGGTTACTCCGATATAAGGACACAGTCTTATATTTTGATGCTTAGTGATACATATTTTAGCCAAGCTGCAGTTCACTATATTCACGCCCGGGATCGCTAAATTTCATCATAGGCATAGCCACGCATGTGGCGCAAGAGTGGAGCGCCGTTCTTCTCCATCGCGACTACACAAGACGCACGTTCTAGCATAAGGCGCACGCTCTGGCGTGCCTCGATTATACTGCGTTCTTATAAATTATAACAACATCCTTCATTCTGCATTCTCTCTCGTGCTTATGGAAAACGCTCAATAAAGAGAAGGCTTAGAGCCAATATTACCTCACTATTATAACAACTATGTGAGGGTACTGAAAATATAATTTTCGTAATCTTGAAGATCCAATCGCCCGAAATCCAGGTATTATAAACCCATGTCTATTTTGAGATTCAACCGTAGCCCTCAGCCACGTATGCAACCTCGGCGCAACTCGAACGTCAGCCGTACGAACAAAGATGTCTATTACACGCTCTCTTCATCTGCTTTGTTGCTATAACAATGGCAGAGGCTCTCGGAATTGTCTCTAGTGTTATCGCTGTTATCGATTTATCTGTAAAGGTTACCTCACGATGCTCTGAGTACTACACGAATGTCAAGAATGCTCGAGACGATATCGGACGCCTTCAAAGTGAGGCCCAAGGATTAAAAGCAATACTTGAGAGAGCCCGTTCGATATGCGATGGTCCAAATGGTGTGAGACTTCTCTTGGAGGTTAGCTTTTATAATAATAAGGAATAGTATTATTATAATGATAGTGGAAGATCTAGTCAGTTTAAGCTTGAGGGATAAATCGAATATATAGAATAAGAGTTGAATTGAAGTCAATTTAGAAGAGCTAGGCTGAGTTGAGATGAATTGCTTGCTTTTTCCTAGATTTTCTTAAAGAATATTCTAGGTTTATATAGTTTATAATGAAATTCCAGTATATTCTATGCTTATAAATAAGATCGATTTAAATCGTATCTTATAGAATCATTTTAGATAATAAAAAGAAAGTACAACCAATCAATTTAGCGATATTTCCTGTATACTTCCATCTAGTTCCATTTCATTCTATTCCATTATAAATCAATTTGATAAGAGATACTATTATACAACTATATGATAATATGATTTTATAATATAAGATCATATTATATGTGTATTAGTCATCAAGATATCCCTTATTTAGTAAGATATTAATAAGTGATTTAGTGGACTTATTATGAATCCTCACAACTTCAAGATCCGCAGGGCTTGCGTAAGGGAGTGGAGGACTGCCAGAAGCAACTCGCCCAGCTGGAGACAAAGCTCGAGCCTCGAGAAACAAACAAATTAATGAGTCGCTTTGGGAGACGCGCTTTGAAATGGCCTTTTAAAAGCAAGGAGGTGGATAGTCTTATAAAGAAACTCGAAAATTGCAAGGCCAACATATCTCTCAGTCTCCAAGTCGACCAAGAGTATGTGATTGCGTTCGTATTACAAATGGAAGAAGCTAACGATGATACTTATAGGGTGCAAATTCTTAACATCCATCAAAATAATGTACTTAATAAACTGCGATCTGCCAACAACGCCGCGTTTGACTCCCACGACGAAGAACACAATGCCCGATGCTATCAAGGCACACGAGCGGAACTGCTTCGGCACATATATAGTTGGGCTAGCGATCGAAACAGTCAGTGCATATTTTGGCTAAATGGTATGGCGGGCACTGGCAAGTCTACAATCTCCCGCACCGTGGCCCAAAATCTTGTCGACAGGGGAGAGCTCGGCGCCAGTTTCTTCTTTAAGAGAGGTGAAGGCGACCGTGGCCACGCAGGAATGTTTTTTGCAACAATTGTCACTCAGCTCGTCCAAAAACTACCTTCCTTAGCGCCACATGTTCAAGATGCGATCGAAGCTGATCCAGGAATCTCTGGGAAGGCTTTGGGTCAACAATTCAACACACTTGTTTTGAAACCGTTAGAGAAGATACAAACCGATCCTCAGAAGTCTTCCAGTATAGTGATTCTGGTTGATGCTCTTGACGAGTGTGACCGAGAAGAGGATGTTGAAGCTATCATTCGCCTATTTTCACAAGCGCAACATATTGCATCACTCAAGTTCTTCTTGACAAGCAGACCAGAGCTTCCGATTCGCATGGGCTTTGAGGATATAAAAGGTAAATATGAAAGATTGATTCTCCATCAAATTCCTGATCCAATTGTTAAGGCGGATATCTCTTCATTCATAGAACACGAACTAGCAACAATTCGAGTAAATTATAACAAATCAGTCACCCGAAGCCGGCAATTACCCGCGAATTGGCCAAGTCACGACATCGTTCAAAGTTTAGTCGGAATGGCTATCCCATTGTTTATTTTCGCTACAACTATCTGCCGGTTCATCAATGACCGAAAATGCGGCCAACCGAAGGATCAGCTTGCTAAAGTCCTGAAATATCAGGGTAGAAACCAAGCGTCTAAACTTGATGCAACATATCTTCCAGTCCTAGATCAGCTACTCGTCGGGATTACTCTTTCTGAGAGAACAGATCTATTAGAAGACTTCAAGCAAGTCGTTGGGTCAATCGTCATTCTTGCTAGCCCTCTTTCCGCTACTTCTCTCGATCAACTCCTTGGAGTCCCTGAAGGTACAGTTGACAGTAGAACAGACCTCCTCCACTCCGTTCTAAGCATCCCCTCTCATCCTGAATACCCTATACGACTGCTCCATTTGTCATTCCGGGATTTTCTCACTGATACTGAGAAGCGCAAGACGAACCCCTTTTGGGTTGATGAGAAAGATACCCATAAGAACTTAGCGATCCGATGCCTTGAACTTTTATCGACGGGCGAAAGTCTCAAGAAAGATATTTGCAATCTTCGGACACCAGAAAAGCCACGAGCAGATATTGATAAACAAACGATAGATTTTCACCTACCATCCGAAATTCAATATGCTTGCCAGTATTGGGTATATCACTTGAAAGAGAGTGGAAGTAGTATATACGATAGCGACCAAGTCCACGATTTCCTCAAATGTCACTTTCTCCACTGGCTTGAATCATTAAGCTTGATTGGTAGGCTACGAGAAAGTATTGGGATGGTAGATAGCTTGATGGCTATAACAGACGTATGTCACTCGCTACTCTCAACTACAAGTATCTACTAAATATAAGTTTCAAGCCAATAAAAGGCAGCGAGATGTCTAAGTTCCTTTACGACGCAAAGCGCTTTATCCTCAACTACTACTCTATAGCTGACTCATCGCCCCTCCAACTCTACTCCTCTGTGCTTATCTTCGCCCCTCAAAAAAGTATTATTCGAAATACATTCCATAATTACACTCCTGATTGGATTCTACAGGAGCCAAATACAGATCTGGAATGGAATGCAGTTCTTCAAACGCTTGAAGGGCATAGCGATTGGATTAACTCGGTTGCTTTCTCGGCTGACTCAAAGCTACTAGCATCGGCATCAGGCGATCAAACAATCAAAGTCTGGGATGCAGTTACAGGTATACTACAGCAAACACTCGAAGGACATAACGATTCTGTCAGCTCGGTCACTTTCTCGGCTGACTCAAAGCTATTAGCATCAGCATCACGCGATCAAACAATCAAAGTCTGGGATGCAGCTACAGGCATATTGCAGCAGACGCTCGAAGGGCATAGCGATTCGATCAGCTCGGTTGCTTTCTCAGCCGACTCGAAGCTACTGGTATCGGCGTCAGGCGATCAGACAATCAAGATCTGGGATATAGTTACAGGCACACTACAGCAAACAATCAATGGGCATAACGATTGGATCAATTCGGTCGCTTTCTCGGCTAACTCGAAACTATTAGCATCAGCATCAGGCGATCAAACAATCAAAGTCTGGGATGTAGCTACAGGTACACTACAGCAGACTCTCAAAGGGCATATCAGTTCGGTCAACTCAATCGCTTTCTCGGCCGACTCGAAGCTACTGGTTTCGGCATCACGCGATCAGACAATCAAGATCTGGGATGTAGTTACAGGTATATTGCAGCAGACACTTGAAGGACATAGCAGTTCGGTCAACTCAGTCGCTTTCTCGGCCGACTCAAAGCTATTGGTATCGGCATCACGCGATCAAACAATCAAAGTCTGGGATGCAGTTACAGGTATACTGCAACAGACGCTCGAAGGGCATAGTAGTTCGGTCAACTCGGTCGCTTTCTCGACCGACGCGAAGCTACTGGTGTCGGCATCAGGCGATCAAACAATCAAAGTCTGGGATACAGCTATAGATACATTACAGCAGATATTTGAAGAGCATAGCAGTTCGATCAGCTCGATTGCTTTCTCGGCTGATTCAAAGCTATTAGCATCAGCATCAGGCGATCAAACAATCAAAGTCTGGGATGCAACTACAGGTATACTACAGCAAACACTTAAAGGGCATAGCGATTGGATCAACTCGGTCGCCTTCTCGGCTGACTCAAAGCTACTAGTATCGGCATCAGACGATCAAACAATCAAAGTCTGGGATGCAGTTACAGGTATACTACAGCAAACACTCGAAGGACATAACGATTCTGTCAGCTCGGTCACTTTCTCGGCTGACTCAAAGCTATTAGCATCAGCATCACGCGATCAAACAATCAAAGTCTGGGATGCAGTTACAGGTATACTGCAACAGACGCTCGAAGGGCATAGTAGTTCGGTCAACTCGGTCGCTTTCTCGACCGACGCGAAGCTACTGGTGTCGGCATCAGGCGATCAAACAATCAAAGTCTGGGATGCAGTTACAGGTATACTACAGCAAACACTCGAAGGACATAACGATTCTGTCAGCTCGGTCACTTTCTCGGCTGACTCAAAGCTATTAGCATCAGCATCACGCGATCAAACAATCAAAGTCTGGGATGCAGCTACAGGCATATTGCAGCAGACGCTCGAAGGGCATATTGGCGTTAGGAATTTATCATTTGACATCACAAATTCAACCTTGATTACAGAAGTTGGCAGTCTTAGGTTTAATGTAACCACGAACATCCCTTCACCTTCATCTTCTCGAGTAATGAGTAGTAAAAACCACTATCAAGAATTGAGTGTTAGTGGGTCTTGGGTTACATGGAATGAGCAGAACCTGCTTTGGTTACCACCCGACTTCCGGCCTACAATCTATATTATCTCGCGTAACGGCTCGAAACTCGCCATTGGATGCCAATCGGGGAGAGTTTTCATCATCGGAATAAACGACCCATATAGTAATATTCCAAAGTAAAGTTAGCTATTATATATATAAATATTATGTTCTCAATATTTATTTTTTAGCTGAGCCAGAAGAGAGGTATGGGGAGAGCTACACTTATATACTGTTGTGGATTATACCAGATTCTTCTATGCCTTTCTAACTTACATTGTTCTTGGCTAGTTCAGTTGTGTAATTACATTTCAACTTTGCGGGATGTGACTTGTAGACTGTGGTTGACTGTGGCAGCAATGCGCTAAAATTAATAAGGTTAATCACAAGTCTTTTTCCTATCTGTAAAGGCTTGCTGAGTGTCAAGCATTCTTGGCAAACTACTAGTCCGTGCTTTGAGCTCTAGTCAGAGAATGTCGAGAAACATGAATTTTCCGGCAAGGTGTGCGCAGCCACAAAACATCGCAGCCACATATTTAGTGGTCATAAATATCATTTCATCGAAATTACTATAGCCACACCGCCACCAACCGCGATCCTTGATCGCTCGATTGAAGGAAGTATCAGCCTTTGTGGCGATAGTGTATTATATAGCGTACTGTAATCACTACAACATTGAGAATAAGTTTTTAGTATTGCAGTACAACTCTGAAACCTTTATCTAATCGTTCTACGAATTCAAAAAGCGAAAAAGGCTTTATTGTAGTATAGCAAATCGAGAGGTCCCAGTAAGTCCACACCCCCACATATCGGACACCCCCACATTTCGGACACTTCAAAAACTGAATTTATATACATTTCAAACTTCAATTATTCAACGAGCCTTGAACTTCAATACAATCGCCTGTAGAATCACTATCTATAATAGTAGAGGATTCATTTCCATCAATTTCATGATCTCCAGCTTCAATTTGAGCCTCTTTTATAGCTTTAATCCCAACAAACTTCGAATTTGGAGACGTTCGAACTTTACGTCTTTTTCTGGGAGCAAATTGATCCAATCGATATTCTAACTTCCTGATCCTATTCTCCATCTCTAAGAGTTTATAATCCTTGATATCGAATCCCTTTGTAATCTTGCGAAATAAGAATCGTTGTGTTGCTAAATTCAGGGTTTTATTCTGAATTATTGTATCTTTATATTTTTGGATATCAGATGCTTTATAAGGAGTTTCCCATAAAACAAAAGATGATTCTATATCCAATTGAATCAGAGAATTAAAATTAACCTCAGAATTGGATAGTAGAACTTCGTTATTACTGTTTTTGAGTAGAAGTCGACTCATAAGAGGTTTAGTCATATTCTTAGGCCAAAGACCGCTAGCTTTCCATCCAGCTGTAATATTTTGAAGTGTTAAACCTTCTATTCTGGCTTTCTGATAGCAGGAAAGAAAGTTTCGCTTTCCAATTGGTGTAGAATCTGATAATAGATCTAATTGATTGAGTTTCTTTCGATATACGTTTTTCAAAGACAAGAACACTGATAAATCGAGTGATTGTAGTACATATAACAAATGCAATAATAGAAACAAGAGATATATCTTATTAATAAAGCATTCTAACATAAATTCTGTAGTTTCATAGCTTCCGTGTCCGTCCAAATAAAAAGTCTCTATTTTTCAGGATTGGAGGGGGCACTTTGAGGGATAAACACCTTTTTTAGCTACTCTAAAGCTATACTGTTCATAGTCCATCCATTTTCTGTAGCAGTAAATTGCCAGTTCTTATGCAGAGTGAGATCTATAGGAAACCATTGTTGTTGTACTGATTTCCCTTTATATATAACGAGTGGATTAAGTGCTTTTCCAATAGCTGAAATGCATTCGATAAAAGACATCCAAACTTTCAAACCAGGTTGCTTTTTCTGAATAAATCTTCGACTAGTACTCCCTACTACTAGTCCATTAAGTCCCTGACCCTCCATAATCCCTGCTTCATCCATATTCCATCTGTTTTCTGGCTTAATAGCCTTGATTTCAGGAATTAAGAGATATTGGAACCACTTCTTGATAATATCAGATGTAGCACCAAAGACTCGTGCAGAATCAACACAATATGACCTTTTGGTTCCAATAAAAGGATTCCGTTTGAAAAAGCTCTTTATCCATCTTTTTCCAACTAGTGAATCCTCTCCTCGTATAATGAGAAGGTGATTCGCTATATCTCTTATTTGCTGATATGTTATACTAGTACCAAGAGATTCCTGTACTAATATCCAGTTTGCTAATAGTTCCTCTTGAATCGGAGCTATCTTTTACTAGCTTTGGGCACTTTCTTGATGCGATATACCACCATATATACGATTGTGAAGTGTACTACGTGGTACACCATAATCCAAGCTAGCCTTCCTGATACTAGCTCCATTTACTATCGCTCTAAGCGCTTCCTGAAGATCATCTTCGAGGTAATCATTTTTCATTATATGAATATAATAATTTCAGAATTTCGAATCAATTAATCAAAGAATTGTAGAGTTATTGAAGCTCTAAATATAATAATGACTCAAAGCGGGATGATTTTTGACGTGTCCGAAATATGGGGGTGTCCGATATGTGGGGGTGTGGACTTATAATACAAAAGGAGGCTTTCTACAAATGCAAGAGAACAGTGATAATGCAATAATAATTTTCGGAAATGATAAGTCAGGAGTGCTCTGAAGAAGCATGAAATACAATTGTAGACAAAACAAACAGAAATTTCAACGTGGTTGTGGATTTAAAGTCACTTAAACTCAAAGTACCTACGATTTGTCTCGTTACGGGGTGCGTCTCGGGACACAGGGACAGACGTTACTCTCATCCACCTCTTTATCAACAGTAGCCAACTTGCTTCTATCCACCATCACACTATCGTGCAATTGTCCAGTCTCTTGCAAAGTCTTAATATCGTCTATCATTATAGGCCCATGCGATGTCTCACTGATTTGTGTTTTGGTTTTGTCGGAATTTTCAGCCAACATATTGTCCAACCATTCCTCTGCATGATGAAATGCTCCATTCGAATTTTTTATCCATTTGAGAAGATATTTTTGTACCGCAGAATGTCTGACTTTCATTCCATCGAGAAGCTTTCCAAATTTCATTCCTTGATCAAGAGATTCAGAGTCTAGTTCTGTCAATTCCGTGTCTGGGCTGGTATAGGCATGGAACATGCTTTTTGCCTGTTCCTCGTCAATGTACGTGAATTTGACAGCTTCATCCACTCGGCCTTCACGAAGCAATTCCGGACAGAAATCGTGAAGTTCTTGGAAATAGTTGGTTGTCATGATAATGATGTTCCCCTCGAGAGATGTCAGACCATCAAGCATATTCAAAAAGGTTGCCAACGAAATTCCTTCTTTATTCGACTCGGGTTTATAATCTTCAAACGTACTCGGCTTGATGTCTTCGAAAACAATCATTGACGACTCAGGAAGGCGGTGCAATATTATCTTTAGATCTTCCTCGTTCTGTTTCTGCAGGTTGACCAAACACACATTAAGCTGATAGCGATGAGCCAAGCTCGTAATCGTACTTGTTTTTCCTGTACCTGACTCTCCATGGAACAGACACACAAGTTTGTGCTTGTATCCCAGCTCTTCGTATAGCTTCTTGTCCTCATCTTTCTGCGAGTAGAAAGTGTCAAATTTGAGGACAATTCTCTCCTTCACAGTCTTATCCATGAATACATGCTTGAGGGGGCGACTGGGGATTTTCTTTATTGACATCCAATGTTCATTCTTGAAGCGACGTGCCCATATATCTGATGGTTCGAAGAATCGAGTCTCCTTTTCTTTTGAATTGTCTTTGGTAAGGAGTTGAGAATCGGCAGAATCGCAGAGAAGTTTCTGGATTCCCTTTTTAGGGAAAAACCCATAGCAATTGACAATCAGACTCTGTGTGCTTTCTTGAGATCGATTCTTAGATCTGGTATCAGATTTTGTGCCTGACTGAGCATGAGTCACTCGATAGCGCCAAAACTGGTATCGAAAGTCATGGTCGCCGTATCCGATATAGTAATGCGGCGTTGGCTTCAGATCCAAATTGTCTCTGGCAGATAGCTTATTATCAAGTGATGACATCGTGATATTATAGGAGGTTATTGAAACGTTCTTAAGAATCCACACAGAGACTGATCTGAACAGATCGTCTCCGTCTTCAATTCGAGCTGTACAATATGGCGGGAAGGTATAAAGAATAGCAACACATGTACTCAATATAGTAGATAACACTACAAGATACTTCATTGGCACCCATTCTGATATGAATTGATACAGAATTGTAACAATATCAACATAAATATAAAATTTCGATTGAAATGTTCGAAGGAGGAGCGGGAGAGAGGATGTGAGAATTTGTAACGAATCGAAGGGGTTTTCGTATGTTGAGTTAGACATGGCTTAACGATAGTAATCGGGGGAACTTGAGTTGGATAATGAATTTCTTAAACGTCTATCGTGAGAGATAGTAGAATCGCGTAGTCAAATCGTGGAAGAGATCTGTGAGAACAAATAGTTCACTATGGATCGGAATACGAGAATTTGAGAAAGAGGTGGCCGATAGGATAACTCTAGGTCTAAGAATTCTACACGAGGAACAATCCGATGACTTACAATAAGAAAATTCTTCCATCGCTACATGACTGCGTGGTGGCTACCAGCCCCCCGGACCCACGGGTATTCGATATTGACATCGATTTAACCCATACATTTTCTTGCCTTCACTTTAATCTAGTCTTATTCAAGTAATATCAATATGCCAGTCCAGATACGACTCGGGTATCATTTTCCGTACGTTCACTGAAACTTAGAGTAAGCAGGACTTGGAAACGATTCAATATTATGAGTGTTCGATAGATTGAAGTTATTCTCATTCTTTCAGATTTCTATTTGCCTAAGTTAGACAACAATACTTCGTATTCATCATTCTTATCGTCGAAGGAAGTCCTCTACAAACCAATTTTTGAGAATACTTAGTCCCGTAAGTTTGTTTCGAACCTTTTCGATTGATCTGACTGACGGTTGGATAGAGACATGGCATGCTCTGAGCTTTTCGAATTTCCTGCCCCGATGGCATTTCACTATCTCGATCCCGTTTCCCTAGGATAGGAACATAAATGAACGAAGTACGAGGCCAAAGACGAAACGAACAAAGCTAAATTTGTTTTGTTCGATAGTTATCCTCAGAAATACAACGAGCATAAACTGAGTCTACACGGCCGGGTCTGTTATCCATGCGATGGTGATTGGGAAGCATTTAAACACACAAATCTCAAGTCTAGTAAGAATAATGGTGCCTTGGTGGCACATCTTGCTCAAACATTCAGCTACGTAATGAAAGACTTGACGATAAAGGCTACAGAATGATGGCAATGCAGGGAATGGAACATACTCGTCACAAAATGGATGGCGGATTTGTCAACGAACGTAAATGTTTGGTATCCTGGCGAAGAAAAGCTTGCGCGTTTTGCAAAATCTTGGAAATCGAGCTTTGAAGAAGATTGGAATGTGGTTGATGGTTACAAACGGTAGGACATTGAAGGGGAGAGGTCAAGGATCTCTTTACAATAGGCATCATTCCTCGGTATGAGGTTTTGGCCACATGGGTGGTTTTCCTCTACTCTAGTGCAAATGTAAAGGAAATTCTCATAAACTACCTATGTCTGCCGACTGCTTGTATGAAATTTTAGATATTGAGAACTTGTATTGCTATTAGGATGTCTTTGATGTTTGGCGCTTTCCCTGAGTCAGTGGGTGTTGGTTTGGGCCTTTTGCATAGTTCCGGTCTGGCAGTAGTTTCGCTCAAACACTACTGCAGTATAAACTATTTCAGCCATAATCTATCGATATGATAAATGTCAGTATCCCATTGGTGTCATGGCTAGTTCCGAAAATCGTCAAGGTTAGGTTCCTTTCCTTTGGATGATTAAATATCTCCATCAAGGATGCCGGGTTGGGTTGATTCCGAGTTGTTTGATATTGAGAAGTATTGGTTGGACTGTAGGTATATCACATCATCCAACGAATTAATTCACACAAGAAGTAGGGTACCAACGGCCCGGAGTTTCGAGTGGTCTTCCGAAATGCCAGTGTCATGTGGCTACTGGAGGGTAGAGAACTCGTATCTTTTTCTCAACGTGTTGAGGCTTGAGCTTGCAGATATTGTTTCTGTGGAAACTTGATTGGTTAATGATAATTAATGATAGGAAGATAATAAGAAAGACGCGGATAGTGACAGAAGCCGCATGAGTGATCATCATTTTAGTTTGTAGGCATCATATGGTGATATTTCTCTTACTTTGGGCTTGGAGCATTTAATTGCAGAATTTGTCATCAATTTTGTAACATGGTCTGTATCCAGGTAGTTTATATTCCATGTAAATGGAAGGTGATAGTGATGTATCTAGTCGCTGTGTGAAATCTAGTTCGAATACACACAGCTGCAGAATCAATACAACAAGGTCTAACCAGCATTCGTGGATCAATTGTGATAACCAATGGAACCAACCGTGGGCTTTGTGTATTAGATTCTAGCATCGTGGATTGTACCCCAATCAGTCGTAGCACATGAAAAGAGTGCAATAATTCGCGTATTTGCAATCATGTCTAACCGGGGCACAGACTTCCGTTCCATGTAATAGAATGCAATATCCAGGGTCCTGAAGCTTACTACATATTTTTCTAATAAGAGCTAACCATTTTGGTAAACTCTTTGCAATATGACAGAAAGTGGGTTGTGCTTAGTGAATGCGGAGATTGTAAGGATTACACAGCTTATACCCAATTGACTAGACTATTTTCGTAAACTCGTTGCAAGTATGACGATAAGTGAAAATCAGCCTTTTGGTTTGTACATCAAAATAAGAAACTATTGGTGAATGGCAGACTATAGGCTTGCAAAATTTGTGTTGACACAGGTATGAAATGCCCTTCATGCAACCATTCATTTTGCGCAAACAACATCAAGTTTCTTTCTTTCATACTCTTCTCTTCTCACCATGAGTACTAGAATCGCTTTTCTTGGAGACAGGAATGTTGGAAAGACTTCCATGGCTTCTCGTATGCTTCAACTAGATTACCTTGTGAGTACCTAATCTTCTTGCATCTTCAGTCGCAGTTTGCTTGTGAACTAACATCCCAAAAGTCGATTGATTCCCAAGACTTGTATGCGAGTACTCGAGAAATTTCAACCATTGTGCAACTTGACGAACTTCTCGAGAAAAGCCCTGATTGGGCTGAGTGTTTGGTGATGGTGTACAACATCGGTTCGCTAAAAACATTTGACGTGGGAACAAAACTCTTCACACATGCCTTGGGATATCGAAATCCCCGAGTAGCAATAATGGTTGCAATTGTGGATGGCGCAAACGAAAGAATTGTGAATCAGAATGATGTTGAGCAATTCATGGAAGACTACAAAGGTTTCGACTGGCACTTCCTGGAAACATCAATCAGAGACTTCCAGTACTTATCTCAACCTCCCATTCAATCTTCGTTCTTTCTCGACCATTACTGTTCGTTCACCAGAAGGGATCTAAAGGATGGAAACGTGGTTGATTCTGAGGTCACAGTGGAAGATTCCCTATACTGGAGCTCTCTGCCAATGCCAAAGATTCCATTTGGAGTGCAATCTGGCCATTCATTGGACATATCCTCAAACGAAGAGAGTACAACCAAATCGTCAAAGAAGTCAATGGTAAATGCGATGGGACCTTTTGCAACACAAGGACAGTTATGGGTGCTCTTGGATGCATTCATCAAAGAGGCTGTCGATGCAAGTTGGTACAACGTAGTGGATGATTTTATAGTTGAAGAAGATGCGCAAGAGTGGACTGTAGATAAGGGGGTGAATGGGGATCACCTGGAAAAAGCGTTCCGTCCACCACATGTCTTTCAATTTCAATCGAATGGCGTGATTCAAACCCCACCTGAACAAGAGGCGCCTCAGTTAAAGTCTAAATCCTACCTCGAGAGTACGTTAGGATTCACAGGAAAAATCAAAGAATTGAAGAGCTGGTCGTTGGGAAATGCCAATTTGGACAGTACGCATAGTTTTGAGAGTTTCTTCCTGGAGGAGAATACTTTGGATAATATTGGAGGACGTTTAAGAGTTAAGCTTCGGGGGTTGCGGGATTTGCTTTGCTGTTTATAATGATGAGGATTTGTGACGGCATCTTGTTACTCGTTTGATATAAAAGCCGAGAATCCATATTTGCATTACTATTGAAATCACTCTTTATTTAAATCGAACGAACTACTGCTAAAGAACTCCCCTGGCTTTTGGCAGCGCTAACAGCTCTCACGGTAACCGACTTATTTCTTATAGGTTCTAACTGTCAAGAAAAAGATTGTAGTGCCAAAGTGGACGGGGAAAGGGAAGGTAGACTAGGAAGATGATTGGAAAATACTCTCGACTTGACAAAATATCATAAGGATTACGTTGCGATCTTCAGGCCTCGGGGTAGCAATATATTGAGTACATATCTGTGTATAACATTAGATTTAATAGATAATTTCGACTAATTAAGCGAGCGATTTGTTCTGATCAATCACAAGTCTTGCGTCAATATAAGTTATTTTGAAATTGGAAATCCAGAAGTTTCGGTCAATAAGTTAGAGCAAGGGTATCTGATGGTAGCCTCAAATTTTTTGACATTGTATTTATCTAGTCGATTGAATAATGAAAGTAATTGGATCATAACCCAATAGCACCGGTCTCACAGAAACGCCATCCCATATTTCTCCTTGTTCTCCTTCATCTCATTATTTTCTCCTTCTCTTCTTTCTCAGATTTTAGCTTATGAAATTACAGGACATTGGCTTCTTTTCTACAGATGAAATAAAATATATCAATCTCTACACTCGTCGACAGGTACAAGCGTCCTAATTTCTTTCAAAATGACTTGTTGCCATCTCCATCACGCTTTTGTATCTCATCAGTTCAACATTCACTCCAACAACACCAAGAGAACTCTACCATCTTTATCCAGCCTTCCTTCCATCAATGCCAACAGAGCTTCAGTAGCTCTACCCAGCCTTCCTTCCGTCAATGCCAACAGAGCTTCAGTGGCTCTACCCAGCCTTCCTTCCATCAATGCCAACAGAGCTTCAGTGGCTCTACCCAGCCTTCCTTCCATCAATGCCAACAGAGCTCCAGTAGCTCTACCCAGCCTTCCTTCCATCAATGCCAACGGAACTCTACTACCTCTTCCATTCACTCAATCCCCCACACCATTCAACGCTCCAGAACTTCAAGCCCACGAGCGGCAGCCGCTCGAACCTACAAAATATCAGTGCCAAAAATGCAGCTTGTTCTTTCAAAACTCTGCATGCCTGAGGAAGCACGCGATAGTACACCAAGAACATCGTTCAAAGAACTATGAGTGTCATCGTTGCAATAAAAAGTATCATACAAAAAGCGGTTTGGACCGACACCTAGCAATACACCCAGATTATGCAGGGATGAAACACAAATGTCGTTCGTGCGAAAAGGGCTTTGATATACCTAGAAAGCTCAGGGTCCATGAAGCAAGACACCAAGCCTATGCATCAGGGAAGCACAAGTGTAGTTCTTGCAGCATTTCTTTCAGATCACTTTATGTATTAAAACATCATGTATGCTATTCTAAACCCCTGCCTGTTACCAAAAGGAAGAGATTTCGTTGCGATTTATGTTATATGTCTACAGATCATCCAAACTCTTTGTACAAACATATACTAGTTTCATACCCTGCGCGTATTAACAAGAGCTTCGTATTAGAAAAATAAAAATAGGCTCTAGATAGGGTTATTAGTTTCTTTCACAGCGGTAACAAAACCGAGGGGAAATCGTGGACAGCACACATCAGATAAGGGGATTGGCACAATTTTCAATACCTTTTTAATTTTCAATTCTAGTTTGTAACTTTTAATAGGAGTTTACAGTAACAAGTGAATTTTTATCATATATTCGTGATCAGAGAAAAGCCGTGTTTCAGTTGTTGACAACTCATTCATCCAGTATCCATCCATCCATCCAGTACATATATGATTTTAAAACACCCTCATTCTCTTGAAGCTGATTGGTCGAGAAAAAATACAGAAGATCCAATCAACTTCCAGTAATGGTACAAATGCTCCACAAATACCGCACAGGCAGCCACATCAAAAACTGAGAAATGGATTACATAGCTTCAACAGGTACAGTTGCTATAAGCAATATATGAAATACAGTTAATTAATTATTGTTTATTCTTTGAATTGAGAACTTTCGAATGATGTTATTTTTGATAGTTTTTATACAGTTGTTTGTTTATATATCAATTGTTTTGTTGATTTTGATGGCTTTCGAATACTTACATGTTTCTGATTGGCTTAGATTGGTTCGGAAACTTCAGATATATTTACTCAACTATGAACTCATTGTTACGGCTTCAAATTTGAAGACGCGTCGACAGTGAATATAGTCGGTAAAAATGTAGGTTCGTGTTACGTGTTATATTTCTAACGCTTTTTCTTATGTTTTCTTACTGCATTTCAAATCTCTCTGCATTCCAAATCGACGATATATCCTATAATCATGGATAATGAAATACTTGGTGAAAATGGACAAGTTGATCCTGTATTTGCTAATTTGGTGAATGATCACCCGCCAATTCGATGTCAAGGTTGCAACATGGCCCATGATTACATCTCTTTTCTTAAAACTCTCAAGAATGGTACTCTGAAGCAGATGAAGTCTTGCAAAAACTGTCGAGAGAGAGCTACTGCAAAGCGAACAATTCAAAGAGAGCAATCTGCAATGGAAATAGTACCATTGGGACTATTAGATCCCAATCTGCTTCTTAGACGTCAAGCTCCACTTGCACGCCCAGATCCAATGCACGGTCGAGCTCCACCTCTCACCCCGAATCCAGTTCCATCAGCTCCAGTAAATCGCCTTCCTTTACGGCGTGCACGTATAGATTCTTTCTCCGACAATGAAGATATACAGTCTCCTCAACCTGTACCACCTGGCTCTGAAGAGCAGTTACCTATGATTGCAGCAGGAACTAGGCGAGGGCGGCAACCACGTATAGCCCGTGTTCGAGAGGTGCCACCTGCCTGGATGGATGTATACGATTCTAACGCCCCCCCGAATCATTATTTAGGATCTATGGATAAGATTTGTGAGTTTTGTGGTGCTTTCCATTTCGAAGGAGAAGCAATTAGAGCAAGGATTGGGGAATCAACTCGATAAACAAGTCCCAGGGTCAGGGTTTTCTGCATATCGGGGTCGACTTGAGAAGCCCATGTTTCAGTCATGGTCAGTTTTATGTTGCAATGACGAGGAGTAAAGACTTGCGATATCTTCATGTATTATTACCATTAGATAATGAGAATCAACCAGGTAGAACAGACAATGTGGGTATGGCAGAGGTCTTACAAGGAATTAATGTTTAATAGCTTCAAAAACTCCTTTCGGGTAACTATTCCGTTGCAGGTTTTGCTTATTTTGACCTCAACCAGGTGGATGCTGAATGCTATGCAAGTTTCCGTCAACTCGACTACCATGTGATTCGAATTGAAAAAAGCAAATCCAATCGGTCCATATGGGACTCCCACTTCGCTCTCTCTTTCCCACTCTCTTTTTCTTTTCAGTCTTATTCACATCTACTGTTACCTCCATTGTGTCGTCAATTTTACCCATCGTCAAAAACTTCACTTCTTCCCAAATGGCAAACCAAACTTGCGTGCCACAAGCTTTGCTCCAGAGCAAAGCTCCTACCTGTCGCTGCCGACATTACCCCTCTCCCTACTCCGACTTCTGACCCAGTTACTGCCCCAGTTGCTGCCCCAGTTGCCGCCCCAGTTGCCGCCCCAGCTCCCGCCCCAGCTCCCATCAACCGTGTTGTCTATGATCTCACTCTCGATGGACAGTGACGATGATGGCGGTGCTATTGTTTCCTGCTCCCGCCCCTGTCCCGGCTCCTGCTCCTGCTCATCACATCGACTCTGACAACGAGGTCGTTTTGATTCCACCCCCCCGCGTTCGTCAAGACCGTATCAGAGCTGTCAACCAAACAGGCAGCATTAGACAATCTGAGGCTGCATGTAAAGATGCAGCATCAAGTGAGTTTGTTTTAAACTCATCACTCTCACTCTTACTCAAACTAATGATATCAAGTGTACTGGCATTTGGCGATGGTCATCATCTATTGGATGAAAGAGAATCCCGATTCCGAGCTTGGCGCTTTTCCAATGGAGCCTACTCACATTGGCCAACTTCATGATCTTTTGGCACCCTTCAAGACTATTTGGAAGAATAGTCTTCAGCCATTCAACATCCATACTCTCGCGGACAGATTGGAACGCGCCTCCGCCCCTGTACGCGACCAATTTCATATCTTCAGTATCCGACGCAATACCCTTCATCGACTGTTCCTTCCTAATACCCGCAATGAGGTTCGTACCGTTTGGAGTGAGTACACTGCCAATGGCGTCAATCTCCAGGTTGGCAGACCAATGTTGGTCAGTGAACACTTTGAAGGTTTTTTCCCCGTGCTTTATAAGCACATGGAGATCTGATTGGATGTGGGTACGGTCAAAATGAAGGGGTTTGAAACGGGATGGGTGTTACAACGGCTTTATAACTTTGCAATAATTTTGCATAGTTATATTAAAGAATTAATATTTTTAACTTTTATTGAAAGATTGGGTGGAAGAGGCCTCTATATTGACTATATTGGCTACGCGTGTAGGCGCCTTGATCCCCTCTTGGTGCTCTCGGTGGGGACCAATATGCCTGCCTAGGGTCCGTCTAATCTAGCCTGCTTAGGTAATCGTATTACTAATCACAGCACGTGATTAGCAATGGTAACTTCTATTCCTTTTAACAACTTTGATAATAATAATAATATAATTAACTATTCAATAATTATCCAATCGCCTGAGTGTCTGACAAAGCTGCGCAGCACGAGCGTAGGCGTAGGTCCTGAGGGGCGTTAGAAAAAGCTCGTATGGTAAACATTTATTCTTCGTTCATTGCATAAAATGGTTTCATCACAAGAGCAAATTTATTTCTCATCAGTCGAAATGTGATGGGTCACGAATTGAATGAGTATCGCCAATTCTCTTAGATCTAAGAATATACTAATTGGATTATAAGATAATAGTTGATACTTACTAGCAATCAAATACTTTGGCTCATTTCTTTGAACATAACATGAGAGAATTTCATTGGAATCTGTGGTGTATTTTGGGGGGTAATTTTTGGAATTGGTTTTGATCTGGTTCCTTGTGCTTTTTGGGGGTTTGCTTTCTTGATATAAGGCAAAGAACAAATGACTTAGAAATTTTTCTTTATGATTTCCAATATCCTAAGATAATAAATTGAGTAAATACACTAACAAACCCCCAAATAACATGAAGGTCAAACGCTTCCCATGATCTCATCATCGCATACACTCAAAATCTCTGCCGGACTTTCTTCCACAGATTTCCGATCTTCTTTCTCATGATACTTCATATGTGCATCGAATCCTGTTTGAGTTTTAAATGGACAAATATTGCGATGCCATCTGCAATCGTGCCGAGCACACAGGAGATGATCTCGATTGATACGAGTATGAGTGCTCATATGAGCCTTCAAAGTCCGTTTGGATGCAAGTGGCTTGATGTGACGGGGACAAGTAGTCTGTGGGCACAATAGGGAAGTCGTAGAAGAACTTTTCTTTGTAATAGATGAAAGGTTATTCTCTGTATTAGATGAAAACTTCTCAGTTGTGTTTGGAGGATCTTCGAGAAGAAGAACATCGGGAAAATCTACCATTGATAGAAAGTCCCCAGTAACAGGATCCGGAAGAAGAAATTCCTGAAAGTCCAGGTTTGGTGACATATTGCTAATCCCAGCAACATTGAACAAAGGATCTTGGAAAAGAAAGTTCTGGAAATCCAGTGTTGGTGACGAAGCCGCAGTCATACTGAACTTAAGATCGTTTGGCATGCTTGACCTTTGACATCCCTTCTCATTATGACGGAAAAGCTCCCATTGACATCGAAATGGGACAGAAGAGCGTCTGCAACTCGGATTTTGGCAGCGATAATTTGATACGTCCTTTCCCATACTTTGACACAGTTCTTGTAGACTTCTTACCAAGTCTGATCTGTGGGGCAAATCATCTTCCTTACCATAAAGCATACCAATTATGCTCGTCCTCAACGTTGGCATAAATCTCGTCCCCATTATCTGTTCAAAATGCATTTCCGGTGCATGTTTTTTGACCACTTCCCTTCGCGTGTTGCATAGTCTTTTGACTTCATTTTTAATCTTCATTTCACAGCCCTCTATTCGTGCGTCTTCGATCCGCTTCTTCGCAGCAGTTATTTCAGGGTCCTTGGCAACGATCTCAACGAATTCCTTGGTTATTAGACCCAATGGTGTACCACGATTTGAGTTGAGGCTACGAGCAAAGTTGATTTGTTGTGTACGTTGGTCTTGCCCAACGGTTAGACTTTGTAAATCGATACCGGAATGAGACGCTAGATAGCTATTTTGGAAAACTTTGTCATTCGAATGTCCGAGTATTTTGCCTCTTTCCGCCGATGTGACATGCTCTACACAAGTCAGAATGAGAGCAACAAATCAAATGTTTAATAAACAAGACTCACGATTCAAAACGTTAGCTGAAGTACGTCTTATCACATAAGATGTAAAGATATCCTTGAAGCCTGCACGTTGTGCGACTTTCCTCAGTGAGTGATTGAACGCTTGGTAAGTCAACGACTCAGCGTCCAGAGTTGGCTCCATCGATCGGTTACTCCGGAAAAGAGGTTTGTTCAAAACACTTTCCTTAAATTTTACATCGATGTACTTTGCAGAACATATACTCGGATCATATAATTCCTCAATATTCTTTACTGTTTCAAACGCATCATCGGCAAAAGCCAGAGCAAGAAACAGTGTGATTGGACACATATCTCTAGATGCCAGATCCTCAAATAACTGTTGCTTATAACTAAAGAATACATCAGAAGACACATTTCAAAAATAGAATGTTACTTACACCTCTCCTTCATCATCCCGCTCATTTTTCCTGAGGTTGAATGTGAACAAAATGCTCATCAATGGGCGACCGCCGTCCGGACTTTGCTGTAGAGTAAATTTTATATCCTTCAGATGAGGTCAGCTACCAATGCTTCCCTTGAAATTGTAGTTTATTGCACCTTATATCGCATAGACTGTCCAGTCATATAATAAGCATGTGACTCGATAACAGCACCGGGGCGTGATGCTGTGTATACAAGTATCAAGATCAATAGAGCGATCTGAACTCTAGCACGTTCGTATAGGAAGTTGAGAGGATCGTTCATCCAAAGATATCCGAGTATGTCTTGTAAATCGTTGAGACTAGCGATAGGCTTCGGGCGGGTTTTTGTACTCAAACCCAGGCTTTTTGCTAGACTAGTCTTTATGAACTAAGACTTGTTAACACAATCATGACCCGAAAACATGACTTGGTTGAACTTACAGTGCGGAGCTCTTGCATTGATTCAAGCTCTTCATTATGCTTTCGTTCATATACTGATTTGAACCGAATTGTATATTGAATCAGTGTCTTTATAGAAAGACGCTTGCCTAACAAGCCTGACCGTTCCTTTGCAAGCATAGTAAAAAACCCTTTAAGAACTCTTAGAGTTGGTTTCACATTAACATCATTAAGTCGTGCAAGATAGCTTGGTACAAGATGTCAGCATGTGACTTTGAAGGAGATTGATATCTATGACTTACTCCTCCCAGAGTTTCCAGATCATATTATAGCCACGTAGCGTTGGAGGGACAGATGATAGTGGCTCCTTCTCAAAGTTCTCAGCTTCAAAATCTGCGAGTAGATTGTCGAGTGAAAGAGCTTGTGTCATTTTCGTAGTACTAATTCGAGAAAGAGAATAAAATAAAGAAAAGAGAGAAAATTCGTTTGAAAGAATCAGTTCGATGTTGTGGTGTGATGAAAACAAAAAAGAGGAAAGGAAGATATTTAAATAATAACAGTACACAGGATACCATACTGGATATCCGCATTTCCAACATGGTTGGAACGGAAGGTGGTCGATCGTTATCTTGTGATAAAACAACGGAATTGTTTTTTTAGGAAAGAGAAAAATGTATTACGAAAATGAAGATATATTATGTTCGTTTACGGAAAACGGTTTACGAAAAACGATTTCAAAAGCAGCGGTTATCGGAAGTAGATATATATTTTCCCGACACCGGAATATCAGAAAACGGGCTTGTGGTTTAGTGGTATAATGTTCCCTTAGCATGGGAGAGGTCCGGCGTTCGATTCGCCGCTAGTCCAAGATCAATAATGATTTCGGTCATTCTCTTTTGCCATTTTTGTGGTTTGAGATCGAAGACGGTGAGGTGTTGTGACTTTTGGCGTTGGAGAACAGTTTTTTTCTTTGGAGAGATGTGGAGTGGAGCGAGTGCTTACCTACAAGAAGACTCTTCGGCATGTATGTAAGATTTTTCGCTGGATAGAGGGTTGTACAAATGTACGGATGGGTAAGTGGATAAAGAGAAGAGGGAGAGCGGGGTAGTTGAAGAGACGAAGAATTTTACCCGATCTTGTTTGCACGTGATCTTCGAATAGGCCCTCCAAAATGACACTCCGGATACAAATGTTTTCCTAGAAGAGATTACTAGAATTAGATGTGGTAAATGTATATGAAATTTTACAGAATGGTTCTCAATCTCTTGAAATTGAAACTTCCCTTTTACTTACATACATACGGATAGGAGAAGAGAATAATAATGATCCATTCAAAACTGATAGGTATCCAGTCATGACCCCACTATTTGAGTGCCCCACTTTCTCACTCTTTTCATTCTCTTGCTCCACCCACACACACAGCAAAAGAGATTCTCCAAAGACGCAATGTAGAATATTTTCCTCTCTCTTCAACAAACGTAGATGAGTAGAGAAAAAATGGCAAAAAGAAAGTCTCTCAGGCGTGAGTCGAACACGCGACATCCAGATCACATGAGCAATTACAGTCTGACGTCATAAACCAACTAGACGACCGAGAGTTGTTCGAGTAGACTCGAATGGTCACATTTTGTTGTGTTTGTTGGGGATTGTACGAAGTTTATATTATTTATAGTCAACAACATATAATGTGGGGTGCATGAAGTATGGTGTGGCTAACCCATTTGTGGCTTCTAGGCGGAGAATCACGCTACCTACCTGTCAAATCTACCCAAGGACCTCGGGACCCAAAACAACTCCTTCAATTGCAAGCAAAGCAGAACTTTACAATCAAAGGTACTTCTATGAGATACGATAGACAGCAGAGTTAGAATGTTTCTCCCTCAGTCATTCTCTCTGAGACTCGGGTAAAGTTCGGTGTTTGGAAACCTATTGCCTTCTACCACAGACAAAGAACAGATCAAAACTCCAAGGGATCAGAGTTACGATACTGTGGTCGTAGTAAAAGGCTTGTCCCTTAGTTCACGGAATGATACATTATTGCTGATATATTATTGTTGAACTCAAGGTGGTCATAATTGGATGTTGTAGTCCATACAAGTTATGAAGCAGGTTGTTCAAATAATTGGGGTCAGGGTGTCCAATCTTCCAAACTGTAGTTCAACAATATAAGGATTTAAATATCTAAAAGCAATTAGAAATCTGAAAATAACTTAATATTCTAGTCAATTTCAATATCTCAAATGATTTGAATATTCTGATTGATTTGAGAATTTGAATAATCTTTATCGTTGGACTGCAGTCTGGACTGTTGGATATCCTGATCGGGGCTGAGGAAAGAAGTCATGGGCTAAATTTCAGTGAAATAATTGTCGAAGAGAGATTTCTCTCTCCCAAAATCAATGGAATTGGCTTCAAAGTCTGATCAAGAGTTTTTCTTTAAGAAAAAATGCGTGTCGGAAAAATAGGTATATTTGTTACTTTTCCGAAACTGACCCCAATACAACTAACTGCTAGCAGTCTTTCTACAAGCAAAAAACCTAACCGGAAGGAGGAACCAAGAAAACAAGAACAAAATCCAAAAGTCAAACTACCAAGCACTAAAAAATCTTCCCCCTCAACATCCACGACCTCACACTTCCCATCATTGACACTCTATCATCACCACCTCTCCCAAGCAACTCATTTAATGTTGAACATCAATCGCAAAGAAGTGCACCTCAGACTTGCTATTTCCTTGGTTATAGTTACCAGCCTTGAAATAGCTCTTTGGACTATCCAACTGGTAAGTGTCCAATGTCTTTGCTGCACCCCCATTAATAGCCACACTCAACTTGCCTCCCTGATAAGCAATTTCATAAGAGAACTTAGATCCAACAGCCACACTACCAACTTGGGTAACAATCTCATTACCACCATCTCTGGTCTGCTCAACACCCATCGAAATAACTCCCTTGGAGTTATAAAACAATTCACAAACAGGCTTGGAAGAAACACTATCATCGATATGGATTTGACCAATAACCGTTCCATGTGAAGAATCATCAGCGGTAATTACTTGAAGAGTAGCACTGAGTTTATTGCTTGCAGAACTTGGACTCCAGGAACTGGGACTAGCTTCGCGAAGCTCAGTGCGGCAATGCTTGGAGTTGGCGGTGGTGACACAACCGGTTGATACGCCACCTGGTACCTTCATGACAATTGATCCGTCGGTGTTGGTGTAGAAATAATCTTTCGATGTGTATCCGCTGCACCCGGCGAGCTTGGAGCCGGTGACGGAATCAGGATGTCCTTGGGTACCGCTGGGGAGTTGGAGAGTCCATTTTGAGAGATCGATGTTCCCGCCCGGAGCGCAGGTCGGCTTCAAATTGCCGGAGGAGAGACCGGTGCCGAGGGCTGCAGAGGTAGAAGTGGCGGTTGCAGATGTTGCTTTGGTAGTAGACTTTTGAGCTGGGGCAGCAATGGCGAGGCCGAGGAAGGGGAGGAGAACAAGGAGTTGGGGAATGGTGAATTTGGAAGACATTTTGATGATAGGTTTTAGATGATTTTTGATATAGAAAATGGTGAGATTAATCAAGAAATAAAGACTGATTCCAACGAGAGTATGAAGGAAACAGTGAAGTGAAAAGAGAGCGAATTGTTATTGAATGACGATATAGAAATTCTCCCTAAAAACTCATATATATAATCTCCAAAACATCAACTGCACACATGAACTTTTCTGCACCCCAATAACTTCATACTTCCATAATCCACCAAAACCCACCACAAAATCCACCAAACCCCAACTATAGAAATCTTCCTAGTTAATTCCACCATGAAAAACAAGGGTCAAAAATCATCAGTACGAGAAGGAATTTATTCCACACAACCATACATGCAAAATTGCTCGCTAATACGAATACTCAAATCCCATAAGGATTTAAGGTTCTATCTCACCCTGGCAGATTTGCTGACATCACAACCACGCTCGCCTAATTTTTAGTCACCGTTGTACGAAGGATCAGGAGCCGGGAATCATTTCGTGAAGAAACGCAAGTGTGTTAGTAAGTGGTTGTGTGTAAGCGCTTTGTTTGGGGAGGGATGTTGGGAGGTTGTGATTGGATGTGAGGATGGAGGAATGGAGTGTGGATGCGAGGAATGACTTTTTTGGGATTTGATGGAGGTTGAAATAGGGGGGATGAGAGATGTGGAATTGGATGGTCTAATTTTGGGTAAGCGATGCGGGAGGAACCGTGGATGGGGAGATGATGTATATGGGTGCGCTTGGTGCGAGGGCTACGAGTTGCTACGAGTTGCTAGGTGAGTTCTTGCTGGGTTGGAGTTGAGTTCTGTTGAGTTGTACATGATTGATTGGGTAATCGGGTAAGTTTTGTATTGCTTTTCTTGAGATCAGAAGTGGTGGGAGGTGACGGAGGATAATCGATTGAACTTACTCATCTCAAGTACCTAGGTCTGCCAATTTGTTGAATACAGAGTGTCTTTGAAGACATGAAGGACTGATCATACATGGTTGGATGTCCAAGTTTAATGTCATGATTCCAGAAAGTTTTCGAGAACTTATATCGCCGTCAATTAAGAATTTGAAAACCGGCATTGTTGTTGTGTAAATATAAATGTAGTAGCACTATTTCTTTGATAAATAATCAGAGAATTTACTCAATGTATAAGTGATGACATGAATTCATCCATGAATATATTGAATGAGAGCGAGGAAGCCTCACGACTTTCAGTCTCATAATAGATCAAATTCTGTGGTGTTTGTCTAGATCAGGTAGGCAGTGCCCATTCCAAGGCGAACTCCCTCAATGGCCAACTCGCTGAATCCGATGAATTGAATTCCCAGTAGAATTGGAAAGTAACAGAAGTATGGATGCCATCATACCAGGACAAGTTAGACGCGCTTTACCTTTTATCTGCCTACAAACAGGGTCTTTTGATGATGAGCTCAAATATCCAATTCTTACTCCATAGGCAGTTATACGTATTAACCAATCTATAATCGACATCGAACTTCTCATTCAGCTCTGTGAAGTTTGAACGCGCTTATCCAAACAACCTACTCGGTGATAATAGGTTGGTATTCAGCCGCGGTGTTTGATTTTTTTCTCATATGGCTCATTGGGTAGTCTAGACAAAGGTCATATGATTTCGCATACATATCGCGATACTGCGCCCCCGGTTGCCTGATATTCCAACACCAACGCGTCGCCCAACATCCATTTTTTAGGTAGTATCTTGTCATTGTGATTTTCTCATAGATATATACATTTGATGAAATTCCTTTATGATTGGACTTTTCTTGAATAAAGAACTTCGATTGTCTTGCTCAACACCTCAACATTATAATACGCCAAACACACTTCATCAATATGGGGTAAGTCACAATGTATCTTCCCTCATGGCTGCTCTCTCTCTCTCTCTATCCACCCTGCTCCAAATGCATCACTAACGCATTGCACGCCTCAGTTACACACATTACTGGGAGGTCAAAGACCAAACCACATGGTCCAAAATCTGGCCTCAACTAATTCCCGACGCAAACCTCATCATCAAGACCCTCAAAAAAGCGCCCCTCTCCTCGACGAAACAGATGGCTACCACCTCCCCACCATCGAACACGGAATTTTGATAAATGGACGAGACGAGCATGAAGATTTCAAATTGACACAATATAAAAGCTATGGCTTCAATTTTTGTAAAACCGCAAGGAAGGAATATGATGCTGTTGTCACGGCTGTTCTTATGCGTGCGAAAATGTTGGCTGAGGATGGGTTTAGTCTATCGTGCGTGTAACTTTAATGAGGGTTGTGTTGTAAAGAATGCTAATGTTCAAATAGCTCCGACGGTGATTGGGATGACGAGTGGCAACACACTTTGAAGGATTATGTCAAATTATGGCCAAATGAGGAGAAGCCTACTGGAAACATCTTTGACCCAGAGTAGGAGTATTGATGAGGAAATTTACGAAGAGAAAACTGAATGATCTTAATGAAATTTCTATTGTATGCTGAGATTTTAATAACAAGAGAATAATGTTAATCTTACCACGAAACAATTTTCAGGTCAACCTCGATTGACACCGTCCCGCTTGAAGAAAAATTCAGGGTATGCTAGAAAAGTGAGGTCCACGATAGCAAATTCATGCAGTGACATTGCGTTTACTTAGAGATTTGAGGTGAATTAGGTTATGTTTATCGGTATGGCGAGGAATAGACCATATCTCACCAGTCAACCTAAATCCTAGGTGAAAATGGAAAATTTGGAAAGCCGCCTAGAGCCGAGGAATTGATATTCACCGATGCAGGCAATAATTATCATTAATTTTAATCAAATTGATACATCTCTTACGAGCACTCAAATTTGAGACTCGAATTTTCCCACGCCGGCTAAGTACAGATCATGTTACACTGGTTCAAATTGACCTCGCAAAGAGACTATCGACTCAGTTCCACGAACACGATTCCCAAGAGAGTTACATAAAGTTTTTATATTGTACTATTCAAGCGACAATGGAAAGGAAGTCCAAGGATTATTATTGAACAGCCGCAACGGAATCCACCGCCATACGTATTTGATCTTCGAGGTGACTCTGGTCAGTGGTTTTCTGTCATTTTATCGCAATTAGTAGACTTACCTCGCATTCCCTTCAAAGCTTCATTAGCTGTAGAGTAATTCTCCAAGGCATCCAGAATCATTCTGATACCCTCGTGTAATTGAAACAACAATTTATCGGTTCTCCTTCTGAGTCCATCTTCGAAAGAACTAGCTTGCTTAATTGCAAGAGTCTTGTGGCAAAGCATAATCATTGAGTAACTTGCTTGCATACTGCAGCAGGCAAATATTGGCATCATGCGGGGTAGTTTCGTTTGTCTAGTGCTGTTCCAATAGGAAGCATTTCTCGGATCGAAAGGCCGTGGCAATGGCAAAGCACGAAAAGATTGGGCGATGTTGAATGCGGATTGCATGCATACCTTTGAGGAGAATCGTCCACTGAATGGTAGGATCGGAGAGTCAAAAACAGAAATATCATCAGGTATTGGGGAGTTTAGGATACCGGGGCTGAGCGTCAAAGTGGCTGTGGCTTGCTGTAGGTTATTGCTACAACCGCAGGCGGTACCTAGATTTTGCCCAACAGAAGGGGTGGAAGACAAATCACAATGCTTTTTCGTAAAGACTGGCATATCGGAGAATGCACAATATCGATGGATCTTAATCCTCGCGCTTAATGAATAATTAGCTATTACCTCACTGAAAAGAAAAACCCAAAGACGTACCTATTCAGCTTAATACGTGCCATCATCCGCAGACTTTTTGCGACGACGCTCTCTGATGGTTCCATCTCATCCACGTTTCCATAGGTCCACTTTTCTGCATTCTGAACCAGCGGCTCAATGGTTCTTTCTAATCCTGCCATTGTCTCCCAGAGTTTCAGATCATGAGATTCTGATTTCAAAGATGATTCGAGATCAATCACGAATTGTGTTGCTGTGGCAATCACTCTTTGTGCTTCAAGAAAAACATCCCAAGCCTGGATTCTATGCGCTTAGTCTGCTGTAGTTTTGGAAATCAAAATGGGCATTTGCACTTACATCCGAATCAGATCCAAAGGTTGGAAGTGGCGTCGTGAATCTCGGATCGGTGAGGAGAATAGAGGGCGCCTATATAGCTTTGGTCAAAATATGAAGGAACAAGCGCTTCAAGAGTGATAAATACCATGCAACTAAGTATAGAGCCCTGACAAACACAGACGTACTTTCCAGAAGTTAGCGTTGGAGCTGAAGGTAGATGTAAACCGCAGCTTGTAATCATACCGTCATCCACCATACTCGTCTATCTGATTCAGCATATGCATAATCCTCTTTATCCTTTGAATGCAATCCCAAGTCCATGGCAGATACCAAAGCCTGTCCACACCTCTTGCGCATCTTCGAGATATTCCCTCGTTGGGAATATTCATAAGTGCATAGTAGCAGCAATGCGATTGTACTCTCCGCCTCCAACCTTACTCGCGGGTGGATTTGTGTGCGATATATCTGCATCTCTTGGGCGCTTAGAGCCTCCCCAGGGTCCACTATAGACTCTATCATCTCATTCTCAATCTCAACGCTATCAATCGCCAACTGAGCGAGGACTTGCGCTTGATTTCGACGTAGTAGAACAGATTCTGTAGATGTGGGGCTTGGATCATCAGGATGTGGAATTAGTGCAAGAAGTGCGGAGATCGCAAGGCTCATCGGGGAAGCAGATTGAAATTGTGGATTGCTTCTGCTATGAAATAAGATATCGTTTGGTCCTTGTACCCCGGTTTCCAATTTATCAACAGCTTGGTTGATCGAAGGGGGTGGAAGAACAGGGAAATACGGATGGATGTAAACATAATATGCGCTCAAACTACCGCGTCAATATTTGGTCAGTCATGTTACTCAATGTTTCTACCTACTGACAGAACTTACATGTCCTCATCGTTAGCATATGTTCTTACTACAGGTATACCTGTCTCCATTTGAAAGGGATCTTCTAACACATTTTGTGGTAACAATCCATCGTTTAATGTTGAAGGTTCTTGATTCCCTTGTATGTTTGGGTCGAATGCGAAGTCCATATCAAAGTCCAATTGTTCACCTCTTTGGAGAAGACCAGCACCAGGGGTGGCCAATGAAACCACCGGGGCTGGACCAGTAACTAATGACAGGTCAGAATAATGTTTGGCAAATATTTGGGGTTACTTACGGAGCTCATTTGGTGGCGATTGATCTATATGACCTTCGCTATTGGTGTTCTTCTTGCGTCTTCTTGCACCACCTCTCTTGCTCGGTGTATAGACGCAATCACAACCTCGATTGGCACACTGATGACATCAACTAGTGTATTTCAACATTATAAAGAATCACTTACATTTTGCACACGGGGTTTTACCATTGCATCGAGTGCGTGCAGCACGACTGGCATACGTTGGTAACATCTTCCAAAGATACCAGTGAAAAATAACGTTACCATTCTAGACATGCCACTTTTACAGGAGGTGCCAAAAATTTCCTGGTGGCGGGTTTCCTGTGCTGTGGGTTTGTGGTGGTGGGTATCATATTACATGTTAGTTTCCGCAAATGCTCGCTCAAACTGCAGGGGTCTTCGGATACGGGAAAGTGTCTGAATACTGAATGAGATGGATGGTGTAGGAGTCCCGGCGTGGGTGGTAGTCTGTCGTACTCCCGTCCGTATAAATTGTTTAGATGGAGAAGAAGATCTTCAAACTTGGATGAACACAGTTTGTCGACGATGATAGTGATGGAGGGGGTTCATAAAAATTGTATCATACGATACAAATCATGGTGGATCCGTGCGCGCGTGCTTACTCATCAACAAAAATATGGGATCTTGACCTCGAGCTTGAGTATAATTTTGAGAAAGCAACAACCTTCCTTGCTGCGTAATCTTACTCAAAACCTTATTTCGAACCAAACTACCACCCGCTTCAATGATATAGATAACTACGATACATCCGTTGGAGTATCCTTATCATCCATGGCAACGACAACATCTTCAATATCTCCAGAACAGGGCGACCCCAAGTATGAAAAGTTCAGTGTTACTTGATGGCTCGCTATCTATATGCTCCGTATACCGCCATGCTCACTGTGTTAACGTTACATTATTCACCGACAGATACCTTCAATGATTGATCCACAATTCCGGAATTCATGACCTGAACGGAATCTTGACTGCGCATCAATGATGTGAATTTCCCGGCCCCTTGGTTTACCCCGCGCCCACCGGGCATGATACCCCCATCTATGTGTCTTATTAATGATAAGATATCCAACGTATATATATATGCAATGGATTCCCATCAAGAAGTACCACTGTTCATGATTGTCTTCAGAATGCGTCTTTCGAAAGTTGCTACATTGCTTTTCCTCGCCCGTTCGACTGCTCAGGCTCGATCGTATGTTAGTACCCTGCCACAAAATGCTCAAGGACTCTTCAATGAATCTATGGACTATCTGGATCGGGTATACGACGACAATGCTGGCTATCTTTATGAAATGAGTGGATCTGCTGCTTTGAGACACGATGCTAGAAGTTCAGCATGGTACGCCATTGGACTTTTGGCAAGGAACCAAGGTTCGGATGTATCCGAAGCCGAGAAGATAATCTCCAATGTTATTGATGGTCAATTCAAGGACCCTGAAGCGCAGTGGTGAGTTTGGTTGTATCCAGTGGTGTGAGGCATCGACTGAAAGCTCTAGGTATGGGGACTATCAGAAAGAACCAGAGGAACCAGAAGTGGGAAACTCGTATTATGAGCCAAATATATACAATTCATGGGATCCAAACTGGCGTGGCTTCATAGGAACAGCCTTTATTGTTGGTCTTGAGGAGTTTGGTTCCCTAATCTCGCCAAATGTGACTAGTCTGATGCTGGAATCATTGTACAATTCGACCATAGGTGACAGTTATCGTGTCGGTGGAGTAGATGGCGATAATTTGTATCCTGCTTATACCAATCCTGTAAGTGCATCACCCAGCCTATGATGCATACTCTTTATTAATCAACTACTAGTCGATAATGAGAGCTTTTGTTTCCGGATGGACCGGTCGTCGGTTCAACGACAGTAATATGACAACCGCCGGCGAGAATTATGCCCAACAAATCGTTGACTTGTTTGATCGAGCCAACACACTTTCGGAATTCAACAGTGGCACTTACACTGGCGTATCTTTGTTCGCTATGAGTTTGTGGGCTAAGTACTTGCCAGAAGATTCTGTGATGAAACAAAGAGGTGCTTCGATGATTCAGTATACTTGGGAAGCAGTATCTAATCTGTGGCATCCTCAACTTCTGAATGTTGCTGGCCCTTGGGATCGTTCATACGGTTTTGATATGACGAGATATTTGAGCCTTCTGGCACTCCACATCTGGAACGCTGTAGGGAAGTCCAAGTCTTCAATCATCGACAAGCCTTATATTATGTCACACAATGCCGATTTTGCTTACGGTCCATTATTCGCAATATTGTCCGAGTTCCACAATAGCTTAATACCAGCAAATGTGACAGATGCCCTTGTAAATTTTAAAGGGGAGCACACATTTACTTCTTCAACCTATTCACCGCCATTCGACTACTATCCTCGCAATATTACAGCTTGGCTTGCAAACAACATTAGCATTGGCGCTGAAACATTCAACGAAAATGTTGTTGGTGGACCTGCCAAGAATCAAGGCACCTTCAACCCCGCTCTTATGCAATGGAATACTGGCAATGGAATTGGCTGGCTGACGCTCTATGCAACAGAAATGCATGTGATTGCCGAAGCTGGTAGTGGTTCGTTGAATTTGACTTATCCGGAAGGAAATGAAACCTCAATATTTACCTTTTTGGTTTCACCATTTGCCGCGAAGAGAACTATTTCAAGCATCGAAGATATACAGGATGAGTTTGAAAGTGTCTGGTACAATTGACATGATTATACCTTGTCTTATGCCGGAGAGTATGGCGGCACAGATGCCACTATTAATGATTTTGAGTATTGGAATGTAACATTCTCAATGTCAACCGGCTCGACTGAAGTACCTCACATTCTTCTCGAGGTTGATCTTTGGTAAGAAGAGCATTTGAGGTATGTATATATGTATATAGTCAGACTCAATATCTCAGGATGCGTCATCTAATATTACTGGCAAACCTTGCTTATTATTGAGAATCATAGCATGCGACCAATGGGCTTATGTAAATTTGGGTGCTTGAGAATACATGCGAGAGAAATATGATGAATAGGAAATCGCATGCATAATTTAACTGTTGTTATCGGCTCGTTGTTATTATTGCTAATTTTGATTCTATAGGCCACACCGATTCGGTGTCCTATGACGACTTTCCTATCTCCATCCGTCGAAAAGAGTTACTAGGATCATTGAATTACCCCACGATCAGAACAATGACCCCGTCAAATCCACAGATGCAAGGCCTGGTAGCCCGGATTACTAAATGTAAGCTGTTAACGATTGAGAATATCTTAATGGTGGGAATGAAAGAAGTATTCCGATCCAGTTCAATGTTCTGATGGATTGAGGAATTCAGAGCTGGATGTCAGAGTGCACTGTCTCCGGACCATGAAGCATCCCAACTTTCTGACCACCAATTAATGAGAAAGGGGCTGTGTTCCAAAAGTCGGCATATCACCATGCATTCTACTTCCAATTACTGAAGAACTTGTCAGCTTTTGCGCATGTCGTGTTTCATCGTACTCAGCCGTGGTTCAAACTATTGGGTCAAGATTGCGCAAGTGCTTGTAGTGCTTACCTCCAGTGAGTCTCTGATAGCGTATCATAATGTGCCAGGTGGATAGCATACAACTATCGTTGCGCGCTCAGCTTTTATATACATTGGCAGACACCGTTTCTGTAAATCGAGCACACTAGCCTTTCAATAATAACAAGACATTCAAAGAGAAAGACCATTGCTGCATCTTTTCAACCTCATGGAAGCTATCGGTGGCATTGCAAGTGTTACAGGGGTGGTAGGATTCATCGGACAAATCGCAGGCGGCTGTAAAGTCGTCAAAGAAATCATCGGCGACATCAAAAACGCACCTAAAGACATCATAAGGCTTGCGGAGTGTATAAAAAGCATCGAAGAGAGCTCAAATGAAGTTCTACGCCAGCATGAACAACTAAAGACTCATTATGGAATCCAAGATATACCTGCGGCCGGAGCACACATGCTTGAAGCTATTAAAGCCGCCGAAAATAAGCTCTCATCATCCGCAGAAATCTTTGGCAATTCAACGATGGGCTCCAAGAATAAGCGGAAGCAGTTCTGGCATCGACTCAAATATGCTGCGAACAAAGAAGAGATTAAAGAATTGATGCAGTGGGTGGATAGCACCACACAACAAGTTACGCTGGTTCAACAAAATTTGTCAAGGTATGTAAAGAAATCCTCACTACCTAGTAGTTACATTTACTGACTTCTTCAGAATCATTCAACTCGAACAAAGTGACTTATTGAAGGAGATAAGTACCAACATTATAGAAGTTCCGCATGCCATTCATGATTCGAGAGATGCAATCATAACAGCGCAGCAAAACCAAACCGAAACACTTCGTTCGGAAATGCAGAAAAGTCAGAGTCACTTAGTACAGATGATGTCAACGACTATAGCTACCAAAGCATTGGAGGATGTTCGTGAGGATCTGTTACTAAGTTTAAAAGGAGCCATGGAGGAATGCATCCAAGCACAACGTTTAGATGTTGGACCCCAAGTCCAGTTTCTTGTTGGCAAGTGTTTGCAGCGCGATTTGCCAATACATTCAGCCAAACTTGCAGAACAACGAGGAAATGATGTGTCTGTGTCTCTTTCAAGTCCATCTCCACGCAGTGTCACGCCGACATCTTACCATGCTTCATCAACACCCGATAAGATGAAGCGGAGGAAGAAGGGAAAGAAGCTCATTTTGTCAACATGGTACAATTACAGGTTTCTCGGGATTAATGTCTCCATCGCAATCTCATCGTATGCCAATAATCAATATCAATTCTCAAGGTCATCTTCGGGCCCACACGATCTATCTTCGACTTCAGTATCTATTTTCCTCACGATACCCTGGGCCAGAAGGGGTCTCGATCTGCGATATGAGATGCCTAGCGTACCTTATTCTCGCGAAAGTTTCATTTCCCTTAGACCGTATTACATACACGCAAAGGGTAGTGAATTTCATAAAGCAGTCACAGAATTTGACATCGAGACAGCGCGAAACTTATTTGAACAAGGAAGAGCTTCTCCACTGGATGAAGTTGAGGGACTAAACGGCTTACTAAAAATATTGTACTTGTTCAAAAGAAATTATGACAACAGTCTACATATTGAATGGGTGAAATTTATTCTTGGGTACCAGGTTGATAGATATATCGACACTAAGGATCTCAAGCACTTCATTTTTCTAGCTTCTCGAGGTGGAAATGATCCAGTGTATGAGGCATTGACTCTAATTTTGGAATGTTCGCAGGATTGCTTCCTCCAGGATCCGGACATAAAGTTTTCGCTATGGCGTATAGATCGTCCGCCGCCAGAACATAGCAGGATAATAATGCCTCTCAGGAATTATGACCAGTTGATTGACTGGGACTGTCACGAGTTCCCAAGCCATCCCGGTCTCTATCTTGAAAACAGTCGTCAACTTTTTGAGAATCCTCAAGGAGATGGATTAGATGATGCATTAGATAGAGGATGTCAGTACCGCTTAATATCTGACCAGGAATGGCAGGGAACAATTTTAGGAAATCTTGAAAACGAGTCATCTGTGGTATCGATTCTGGAATTCATCAACCGTTACAGTGGGTCAAGAAGCAGGGAAGAAGTTATCTACTGCTGCAGTAATCGGCTCGAGATACTAATTGTAAAAGGTCTTAACTTAAATAGAGACGACACTTTTCGAACGCAGGCGAGTCTCCTAAATCTTAATGTGGCTGTATATTATTACTCTACAGTTAATTATGTAATTCAAACTGGAGCTTGGAAGCATCTATTTGAAATGCTTGTTCAGATAGGGTGGAATGAAAGAAAGATCCAAGAGCTGTATGATGAAGAGATCTTCTTGGGGATTCCCGCCTTGATGGAAGGTTTACAATACCGCACGATAGAGAACGCACGGGAAGAATTCCTGCAGCGGCTGCTTAATGGTGATGATTACTCCTGCTTTGACACTAAAAAACTGTCAGTGGAACTAGCTTCAAAAGAAAGTTATATATCTGAGGCTATCACGCGTGCTAGTCTTCAATGTTCAGAGAAAATGAACATACCGGGGTCGTGGGAAGAAGAAGAGGTTGCCGTCGAATCGATTTCTGAGAAAGACATTATTATGCCATGGTGTTTAAGTATCTATTCTTGGACCAGTTCGCATCATTATACATGTATTCACTATGGCCAATACCACACAAAATGCCATGTCCCTCGAAAGGAGTGGAATCCATATAATGCTCAAATACAGCTCGTCGATATGGTAGAGGATATGGAAAGTAAGGAGGATATGGAAAGCAACGAGGATAGTGACTAGCGCTAGTTGAGAGTAATAAGAGCCTTTTCCTTTAGCTTAGAATTGCACGAAGGCCCTGTTCACACTTTCGTTTATTTGACTTGTCAATCAATTTAAAGTAGCATCACTAGGAGCGACCGCCAATACCTCGAGTTTCATTCATAAATCATAGGTTGGAGGATAGTAGGAGTGTAAAATAGATTTTTGATTCTTTTCATAAGACTAAAATGTTATAGAGCTGTCGGAAACCATACTCTCATGAGGTTCTAATAACATTGGCATCTAACCAATCTTATACCTGTAGCTGTTTTGATCCTACGCCTACTGCTGCTCTCATGCCATCAGTTTGATATATATGGATTGAAATCATACTGGGTGGATTCACTTCCAAAAATAATTGGCATGCACATTCCAACATATCCTGTGGCAGTGTAAGAATCACGTGATTATAATTCGGTGAATGTAGCAAGCCAAATCTCACTGCCTGCAGTACCTACCTACTTAGCGTAGGATTGCGGTGATAATAATAAATAGGTGGTCTCTTCTTCCCAAGTCCTCTTCTCGTTCTTGTCGTTTTACAAGCCTTTGGTACCTTTTCGTTTTTTTACTCAAGATACACTCAACCTCGGTAGTTTGGTATCTCTGATCAACTCCATTTTCCTAAACTGCAACACTTCACCATGCATCGCGCACTTCTCCTCCCCGAAATTGTTGCAACAATTCTGGAGACAAATAGGTCAATCCCTGGCTTCCTTCATACTTGCCTCTTTGTCTCCAAAACATTCTCAGAAGAAGCATGTAGAATCCTGTGGTACTCATGCGGAGCTTACTGCTTTGCTGAACAGGGGACGCCAAATATTAAACATCTCGCTCAAATAGCTATTCAAAATACCGAGAGAGCGCAATACTACGCCGATTTTGTACACGTGCTTGAATTTTCGGAAGAAGAAAGTGATGAAGAAGATGGGAAGGATGAGGGTCGTGATGAGGCGTATCTCGATGAAGCAAGATGGCATAAGGAGCTCACTTCCTTGCAATTTCCTCATTTGAAAGACTTCAGCCTTCACGAATCCAGTAACGCAACTGAATTAAATACGGGAGAGTTTATCAGTCACTACGCGCAACCAAACATAGAGAGTTTCACGGTGTACCAAGGAAGCCGCATTTCCGACGCTTTGTTTGACAAACTAACACAATCTTGCCCAAGACTAAAATCTCTTCATCTCAGCAAAATAAGCTCAAGTAATCTATCCAAAGATGGACTCGTTCGATTTTTGAACAGAGCGGATACACTTACTGCCCTCGTCATCCAAACTGGGGTCTACGATAGTTGGTCCTACGAGGCATTTGAAGCCATAGCCAAGCTTCCAAATCTGACCTACATTGAGATTCCTGATATTCAGAACAATTGGATGGACTCCGTCAGTCGCGCCAGCCCTTCTACTCCTTTGTTTCCAAAATTGGACGTCCACTTGAGTACCGGCATTTCCGAGCGTGATTTAGAATGCTTGGCTCAACATGTCCCCAAATTAGAGGATCTATCTATAACTTTACAAAATCTGCCTCCGTCACTCAGTATCCTCGCATCTGCATCGAATTTCTCACATCTTACGAATCTGAAAGTCGAATTTGGACCACGGAATCGAATCAGCGGCAGCGATCTTCTAATTCTTGCAAGAAACTGCCCTTTACTATCTTCTCTTTCGCTTGGAGTAGTTGACGATGACGTGTTCTCTCCACCAGGTCCTGCATACCGTCCTTCCACTACCGGTATTACTGACGATGTTATTGACGAGGTCGCTCAAGCATTAGGAGACAGTATTATCTCTTTGAGTATCATTTTTGACCGCTCCGATTTGCTTACGTGGAGCTCCATTCTTTCTCTCGCTCGATATTGTTACAATCTAGGAGATTTGACAATATCCTGCAACTTTGATTGGCAAGAGGCTATGAGTGGCACGGTCGAACACACTTTTCCTGCTCTCGAAAATCTGGATTTTATTTTCGATTCCTATCTAAGGGCATCGCAGGTTCAAGATTTCGACCGGGCAGCGGTCCAAAGCTGCGCACAGAAAATGTTTAAATTGGCGCCAAAACTATCGTCGTTCTGGATTGATGGTGCAAACGAAGTCGACAACAGCTGGGAGTCGGCTATTCAGATGATGTATTACGATTCAATCTCATGACAGTGATGTAAAAAGACTTCTTTGCACAGTACATTTCTATGAATTGCAAAGAATCCTTGCGCCACGCTCATGTCTACAGATATATCCGGCTGGTCATTTGAAAGACTGGCAGCCAATAGTTGGGGCTGGGTAGAGGAACCAATTTGACCAGTCGATGAGGTGACTGCTCAAGTGTTGTAATGCTTGATAGCAGAAATGTTAGATCGATCATGTCCGGAGAAGAAGAAATCGCGACAACTTATGTATATGTGGTCAGATCAGATGCCAAGGTAGACTTTTCAGAGCTTAGCTAGCAATGTTAATATCAACAAGAGGCTGATATATTTTCATCTCTTACACTTTTCTACAGGAGTTTTTGTGTCAGACATGCAACAGTGAGGGTGTAAATTCGTGAGATGATGAGAGGCTTGAATTTGAGTATAGCTTTTCAACCATCGTTTCAAACCCCTTGAAACTTTGCAAATATTCATTCTATACTAAGTATTCAGATTATATATTTTATCGAACATCAATCGTCGTTCGAATTAATCATGGTCTTTTGCACTTTGAAGATTCACGGCTGTTAGAATTTTTTTCAAATAGATATCCGTGAGAACAAAGCCCCAATGGATTCCCTTAGTTCCTGTTTATCAACAAATCTCTCCATACTCGCCGTTTATAGATAGTTAGCTCTTCAAAGTTACATCGAATTACTGAGAATTAGACTGCTCGAAAACAGAAGACATAAATATGAGCTTTACCAGACCCGTGGCGCAATCCCACAAGAATTTTTCAGATCCGACCAAAAGCTTCCCACAGGCGTTGAACACTTGTGGAATAAATTTATAACAACACTTCTACTTCATACTCAGCAAGACAAGGATATTAAGGGTGCAAACGAGCTTCTTTAAGTATTGATGCTATCTGTAAAACAATTTTCTAGTAAAACCAACCCTAGCCAACCAGTATGCAATTTCTCTCCATTTAAACGAAACAACCCTCCAATGCCAAAATTCTTCCGAAGAAGACAAAACAGAAACAAATCGAATAGAACACTCCCCAAACTTCATCCCCAACTTTGAAAGACAATCTAACTGTCAAATATGACAAATTGAACCGTTATCTAAGGATTCTTTGCCTTCCAGGTGTCAAGCGATGATTGGCAAACAGTGACGGCAGTCAAGTGACCTTGGTCAACAGTTCCTCCAAGTTGAGTGCATGCGGTATTAGCTGCCTTGCGGTTCTTGACGCATCTATTCTCACTAGTTAGTCACCAAACTTATATCATCACTCCAAGAACCCAGGAGAAGAAAACTCGGAAATACATACGCTTGATACCCGTTGACACACTTAGTCTTGATCTGAGTTCTCTTCGTCTTATCCTTCGATTTAGTGAAATCGGTAAGCGAAGTCGAGGGACAAGCAGTTTGTCCCTTGTGGGCGGCAGTAGTGGCGTCCGCCATCTTTTTCTTGAGATCGTTGTATTTCTTCGTGGCGGCATCGTCTTTGGTCTTGTCGCCTGTCATGACGGGTCTTGGCTCGTTACATGTTTGGCCATCGCGACCGAAGAGCTGGGTAGGGTCTGATTCTATGGTAGAGATCTCAGCGGGAGATGAGGTAGGGGCCGCGGAGACGATGGCGGGGAGGAAAAGGAGAAGCGCGGAGGCGACGATTGGAGAGAGCTTCATTTTGATTGTAGTTTAAGGAACGAAAGATAAACTTAATAATAGTGTTTTGAATTGAGAGTAAAGAATGAAGTGAAGAGAATGTTGTATATGAAAGTTGTGTTATAGCAAAGACATTTGAGGATATTTATATTATCTGTGTCATAAGGAGAGCCATGGAGATCTACAGCTTAGCACTTACAAACCTCACTTAGTTGTCAGTAGGAACTTCCTTCACGAATGTGCCTCAAAGCCAAGAATGAAGGACGTAGGTATGTCACTAAGCATAAAATTCGAGTGTTACATTGTTCCCCAAAAGAAATGAATCTGACTGATCCTCTGAGGAATGCCCCGCATAGCCACCAAGCCAAGATAATCACTTGCGGCACTTAATGGGAGTTTCAGACTTCAAGATACGAGGTATCTGCAGGAATTCCTTGCTTTATAGTAATGAATAGATACAAATAAATTCTCAACGACGGTGAATATTAGCAAGGGAGAACTCAGTGAACATGATATCCAGAGCTTCCCCTCACCCGGATCTGAACACAACCTGATAGAACTAAATCAATGACATTCAAATATTGGTACAGAGGCTCAAATTTAGAATAGATGGAATAGCTTCGACTTCAAGCGTAAATCTTCCTGTCGGATTAGAGACAGACCATTCTATAATATTCCTATGGCAACTTGCGCAACAATTTCGTCTTCAGTTGACAGCGGGTCTCCTCGGCTGAGTAGACGGCGAGGTAGGAGACGATCCCAATTCTATTTAAAGGTTTGTTGTGAAGATCAAGATCAAATTGAGTCATTAATGCGTTGCGATGCTGTCAGTATCAAATGGAATATGTATGTCATCGAATGAATGCAGATCTCTGCACACGTGAGCTCAATGAACATCCGATCTTCCTTCCCCTTGCAGAAGAGACTTCAAAATTTCTGCCGAGTTCCGAAATCATACTGAGATAATAAATCCTATGTGAGAAATTAAATTTCAGAAAGCTACAACTTCACTTATGACCGTCATACCATCTGTTTTCGTTAGGTGTACAATATCAGGCTTACCGGTGATGTAACGTTCGTGTGAGAGGACCCCATAAATACGATAAGCTTATATAAATAGCCCTACAGTACAGTCAGCCCGAGCCTCAGCCCTGAATTAATAAGGATTCGAAGGATTTTCATAGAATGAAAGGAGGAATGAACAAAAAAGGAAGTTTATTTTAAGATTAAAGGTTTAAAACAATTTGCCGGTCGGAGTTAGGACGTGGACGTGAATGAGGGTTTCGGTTGTGTATTGAGAACGTGAGGGGCACTTTTTTTCAATAATGAAAAGCAACAGAAAGATTTCGAATTGAAAGTTTCGTAGAAAATCCTAAAAGTCATTGTTCTGTTGCTGGGTTCCCCCAAAGAAGTGCTCGAAGTTATTCGGGCCTAAATTTTAGTGTGTATATGACCTTTTCAAACATATCTAAAATTCTCAATTGCGTTTGTCACTCTTCAATTTACATTTCCCCGATTTTGAATACCGGTGCCCAAAATTCGACATCTCGTCGGAGGAAATATTAGACTTGTTAAAGAGTATACCTGAGAAAGCCGTGCAGATATTCAATGCATGAAAAAAAAATAGGGCATGGGCTCGGTGATCTTTAATGCGTCAGTGAAGATCTCATGATACATGTAGATTGGCCATTGGGATACCTAGTACCAAGACGTGCAAGCGTATTCAAATTCTTACCAATCTTGAGCCTGCCTGGTAAAAATCTCTTTCAGATGTCCCTTGAACTCAGGTATCAGATGTAATCTCAGAATTACTAATAAGGTAGACACAGTGAGAATCATAGTGAATGATCTTGTATCAGATTCTCTGCAGTGGATTCTAGCGAGGTCGCTAAGTTAGTAGCTTTTCTTGATTTGAGAATTTCTGAATATGATTTTGCCTGTGTAGATTAGATACATATGATAACAAGAACCTTTGAACACAGAGGGTATAAAGGAAGTCCCTTCTTATCTTACTCTCGACTCAAGTAAATAAAGAATTTTCCGTTTCTCTTCTCAAACACCTCACAATGTTGGATTTTATCGCTCTCAGCTATTGCTGTTTATATTTGCGTATTTTGGATAACAGAATTTGTACTGGTTTAAGTAAAAATAGTAGAAATGAAACAGATCTTCACTTTTTACCCGATAGTGAGTGAATGCGCATGGAAAACTGGAAGGAATGATCAGGCTCACAGGTTCTTTGGAGGACTTGTCTGTCATATAGTAACCCTACCAGCTTTTCTTGTCTAGGTCGATGTTTCCCGAGCAGAACTTACATTAAATTACTATTGGCGTATCAATATGACAAGAATTCATGCAGTCGGCGATTGACAAATAAATTGATGGTAATAAGGTTAGCTATTTGTATCTGTAAATTACCAAATTGTAAACATGACGCGTTCTTCTTTGAACACTTCTAGACTGTTGTAACATCAGCAATATATGAAATAGACATAGTGTCACATACAGATAGTACCGTTTAGATAGTTGATATCCATACCTGACGAATGCTCAGCTTATAATATGCCTTGCATCATTGTCATATTTTTCCACGATTATCAGAACCCAGGTCGACATCCACCAGATAGTCATTATAGTTCTATTTTCAAGACCGAACACACTCTCAGTTTTAGCCTGTCGCCTGCGCCACTCCTCTGATTCATCAACGCTTGTGTTACTGGCATCCGGAATTTGAAACTGTGGGCGTCGGTTCTCGCTGTTCATCCTTTCTGTTCTAACGCTTGGACTCGGAGGATTAAATCTTTGATGACAGATTGGTGAGTATTATTTACTTGTTGTTGTGTGCGCAGTTTATCTTGTAACACAGAAATCGTACGTTCATGAGCGTTGTTTTCAAGTTCCAAGCCCTCGACACGCGACTCTAATTGTTTTATCGTGTGATAAGGTGACTCATATCGATTAGAGTCTTCGAAGATGAGTCGGGGAGTAGGTGCTGTGGCGCTGGGACTGTCTGATTCGAGTCTTTGCTGATTACTGAGTCGAACTTGGCCTGGCGTAAAAGACGGTTGATATTGGATTTTGGTTCGAGGTTGCTGTGAAATTTCTTGATTCAAGGGTACATTCCAAGTAGAGCCTGGATGTTATTGTGCCGAGTGTAGCTGGGTAACAGAAGGTCTAGGAACTACGGGTCTAGGTTGTGGTTTTCGGAATCTTTGTGGGGCAGTTCTTTTTGCAGCTTCGAGGGCTTCTCGTCTGTATTTGACGCCATCTGTGAGCCTTGCTTCAACTCCTGCTTCAGCCAACCTTTCTTCCACTCTATTGGCATGTATAGTCGACTTCGCATGCCACTCCATGTTCGAAACATCACAATTTTGATAATGCACCTTGTACAGTCGTCCTTTACAGTCGTGACATCTGATCTGGAGTAGATCGTTCTCGTAAACAAGCTCGTATTGATCATCGGGATATTTTCCCCTCAATTCTTGCAGACCTTGAGTAAGCCAAGGGAGATTGGCAACCTGAAAATGTTAGTAGTTGAATCAATGGCCCTATAAGTACATACCTCCTGTGCAATCTTTTCGGCATTTGACTGAGTCTCGTTCGAAACAACAGTCTCAAGGCTTTGTGAACCTGATTCTACTCGATGGCTAATAGATGATGGAACAGCAGTCAACAATCTTGAGCTGGCCTGGTTCTCTTCACCAACATCTGATCGCTCTATGCCACGAGAACTGTCTTTGTTATTGGATGTACGCCGCCGTTTGTTACTTTGTATTGCCGTGGAAGATTCAAGAATGTTGGTATTCGTTGGGAAGCAAAAGCGCGTGGCATCTGGTTCAACTTCACTCATGGAGACAAATTCACGACTTATTATACTATTTGGTGCCGCGACGCTCGTTTCAAACACTACTTGATTTGCCCCGGATGTGCCTGGGCTCAGTAGATCATCACATGACTCGCCTGGTCTACAGCTTTCCGTCTCATAGTCAGAGATCAAAATATAACTTTGCTCTACCGTTGCCGGCAAATATCTTCCAGAAGGCGTATCCTTTGGAGGTATCTTCACCAGAATACTGGCCTTTTTTCTTTTTTTCAGAAAATGTTCAGTAAGGATCATAAGATGTGATTTTACTAACCTCAATCATATGATTCAAAATCCTTTTGACAAGTTCTTCCTTTTGTAATTGGGCAGATGATAGTGCTTTGGGAGAACATCGGTGTCGAAGACGATAACATGAAATGATGACTTGTGGACACAAACCTTCTTTAGAAGCATTGGCTCGATGAAAGCGTATCATACTTGCAATGCATCTTGATACTCTCTTGTATAATGGAGAGTCAGTGTCCAAAGGACTAGCCATGGCTTCGGCTCTCAAAAGAAACTTTCAATGCACAGCTTTTGCACTCTTTCTGAAGAAATTGAACAGTCAGAACTTAAGAAGTATGTACACTCGCCTAAGTCTGACTGATAGGAGAGAGCGACGATATCCGGCATTGGCATCTATGCAGTTGTTCAGGTCACAACACGTCTAATTAGGGACGTGTCGGAGTGCGGATATGTGGAGACCTTGTCTTGTTAGTGGAAAATGAGCCACACCACGAGATTATGTAATCAAACCATGGGAGTGGCACGTGCTTCGAGTGCAATTTCAACACTTCCAACTGTCGACGTTGGTTAAAAGTTGGAATTTTGGAGCCATGTCAATGAAAATATGCGTATTCAAAGCTACAATGACGAGACGATATACTATTTGAATCTTACTCATTGCTACACTGATATGTTACATAAGTCCATCGAGGCAGAAAAGATCATTTTTGTCCATCGACGAGCAGATCTCAAAGGGTCTTTGAGATAGTGGTGGCTACTTCGCGTCCATTCATTGACTTTATTCAAATACAGCATAATTTCATTCCTCTTTCTATTTCATCACACTCTCCATCCATGGATATACTGCTGAATTGGCCATTGGGTAACCCATGTGTAAGGCACCAGGAAAGAAACTAACAGTGTTAACGAACTACCACCGGTCTTATAGATGAATTTGTAACTTACCGAGCTTCTTTTGGTGTTCCATGTTCAAACAGTAGTTGCGAATCCTCGATCGGCATCAGTCCGTCCAAAGTACCCTATCAGATGAGCTGTCAGTCACGACGTTTATCACACATATACAATCAGAACCCTACATTTATAAGCAATAGTCTTGTCGAAGGCTGATCAATCACTCCGCTTTCAAGTAGTGAGAATTTCTTTTGGACGTTGTTCCTGAATTCTTCTATAGAGGTATACCCGTGCTTTAATGCCATAGCTGGACCAAGTCTAGGAGATGTCAGACTGCATTTCTCCAAACTCCTGCAAATAGAAAACTTACTGGAAAGGATACTCATGTCCTTCAGCTTTTTCAAGCCAATCTTTACCGAAGAAGTAATGAACAGCAGCACCTTGTGCAACAACTCCTCTCAATTGATCTTTATGCGTATGGGCCAGTCTGACGGCATAATACCCTCCAGCACTTAGACCCCATACCATCACGTGGCTCATATCAAATCTGTCTCCTGATTTCATCCACTCCAAAATACTTGTCCACAATCTATCGGGAGCTGAAGGATCACTTGGATCAGAGGGGCAGTCAGCTGTCCCTGGAATCTCAGCAATTACACATGCCCAACCGCGGCTGATAAACTCATCGCTTCGAACTGTGTTGTCCGGTCGATATCCATCGAGTCCAGTCAAGAGAAGAACCACGGGCACTCTCGAATTTTCAGTAGCTGGAGGGTATCTCACATAAATTGGTATCGAGAGTTCATCTTGCTCTTCCGCATGCTTATGTTCAACTGAAACCTCTTCTACTGGGCAGTCCCATTTCGTGGCAGCTTTCATATACACCTCTTTTTGGGCTTCCCACGCTTTCCACTTGACTTGGGAACTTATCTTCGGAAATTTGCCGATGTATGGAAATCGTGCGATTCGATATACACAAGCGGCTCGTAGATAGAGCTCTGATGCTGAAGCTTGATCGCCAGAAGCCATTAACTTATCTCCTTGAGCAGTAAGCTTTTCGGCGATTGGAAAGAAAGCATCAGTGAACGCATCACCATATCCATCATTTATGTTGTTCTGAGAATTGTCAATCATCGAAAAGTGGAAACGAATGGGGAAGCTCACAGCAATTAGATGCTCGAAGATGGGTTCGAAATCTTCGAATTTTCCGTCATGGAAAGGATACACACTTTTTGTGCACTATAAAACGTAAGCATTTTCGCCGCAACCATACCAATCTTGGGAAGTATCTACGGGGAATTTCCATTTTGTCTCCCACAACGCCTTGACACCCTCATGATGAGGGAGCTTCGCCTCAAATTTGTCACCCAACGTCCACGTTCTTCCATTGCCAAGTTCCGTTGCTTGAGGTGGCATCTTTATCGTTTTCGAGTTTGATGTTACCTGAGTTCAAGAGCTATCAAGATTTCAGTCTGTCTACCTTTTATGTTTCAAGCAACATCAAGCCCGAATCAGTAAAGTAGCCGGCCAATAATAGGGGGAACAGTGTTCGGACTCTGTGGGGAAGTCCGTGCTCTTGTTGGCCATTCAAAATCTCCCTTGATCTGCACAAGGTTTCAGCTGAGCTAGATGAGCCAGCTGAGCCAATACATCTTAAAATCTGAGATGATTTGCATGAAGAGTGGAGATGGGCTCGAGATCTCTTGCAGTTTGACATTTGCCAGATCATGGTGAGGCTGAACAACACAGCAATGATAGCCATAGCTATGGTTCACCGAGTTTGCTTTACAACACATTGTATGCCACAACGAAACATTTCCATTTATCGAGCTTCCTATTCTTTCATTTTGAACCTATCTTTTTTCGTATTTAGGGACATTAGAAGTTGAAGTATTTGGAAAAGAAGCACAAACTTTCTAAGAAGTTGGACTGAAAGACAAGATATTAGTTCAAACACGTGATCACGAGGACGTCATATCTCCCGCATCTATACCACATCGGTGAATTTAATCATGCCAATGTTTCCACCTCTGATTCAGATGCTAATAAATCGGTGGCCAACTGTGGGAGATTGCCCTAACACTGGCTTCCACGCTTTTGTGCACCCCAAGCCCCATTCAGAGCGCCCCATTCAGAGCCAGTGACTTCACAGGAGAACCAACGTGAAGTAACAATGCCCTTAATATACGCCCGGATATTCGCCTTAGAAATTCTCTATTTGGCGATTTATCAACAAAAGTCGAAAATTGGATCATTTCAAATTCGCAATCCGAGATGGACGTAACCTAATGATGCGCTGGAGATTGTGACGGGATGGTGTACCCGCCATGTCGAGAGACTCCAGATTCATTACTACGACTGCGATTGGCTTTTAAGGTTTGATATTGCATCAAAATCAAGTACAATACGGCATCTCGATAGCAATATTCATGCTCGAAATGTTGCAGACAGGGGAATGTCTCTTGCAGAGATGATGAGTAGCGATTCGCAGCGATATATTGTCTATTTCTAGAATTTGGGAGGACTCGCAAAGTCTTGGATGGCTAGAAGTTCAATAATTTTTAGTGAAATTTTTTCATTCGCACAGGTGAATGCGCAGGTTGAGACACCTTTTCTATTGCCATGTTTGAGCGGCATAAACTACTGCCCAGGTAATTCTCCAAGTACCAACCGACGGAATGCGAGGCGTCGAGGCCAACATGTTCGCCCTCTAAATCCTTGCGTACATCTGTTAAATTCATCAAAATAGCTACGAATGTGGTTTCGACTTCTTATATTGATTCCTGCCATCTAACATCATGCATATCTCTCAAGCCATCGCATCAAATGGCCCTTTCAGCATCTCAGCATAAGCCTTATAAAAGATCTCAGGATTCTTCCACATCTGTCTCATGTACTCATTTCTCTCCTCCATCGTCTCCGGTGTCACAACTCTTCGTTCTCCTTGTGCTCGAGCACCCGCTACTAACAAGGCTGTTTTGGGTTGTCGAATTCCTGTGAATTCGGCGAAAATCTTCGTTAAGGCTTCTGTTGAGAGATCGCTGCCGGCGTCGGGGATGAGCCGTTGGAGATGGTAGCAATCCTCCCTAGTAATATTAGAAAGTCACCAAAAAAGCTGCGGAGATGTAATCAACATACATAGCTTGATTAGCACCTTGACCTAAATGGGGACTTGTGGGATGTGCAGCATCACCAATGAGAACACATCTTCCATCATACCATTGTTCGGCCTCCAAGCCTGGTCGATCGAAGATTCCATATTTAAGTAATCTTTCCGCAGTTTTGATCAGTTCTGGAATTGGCTCAGCCCAGTCTTCGAACTGACTTAGGAGCTCTGCTCTTCGATTCTCAAGCTCTTCGGGTGTTGACAGACGCCATGTTTCTTTTTCTTCTTCACTTTGTCGCTGTGTAAATGCCCACGACGAGTGAGTCGGAGAGATGGGGTACTGGATCAAATGAGCGGAGGGACCGAAGACATTCAGGAGAGTATTTTGGAGAGATGGTGGCGTGGGAGAAAATCCATTGGTCTGGGTAACGTTAGTATTGATCCCAAAGACGGACGGTATAACACACCTGAATCAATCCCGTATATGTAGCTTCGGGCTCATTATATCCTTTGCGTTTAAGCAATATCTCTCTCGAGGCAGCTTTAATACCATCACACCCAATGAGAAACAACCCTTCAATCCTCTCACCAGCTTCTGAAATTGCTACCACGCTGGTCTCACTCTCTTCAATCTTGGCCAGTTTCCATCCCGAGTGAAACTCGATACCCGCATCCACGACGGCCTTTTCAAGAGCTAGATTGAACGTGCTTCTTTTAGTTCCACAAGCCGGCTGACCATATGTCTCCTTCAGCGATTTGAGCAAATTGCCGCCCCCAAGAACTTCACCGGTATGAGTTTTATCCCAGGAGTATTCTCCCCATGGCGCATTATCAGTTACTGTCGTAGCAAGACCGACCAAGTTGAGTACTTTGAGACTATGATGTGATTAGCCCTCATTTCGACATAGATTGTGTATGAAGAACATACCCGTTGGGCTGTAGAAACAGAGATCCCCCCGCATCTCCCAATACTTTAACTTTTTCCACGACAATCGGAGTATATCCTTTCTTCTGGAGTAGAATTGCAATCACTGGACCTGCAATGCCACAGCCAATGATAATGACTTTTTTCGAATTTTCTTGAGACATGTTGATGTATTAATGAACACTGGGAATATGGTACAGAATGTGAACCAACGTCTACTTCAGATTCAATGCTAATAGTCATTTATATACACATCTTTCATTTCGAAGCCCCCTCTTCCGTTCTAGGAAATTCCAGAAGATGGAGACCGGAATGTCCACGGACCAGGGAGCACAATTGCCTGATGACTGAACCGGTCGCAACCATGATACCTATAACCGAGCAACCAAGTCTAATTGGTCAGTCTTCGAGGCATAAAGCTGTACCTCGCATTCGAAGGAATAGTATGTTTCTTGTTATGGTATGTAATACGTTGTGCCCGCAACACTATTTTATTCACAACACGTCATTGGAGCCACAAACGCAGTTTGACATGCGAAGACTCATCGGAGGCATATTTCCATTGGTTATTGAAAGATTTTACGTGAGTGCTTCGTAAGATTTAAGGGTCCAATAAACTATTACATGCATCTTACGTGCAATATAAGGGTTTTGCGTGGTCTTCAGATATATATGGTAAAGGTTTCGTAGGCCGAACGAAAGCAAATGGGAAGATATTCCGGATAATAGGCAATCAAAGCTTACTTTTCTCCTTTATTTGATGGAGTAGATCCACTAATGCAACTCCACATACAAACAAAAGTTCGGATGAGAATATGAAGGAACAAAAATCCAGAAAGACAGTCTAAAGTATCAAAAGTATTCTAAATGATTGACTTTTGATCGCTTCCATTGCAGTAATGGAATCAGAATGCAAAAAAAAATCAAAAGATATCGACGTCGGCATGATTCGAACATGCGCCCCCGAAAGGAATTGATTTCTAGTCAATCACGTTAACCACTCCGTCACGACGCCTTTTCGATATGTTAGGTGAATGCTATATCTTAAACTATATTCAAATCGCAAAGCTCAAACGAAACCATATACCCACAGCCTCTACAATTCCCACCCACACAACAACTATTTCAACTCATAAAACCATAAAATGAACGAACATCACAAATAAATCATCACAGAGATCCAATATCTAAACAACATTGCTTCCAATTAATCGACCCTTATCACACACTCCGTATTCGGAATCTGTAGCATGCCATTCCCCAACCCCTTCATCTCATCGCCTAACCATTCTACAAATACCTAATCTGATTTAACGTACACTACCTAGGCACCCTTCCCCTTGTTTTCGCGAGCATAATCTCCAGAACGTCATTCCGCGATTTGTTTATCGTGTATCTTGAGCTTCTATGTAATCTTAAATTGTTTATCAAACGTTCAGGTTCTATGCGGGAATCGAGGTGTTCCGGGCTATTTGGAAATTTACTTGGTGGTGTAGTGTAGTATAGTGTCAATCGGTACATAGATGAAGTTGGTTGACCCAGATACTCGTGCAAAATGAAGCGTTGTGTCTTGTTCGAGAGAGAAATCGAGATCGTAGAAAAGAATCTTTCAATGTAAGGCACTTCCTTCATTATGAATGCAATGGAGATTACGCAATATTTCACATTCCTAATTGCGTCCCGGGACAATCATTAATAGTTTTTACAAATTGGCATTCAGAAGCCAGACATCCTTTAGACCAGAAAACAAGCATCACAAAGCTAGGGAATATAATTTTTCACCGAGGAAAATCGTGAAAGATTAATTAACCAAGGATTTACTTCCGATCGCCAAAATCATTTGTTAGGTATCTATATCCGAACACAAAAATTCCAATCCGGGGGGTATCAATACATGTGCTCGCAGTCCAACGCCAAAACAAACCTCTCAAAATCTCTCCTGCTTCGGCGCTATAGTCAAAACGACCCATCCAACTCTACCCATCTCATCTTTGCAAGGCGTAAAATGACAGATGTATTTTTCCTCGGCCTTCTTCCACCCTTTCTCTCTGTTTGCCGCTGTGCCGCTAAAAATGCCCTGTGACTTCTTGATTTCTTCAATTCCGGTCAAGAGTGCCGTTTCGACTGATACTGCTCGCCCGGCTTTGATGCCTTCTTTGACTGCGGTTTTGAAAGTGCGGGGGACAGATGACGGGGAGTGTTCTGTGAGGACTTTGAAGATGTCTTTATCGACGATAGGAGCCACGTGCCCGTTGGGAAGGTTTAGATTAAGCATATCTACTATACCCGGAGAGAAGTATTTGACAATCAGATTTTGTGATTGTGGTTGGTAGGATAGGACGAGGTACTATTTTTGATGTCAGTGAATTTCAAGCAAATTTTAGATCTCGAAACACACCTTTGAATAAGCCGTATAGAATTCCTCAACCTGTGTTTTGAATTGTAGCTTTCCGATTCGATCAATCAATTCGCCTTCCATCCCAGCTTCATCCTGGATTTCTACAGCGTTTGCCTTGTATTTTTTGAAGCTCTTGAAGAACGAAGTCTTTCCACAAATACTGGGGCTGTTGGATCCCTTACTTCGAACACTTGGGGCCTTACTACTTCCCTCTATAAAACTCCCAGTATCCTCATCGTTCAGGCTCAAAATTCGAAGAACATCGGTACGACTGTGAATCGTCGTACTGCAATTTATTTGTCCGCCGAGAAAGAATCTGACGTCCCCATTACCGTCAAGTAAGGGAGATACGTAAAGGAGATTCCAGAATGGATCACCATTTTTGCGATAATTCAGAAGCAGTTCAACTGTTTCTTCACAGTTTTCTATGGAAGTTCGTAGACGCTTTGTTGCTTGACGATCAGTGAATGATCCTTGTAGGAATCGACAGTTTCGAGGTATGATATCTGATCGGGAATATCCCGTGACAGAGACGAATCCGTCTGAAGCAAACACAATTGGGTTATCGGCCCGCCTTAATTTGGTCAGTTTGGTATCTAGATGAACAGTATTCCTTTGGAAGAACATACCTTGGATCAGTCAAGCAAAAGCAGTCGCCTAGTCCTGGGTATCTTTCCTTGTCGTTTGCCAAAGCCATAGTAGCGGAAGCAGTAACCTGATGTTTTACAAAACGCGGGTACAAATCGCTAGCTAGCAATTTCTCAATTTGCTCCTGTGACGCATTGAAAATGTCTTCCAGGCCGGGAAGAATATTGTTCGTCGCGCTCTTGATATCATGTGATAATCGCCGAGCATGAGAATCAGAGATATTGATTTGCTTTGGCGCCTCTGACGAAACGAAGGTTGAGTAAATCGTGGAAAGAAGGCGTGTCGCTTCATCTATCAATCGATTATACTCATCAATCTAGTTTGGCACCTTTAGCACTTGACGCCATGCAAAGGGGCATTATTAGCATACCTTTTGCAAAAATTCAAGATTTTCCGCACAAGCACGACTTTGACAAAACTTCAAGAACCGATGCGCGGTCGTTGGATTATGAAGCACGATATAAAATACTTCAGAGCTAAAGAAATCTGCAAAGTTTCCCGCGCTACTCAGTCCCATACCATTCCCACTGCTACCATTCCTGCTGCTTACACTTCCTTTGTTACTAGGACTTGTTCCCGTCGAGCCTTTGGTGCTACTTTCGGCATCTCTAGAAAAGGTGATGCGGCGTGGGCTCTCGGATGTAGATTTGGCGGAATTGGGAGGTAACGGGACATTTTTTGAACTTGGAGTTCGGGCTCTTTCAGGAAATGTTGATAGTGGAGGCAAAGGAGTGGTTTTGTTGTATGCATCGGACTCATTACTGAAAGATCTCGATGGCGGTCCATCCCTGTTCTGATAGTAGTGGTCAATTGCGTCTGTCATTTTTACGCCAAGTCTAAGGTTAACTGAAGCACTTAGACTGAAGCACTTAGACTGAAGCACTTAGACTGAAGCACTTAGACTGAAGCACTTAGACCTATAGTCAAAAAACCCGTGGGAAAGAACGCATAGAAAATGCCAAAGCCATAACGAACCACAAAGTGGCGCTTCCTTAAGCTAAAGTAGTAAATACTGAAGGGGTGGGCCAATTTCCAGCGTCGCTCTGGAATCTCGACAACTACTGGATTTGGCAGTGTGGAGCGACCCGTGCTCAGAGATTTCCTTCTTGGCCTGTACACAATAGATCGATATACAGCATACGGAAAATCATGAGCCGCAGACCCGCCTATTTAGGAGGTGGACTCCGATCTCATCTAGATATGATTGGTAAAGCCATTTCATCCACTTTGCTAGAATACAGAGGGTAAAGGAAGGTGTTCACCATGTCGCAAATGAATATGACAGTGTGCACACTACAAAAAACGGCACAGGCTTTCACAGAAGCCAACCGCGTAATTATCAGACGAACAGCAGGTCCATGTCGCAAGGAACCTCATTCTAAACCATAACCAACCAGAACCAAAATTCGCGTCGTGCCGTTCAAAATACGAATAAAGTGTGCGGCACTAAAGGTGATTGATAATCCTTGATATGCAATTTCGATTTTCATGTGTGGATCCGTCATCAATTTTCTGAGTCTTTTTCCAGTTCTTATCCGCCTTCGAGTGGCCGAGGATGAAATGCAAGAAGGGGTGTTGTGCCGCAATATATTATACACCATGTATATGGGTACGGGCAGGGAATAGGCATCGGACATCGGATACCTGGTACTTGAGAAATCTTGATTGCATCCTTGATTCGATTCGTTAAACCTCAATATACAGATAAACTTGGCTATACCGGACTGGAATATATCGGAAATTTGGATATACCGGACTTTTTTTCTATTTTTTTCTAAATTTATATAAGAATATTAGAATTTCAATGAAAACCGATATATCGAATTAAATTAATTAAATTTCGATATAAGTTTTGATAATAGATTTGATTAAATAAGCTGAATTTTGAATGAGTAAGTACGATTTTGAATGAGTAAGCTTTATTGATTATTATCATATGATTTTTTTTTTTGAATATATCGGGATTTGGAATTGAAATTGGATATAGATTTTGATAAGAAAGCTTGAATTATTATTTTTCATATCGGAATCATGAATATATCGGATTTGATTAATCGAAAATTTCAGTCCGGTATAACCAAGTTTATCTGTATACGAGAGAGGTCGGCTAACCTTAGGTGGCCCAAGCTCCAATCCCAATACCGGACCGGACCCCACCCCACCATCTTTCCCCATCTCCGCATCCCTTCGCGTTGGTTTCGATATCGATATAACCTCTGACAGGATGGAGGATTTTAATATCCCCAGCAACGAAAGGATCGTTGTACTGAAAGCCCTCCAAGAAGAAATAGGAAATGTACCTCCATACTTCTGGGCTTTCTGTCAAGTGTGTGACCTTCAGGCACTTCAAAAACTCACAGATATTGCTCGCATTTCCCCTGCAAATAATTCGTATATTGGCCACACAGGCCTCTACAGCTATATTATACTGTAATTAAAATATTCAATCTGCTTTTTTTCTTTATTGCTAATGATTTATAGGGACCCAAAGTAATCAAGGCACGCCGCGTGTTTCCACTCCGAATACAACACATTTGAAACGGGGCTTGGGCTCATCTTCAACCAATTCTCCGCTTGCCAAGAGGCAAAAGAAAACTGATTCACCTGTCAGTTCCCCCCTTGCTGATAACCAGAGGAACACCAATTCCCCTGTTAGTTCGCCGTCGTTGTATCGAAGCAAGGCTGCCTCGGATCTGGTGAGCTTGAGATGCACATTACTTGACTATTTGAAGCTCATATTTTATAGGCTAGAGATCGTGACCACCATTGCTGTGTGCTTACTGGCGATTCGGTCGTTGAAGTGGCACATATATACCCATTTTGCCGAATATCGACTTCAGAAGAGAACATCTTTGGGGCGAGACACATGTTTTGGGAGTATTTGAAGAACTTCTGGTCAGAGGAGAAAGTGGCTGCTTGGAAAGCGGAAATTTTCTCAAGAGGGCTATCTAAAATAGGAGACGAAAAGGTTGATAATCGAATAACATTGTCGAAGGTGGCACATGCCCAATGGAATCGAGGGGCGTTTGCCTTAAAGCCAATTTCTATGTCCGACGAGAACACCACATTGAAAGTCCAGTTTTTTTTGGCAGAAGAAACAGACCGACATCCAATCAACTATGACTCTTACGACGACACCTATCTCCACCGAGAACCTCGATCACAACGAAGGTGCATTTGATCACGGCTATACGACGCTATATTGTCCAGGACCCAAAGCCATCGAATCCGGCCAAATCTTCGAACTCAAGACTCGCGATCCAATAAAGCAACCCCTTCCCAGTTTCAAGCTACTCGAGCTCCAATGGGCTTTAACGCGTGTGGTAGGTATGGCTGGGGCTGCCTTTCCCTATGAACCAAGTTCTGGAGACGATTCAGACGAGGATATCCCGGGTTTGGATTTAGATGAAGCAGGAGACACATCTGTTCTTTCGGAGATTCTTTAAGGGGACCTGTTGAAACTGCCGTGTGAAGTGAGCAAACCCAGTGCGGATAACTCTAAGTATTATACAGGGGAAGCGAAGGGAGACGGAGTGGAAATGGGTACTGATAATGTAGTATAATGAAATGTAAAGTAGAAGGTTTGTTTTGGGAATTCGAAGAACGCGTTTCCTTCTTCTCATCAGCTAAAAAGAGGCTATGTATTATAAAAGCAACCCAAAACAGTACTCAAATCACCTACATCTAGAAAATCATAGAAATTTGAGAATTGGTGAATAGTATGCTTTATCATGAACAACGAAGAAGTTTTGGGGAATTTATAGATTATGAAGCCCACCCGAGCCACCCCACTAATGATATACCTATCTCTCACTTATCCGTTCACGTTCAAAACCCTCCGCAGTATCGTTCATAGAAATCTCATTTCGTGATTTTTCCCTTAAGAGGAACAGACGCCAAGAGTTGATGATAATGAATTATTTCATTTGTGTATCTGGTCGAGATTGTTGCAATCACACGAGATCCAGAATATGCATTCGAGCAATGTAAAAGAAAACGGATGTATATATCATTTGTCTCATAATTCGTATTTATTTGCCATTTCAAATGTCGTCGCAAGTGCGCTCCTTGAAAAGGTCTAATCTATCTACGAGAAGTGTAAGTTGGTTTTATTTCCTCCATGCGTCACATCTATATCGAACTGAAAGCATATTCGACGTCAACATCGTTCTGATTTCGCATCTTGTCTAAACACCCAGACTCCTCATAACCCTGCTGCTCTTCTTACTATGCGATTGAGCAGAAACAGTTTTTGCTACACTAGAGGCAGCACATCCATTTGCACCACACTTTTGATAGAGGGTAATTGCAGCATTACCACCGCATTTCTCGGCACTGTTTCCTGCGCATGGCATGATACAATCACCTAGCATACCAGCCACAGGTGCCCGGTCTGCAGAAAGAAAATTGCCGCAGTAACATTGACTTCCGAATTCCATTCCTGCATATGTATGTCCCTTGGATGTACAGAAATTCACACAAGTCTCGATAGTCATTGTATTATTTCCTTCCCAATCGGCATTCAAGGTTCTGTTTGCAGCGTCGTCGGTTCCACATCCGAGATAGGTCCAGCCTTTGGAGACACTCAAATCGACGATGCCGATTGGGAGCGAGGGAGCCTTGGAGGCGGCGGGGTTGAAGCGGGAAGGGGGAGTCTGGAGTGACTTTGCTAAAGCTACATCTTGAGGACAAGGTGGTGGTTTATATTCCGCTGGACCTGAAGAAGGTGCATTGCAACCGGGAAGTGCCGAGAGCGTACCACTCACAGGTTCGTTAATCAGAGGAGCAAGTTTGCATTCTTGAGTGTCGGATTGTTCGTAAAAGGTAAAGGTCTCGCTTGGACAGTCGGGTTCACCGTCAAGGCAGTTGTTAATGCCTTTTGTGAGTGTTGGGATATCCCAACCATTGACCTTAGTCTACGTTAGCTTCATGAATTGTTATGGAAACGCAATCGGTAAATACTTACAAAGTCACCGTGAAATCCGTAACCAGTGGTATCACCATTAGCAAGGATAAAAGGTTGAGAATTGCCGTACCACTCATTGGCGAAAAGATCAGTACGATATGTAGCTTCGAAGAACAGAGTCATCATATGATGAGGATGCGAAGCTGGGCAGCGACCGCCGTCAAAATCACCATCCGCAGGATACGACATGTGAGATTTGTAATCGGAAGAGGTTACATTAACACCATCCCAACAACTCGGCATTGTGACCTGAAGTCGAAGACCATCTGGACAGTTTACGTTTGGGAATCCATTCGTTTGAAGATCAGTTCCTGTGCATCGAAAACTAACAGCACGGTCTGCGAAGGAAGAGTCATTGTAGCTTCGTCGATTTGTATCTCCTGCTAGCATACGAAAATTCTCAGGAAATGGAACAAGTGGATCATTATCTGGACCTGGACGTTGGCTTGGGAAAGATTAGCAAACGTACGACATGACGGCGCGTCAAGACTTCAGCGTGTCCAAGACTCACAGATAATAAATAGCCATTCCCCCAAGATTTCCATATCCGTCATCTCCATTAATGGGTACAGAAATGAAACTACCATTCTGAGCCTTGTAGTAAAGCTTCGGGGTCCAATAATTTGACAAATCCTCCTTCACATTGCAAGTCCCACATTTGGCAGCACGAGCATCAGCATATGTCATATTGGCGCTGAAACCACTACCGCCAGCAATCGCATGCACATGAGATGCAGGGAGAATTCCAGGACTGACGACTGGATCAACACGCTCATCGGCGAGACGACTGTAGCATTGAATGACGAACGTGGTGCTTGCGGGCGTGAAGAGCGATCCTAGGAAAGCGAGACCAATTGCTTTGACTGATTTGAACAGCATGTTGACTTTTGTTGTCGCGGTGGCTTTTTGGAGTCAAAGATGGTAGTAATCAAGTCTAATTCACACGATCGTGGGTGGCTTTCAAAGCCAAAAGAGTGTGAGTGTTGTTTATTTAAGGAGCGTGGTTTCTATTGAAGGAACGTACGATCAGGTATCCAACCCGATCAATGTAAAGGTGAGATAAAACGAATGTGTGTGAAGAAAAACAGTAGCGACAACTTTCCTCTGTCCAGAAGATAGAAATGAAAAGGAAAAAAGGAAGCTAACCAAGAGAGGGGAGATGCGAGAAAATTATAACAATTCCCTACGAAAATAATTTTTCAAAATCTGACATCTCATTTGCCAAGATAATCCTATTTCTGTGATATAAACGGATAACAAACATTACACCCATTTCCAGTGAATCATGTACACGGTGTTGACTTTACGTTACCGTGAATGTCACCCTCTGATAGGAGAATTTGGACGATGAGCGACGAAATTCATATGACAGGATCGCAATTATTATCCGAACTTCTCGCATCTGCACAATTTAGGAGATGAGATAGAGAATTGGGAAGATGGGACGGCTTGATACTACTTGGATAGTATGCTGAGCTGTAAGGCTGTACCCCTGATGCTCTTTTAGCTACACTACCGCCTGTACAACTTCTTGGCGATGATCCGAAACATGGTGGCGGAAGCGATAGGTTGGGGAGTTGAGGAGTGTTTGGGGGGTTGTCTAGACGGCGCGAAATATTGTATATCTATCTGCATATCCAATCTCAGAACTTGAAGCTTTGGGAGTTCAAAAGGTACGAGAATATGTATATTAATAGGGGTCCATGGGGTATGAGCGGTCTTGATGGATGCGCAAACAATCATTGTTCCAATTGATGAAGTGCAATTATGAACGTGAGCTCAATGCGAGTTCAAGCAACCTTTTACTCTGATGTCTGTCGGAATGAGTTATGAGGCATTTAGAGGGGTTCACAAGAATGAAAGTGGTGCGCTATTTAATAGCTCAGTAGATAATAAGATTGAAGAAAATGCGAATCATTTCCTCATCATTTCCTCATCATTGATTTCACCCGTCTTCTTAATTAAACATTATCACAAGATGAATTTGTTCCGAAGGTCCCCAGTATATATCTTAATGACTTCCCCCCCTTTTATATCAATGGTTTCCCGTGATAGGCGATATTTTCGTCGGAGCTATGACAATGGCCAGCAAAGCAACTGTCACCACTACTAACCACAGAGGAATTCCCGATTTAAGGTATCTCCAGACTACCTTGATATGATTGCTTTCTTTCTTATCAACACAAATATTTCTCCCTAGTACCAGGCATCCTGTCCCTCCTGGCTTACTATCACATTCTTGATGTTCTCTTCTCCTCTTCATCAACAAGCTGTGGATATTGTTAGTCTTCACATCTTTAGACCACAAAAGCTGTGGTAAGACTCACGCAACACTCCCTCGACAAAATCTAACATCACTACCCAATTCACATTTACTGTCACTTGGACAATCCAAATGTAGCCGCCGTCTCCGAATCATCCACTCTATCTTCAAGTGTAAACCGGTATATACAAAAGAGTAGAAATATCGATTGGTATGCTTTAGGGAGAGCGCATCTGGATATATCAGATGAGAAGTTACCAATAATTGAATTTCTTGTGGTAAATCTAGAAGATTGAGTTTGGGAGTAGCATATTCCGTCTGAGAAGACGGAAGAGCATGGTGCTTCTCCATGATGTGGTGAGCAGGCAAGATAGATAGATCCTGTAATCGTGATAAACTTATAAACTGATCACTGCAAGAAGGACGAAAGATACTGATATATAATTCGTGCTGCCTATACCAGATACAGGTTCAACTGAATGAGTGGATCATCGAGTCACTCTCATGTTGAATACGATTATTTGAAATGTGGTATCTTTGACCAGGCTGCCACTTTTGCGCTTTTGGAAAGATGTGATTCGTTCCAGAGTCATAACTAATGACAGAAATATATTGAAGTGACGAATACTTAAGACTTTCCCTGGGCGGAAGGCTGTGTTTCTGTGGTATGGGAGATCTAGAAGGGAAATGCTGATTCACTAAAGTCAGAACTTAAAAGGCTGGTAATACCTAGTAGGCTTCACAAGAAAGGCGACACAATTGCTATGGCTAAAGCATATGTGTGGAATTTGAATAATGGCAATTGTCTGAATATCTATGCAAAATCCTTGAGATTGTAACGATATTCAAGAATTCCTCAGTCGATACAGTCTTCCAGAGATTGAGTGTAGCCAATTGTAAGAGATTGATTGCGAACTATCCCATAAAGAGGCTGCACGTGATTACGCTTCAATCGCGTCGATTGAGTGGCAACAACCGTGAACGTGTCATGGATTGTCCCCAAACTACCAGAACACACTGATGTATCGCACTAAGTACATATATCGGCATGGCTGGTTCTGCCGTAGAAGGGACAGGACTGCCTCCCGATTTCGCAGATAGTGAAAGTGATTATGGTTCCGATTTCTCACCCGAAGAAGTTGAGATAGTAGAGAAATTATTATCGCCGATCCACCAATTCAAGGAACCAACGGAGATCGAAGACAATCCCATTGTCACCGAAATCGAGCATCATGAGCCAGAACGTGCTCTTCGCCTCCCTCGAGCCGTTGGGAAGCAACAGATCTCACCTCTGCTCCAGGCTATTCGTGATGCAGAGAGGGTTGCTGATCAAATCAATGCTTCAGTCTCGAAACGCGAGTACTATCCAGACTGTGAGTAGACTTTTTTATCGCTCAAATCATGTCTCTGACTTACACGGCAGGATTTAGTGAAAGATCAGATACCTGAAGTTGTGCCAGCGGCAACTCCTGCAATACAAGTAAATGAAGTCTTTTCAGAGCCCAGAGAGTCTGCAACCTCCACCCTCCCAGACACACGATCGCCCCTCGAACGATTTCGTACCGCGCCGAAGAAACCTCTCTCAGTGACAGACCTTGTGTCTCCTGCATGGTGTGAGCTGCAATACTGGTACACATTGACGAAACTTGGGAGGAGGACGCGAACGACCGCTATGAAGCAGGGTAGTGCTGTACACAAAGTCTTGGAAGATCAGGTACATAGGTCTGTTCAGATTGAAATCCAAACGAAAGAAGACGCATGGGGCCTACGAATATGGAATGTGATACAAGGGTTACGAACATTACGAGAAACGGGACAAACGAGGGAACTGGAGATATGGGGTACTATTAATGGATTGGTTGTTAATGGGATCATTGATGAGTTGAGCTACATATGTCCGGATGTTGAAATGGAGATATCGCTTCTGGGAAAGACGGAGGAAAAGGGCCAGAAGAAGAGCAAGAAGAAGAAGAAGAAGAAGAAGAAATCACCACCCGCGGACCAAGTTTCTATATCTAATTTTTTCAAAGGAATGGAAGGTTCGTCCATTTCAGAGGCGACACGGATAAAAATAAGAAAGCAGTCGAACAAAGTATATATTTGCGATGTCAAGACCAGGGGTGTTCGCACGCTACCAAACGACGCAGCGTTTCGTCCCACTCGAGTACAACTTATGTTATACCATCACTTACTTGACAATCTTGCCACAAACTCAGTCGATTTTAGCGTTTTGGCAGCCCGTTATGGGTTAGATACAAGGAAGTCATTTTCGGATACATTCATTGCTCAGGTCGGTAGCATGAATGAAGACGACGACGGAATATACCAAGATGCACTTGAGGAGCAGGATGACTCAGCGCCAAGTTCTAGTCAAGATTCTATGAGTGTTCTCCTCGCTCACAACAATCTTAAAGCACTGTGGTCCGTGATGATATCTGAATTTCAAATCACTTTCCCCGATGGCGCCGGGTCATTAGGTAGGATATTAAAAACAGAATATCGATCGCGAGATGATGGAGAGATAGTTGGAATCAAGACTATCCCCATGGATAATGAAGAACTGAGTTCATACTTGGAGGAAGAATTGCGTTGGTGGAATGGAGAAAGAGAGGCAAAGGGTGTTCAATTGGATGAGGCATTCAAATGCAGGAGTTGTGATTTTGCCGAAGGATGTGAATGGAGGTTACAGAAGGTTGTAGAAGCAACCGAAAAGGCTCGGATGATGAAGAAGAGGGGGAAGAAAAGTGTTGTATAGTTATTTTTGGCGTCTTTAAGGCGTTGCGTTGCGACCATTTAGATCACATCCATGACTTCATACATCATATATGATATGGATCCATTCATGATACCAGATAATGTTTATCGTTTTTTTCGATTCAAAGCTTGCGCGAAATGACTTTCTTTGCTGTCAATTGGGGAATAAATCTTCATTTGATGATGGACTAAAGCTAGATCTATCGTTCTACTCTTCCCGGTCTACCATCGACGGCTAGGCTGTATCTCTGGAATCATGTTTTTGTATCTAGCAATCCGTTCATCTATCTGACTCATTGACATCGCTCAACAATATGAATTTGTACAACATCGATTACAAGCATGATGAGTCTGCAAAAACGGGCTCTTCCAGCGCATCACAGATATCGGCATCCAGCAGATCATTATTCACTGAATGGAATGTGAATCATGGGAGAATATAAACACAGAAGTTTTCCACAACCTTTCTTTAATCATTTCTTCACCTTTCCAAGGTTCTTCTTTTCTTCCACCCCATAATCCCATCAACAGCCTACTACACACCACCCACAATGTCCTCCCTACAACTGCAAGAGCTCACCCCAACAATAACCAGCTTTGCTCTGCACACCATGGGCCCCTCTCTACAAGGCTACCTCGACATAAAAGTGCATCACCTCGTGCCTTCCCAACCTTGGACCGAAATAGAAGTTGTAGGCCACCATACCCGTTCCGCACCAGCCATCATCTACAACCTCGAAAAGACCGATAAATCTTTCAACTATCAACGACCCACCGCCACGATCCTGGGAGAGGGAAAATTGCGCATCAATTGTTTTCCAGGGAGAGACTATGTAAAACACTATGCCAACATCGTAGCGACGCATTTAGCAACCGAGGGGAAAGACCCGGGCATCGTAAAGATTACACTACCCAAAGAAAACGCAGGGTATGAAGAATTCATGAACTCGAATCTGAGGGGTTTATCAGGGGACAAAACAAATCTGGTAATTGTAGGATCGATTCCGAGAGATACATTGAGATCAACAGAACCGTGGAAAGATGAAGAAGATGAGAATGAGTTATTTTCATGGCAGACGGTTACAAAAACGAATGGATTCAAAGTCACGATATTGAAATGTCGAACGAGTTTCTGGGGGGATTTGGCGGGGAATCTCGTGAGATGTTTGAAGAAAATTTGTGGGGATTCTTTGCAATGTGTGATCTATGTTGGGAAACTAGGCGCGTTGGCGCAGGAATATACGCCTAATAGGACGTTGGCGACGGGCTCGAAGAGTTTCGTTAATGGGGAGTTGGTCGAGTGGGAAAATCCGATGAGTGGGGAGATTCTGGGGAAGGTGGCCAGAGGAGTGCATTATACGTCGGCTTCGGTGCTGGATGAAGATCATGCGTGGTTGGAAAAGGCGAGGAAGGAGTTTTGTTGGGTGGATCCGGAGATTGGTCATATGGCTGTGGCGGCGAGGGAAAAGGGGGTAGGGTTTGGGTTTTTGCATGTGGTGTCGAATAATTTGGCTGGGGGGTTTGAGTTTGATTTGGCGAATGAGAGGGAGAGGGTGGTGGTTGATGATAGGGTGGTGATGAATAAGTGGATTGAGAGAATTTTGAATGGCTTTGTTGAAGAGTTGGATGAGAAAGTAGGGGGGGGAGCTTAAGACTTGTGGTTATTGATGGTTCATGGAAGTGAGAGTATAATGTAATTCGAGCATCAGTCGTAACGGACTTGGAGAATGCAGTGCAGTGCCAAAAAGTCACCATGATACACCAGAGGTAGCTCGTCGTCTCTAAATTGGAACCATGGCTTCATCTATGCGTGTGATATTTATTGGTCTAAAAAATCTTATACGATCCATGCTGATTGATCGACTCCAAGTATCAACCCTTGAAACCCATACACCCTATCTAAATTATCCCACAATTCATCCTGGTATAACATAATCAACGCCCACCCCAGAATAACACATACAGCCCACCCAGTACCTCTCTCCAATCCACACAAACAATCCACAGAAACAGCTCACCAAGGATGTCTCAGCCCATTCCAAGTCCATAACGTCGCTGCTTCCGGATCTTCTATCAAACCCATCGCCCAAGCAGACGCTTTTCCACCCTCATCAATTCCATATTTTCCCTTTTCCCTTATAACTTTCAAACATCCTCTCACAATGATTTGCGCCTCCGTCAACTCCGCGGGATTGGGTCCCAGATCAGCGCCTATTTCAGCTGTATGAAGAGCCAATATAACCGGAGCTTCAGAGCCCAAATGTCTGTGCATTTTGACGGCTAGATGCTATGTGAAAGAATGTGAGAAGAATAGACATAACCATGAATTGCCAGGTGATGAGAAGAGATTCCTTATTAAGTGGAAAGTAACATACACGCAAGCCCATATTGAGCGCAGCTTTAGAAGCAGAATATGCGGCTAGGCCCCATATGCATGATTGAATGCTAGAGGAGCCACAACTGTCGGAAATGAATGCAATGTTGGAGATTTGAGCACTAGGTATACGAAGAAGGTATTTGGCGGCAAGAAGTGGTCCAAACGTATTGTTTTAAAAGTGTTATAGTAAGATTGAGAGGTTCTATTGGAAAGAAAGGATTGATCGTCAGTATTACATGCTCGTCAGCGCAATGCAGAAGTGAAAAGCAAATCATAATTGTTTTGTCCAAAGTGTATCTGCCAAGCCATGAGCTCGCTATGTAATCTTGTAGAGAATATCAAACTGGTACCGTGAAGCAGACCCAACGAAAGCCTTCTCGATCCCACTTACTAACAAGTGGCGGCACCCAGAAGCTCCTAAATAAAAAACACTATTCATCACGGCGACGACTCACCCTTCAATCACTGTACCCCAATCCATGCCTCCATCATTAATAACTACAGTTTCGATAGTCTGTCCCATCAACTGAGGTATGTTACAGAGATCCTTGATAGTCTGCTCATTCGTACAATCACACTTTAATATCCGCAACTTCGACGGACCTCGGGATCCTTAAAGTGCTTGGCGAGATCGTACAAGGTCTGTGGCGTTTCACAAGATCTATAAATTACGAAGACGATATTCTGAGGATGAGCCAAGACTAACTGCCGTGTGAATTCGTACCCGATACCTGGACTGGCACCTATGACTACATAGTACTGTGGAAAACTAATCATGTTGAATTCATACTGTAGAGACTAAAATGCGTGGGAAGTGGGAGTTTGAGAATATTCTTAGCTGTAATGAAGGTGATTGAATCATAACCAGAGCTATAATATCAAAATTATATAGAATCACAGTCGCACTTGCTTCATTCGACGTTAGCGATTGTGCCTGATAAATGTGGGATGTGAACATAATTTGAGATGCTGCTTTAATGCGCAAGCGAACAACCGGTATTGCTGATTTCAAGTATAAGAAATATAGATAGTAAATCGGTTACCCTACTTTCGGGCCACCAGGGTTTTGGACCACCCTTTCACATCAAAAATCACTTTTTAGATCTATTAATATCTCTATCAATATATAATATAATTTGATAAAAATTTATATATATATAATTTAAATCGATTTAAGCTTATTTTGAAATTTTTAGATTTTTAGATTTTTAGAATTTTTCTGTATTGAGATCTAGAGCTTCAAAATATCGATTTTTTAATTTGTATAGAAATCACATACAAATTTGAAAATTTTATAAAATCTTTAATAACTTTTTAACAATAATTATTAAAAGAAAACTGTATATCTTTTTGAAAGTTTTGAGTTCAAATCTATATAGTGTCACGAGAGAATATGCCTATATAAACCCAATTAGCTTAATACTATCGGTGATATCACTTTTAGCATGATAATTATAAGCCCGGTATGCGTTTATAGCGCAGTAGCATAATTCTTCACTTTACCGTACTCTCTTGTAGTAGTTTTTCGTAGGCCCACTTATAAGAGAATATTTCAACAAACCCACATTAGTTATCTAATCTTGGCCTATTGAAACTAATATGAGGACCCTGCTCTGTTGCCCCACTATCTCCGCTCAACCTATTAGATATATCCAGAGAAAACCTAATACTAATTGTATTTAATCAAAAAAGAACCTAGATTTGGTATTACATAAAGATAGAAAGAGATTTGCACATTTATGACTCAATAAGGCTAGTACGGAGATTACTACCTACAACCAACTAATCAACAATCTCGGGGGTGTGTCACAAGAGAATATGCCTATATAAACTCAATTAGCTTAATGCTATCGGTGATATCACTTTTAGCGTGATATATAGAAATTTAAAAAAAAATTTAAAAAATTAATAGATATAGAAATATAGTATATAGTGAATTTAGAGTAGTATAAATAATCCCTGTCATTTTGAGGGTATTCCTTTAAATATTTATTTATAAGAAATTTTCTATTTTTTTCTGAATCTTTTAAATGAAATATACTATAAATTTATAATAAAATTTTATAGTTTATTTTAGCAATTTTTATTAGAAAGTTATTAAAGATTTTATAAAATTTTCAAATTTGTATGTGATTTCTATACAAATTAAAAAATCGATATTTAAAGCTCTAGATCTCAATACAGAAAAATCCTAAAAAATCTAAAAATTTCAGAATAAGTTCAAAACAATTTGAATTATATATATATAAATTTTTAATATATTTTATTTATAAATAAGAAAGTTAGAAATTTTATTTTTGGTATAAAAAGTGATCGAAAAGTGGTCCAAAACAGGGGTGGCCTGAAAGTAGGGTAACCGACTTATACCTCAGAATGCTCAACTTCTGTGGAATGATTTTTTTGTTCTTTTACCTTGTCAATATGCGTTTCAAATTTATAGCTCCCTAGAGGTCACAAGTCATGAGACCAAGAATTCAATTTATATACATTCTGCCTCTACGGGTTTGTCGGTCCGAGCAAGATATTACTATAAAATTGCTGAATATAAGAATCCGTTTTTCTATCGCTTTTTCTGCATTCATTCCATGAAATTGAGATTGAAAAATTGCTTTTTTATCAACATGTATTTAAATAGTCAGTTTCAAGCAACTCTGCTCATAATTGCAGGAATTCAAAATGTGTATGCACAGCAAGCTGCATGGGGCCAGTGTAAGTAAGAGTTTTGAAAGGAGAGATTTCCTAAACATCGCTAATAAATTCCGAATGGTAGGTGGAGGAACAGGCTGGACTGGCGCAACGACTTGTGCATCGGGCTATGTGTGTACTTATTCCAAGTAAGATTATACCCACTCTTCACTTTTCATACCCGCTATAGAGTTTTCAATCAAACTATTTCGCTTCTTGGCATTCACTAACTATGCAATCAGTCCATGTAATTCATCACCTTCCCGCCTAAGTAATAGCTACTGACCACCGTATTGAAAAGACTATTCCCAATGCCTTCCCGGCAGCGCATCATCATCAACAACGATTGCGACAACGCCGGCTACAACCACTTCCGGCACACCAACTACCACGTTTTCCACAACTACCACACCTTCCACAACTACCACACCTTCCACAACAACTACACCTTCCACAACAACTACACCTTCCAAAACCACTACCACCGGTGTAGCCTCATACCCAGGAGCGACTCTCCAAAGTGGCTACTATTGGATTCGTGCTGTTGAAACTCCAAACTTTCAGTCAGTATTCTCGCTCTTACAACTTAGAGATAGGCTTGAAAGCGTTGGTCCCAGAAATCATCTCAACTCAGGAGATGGATAGAGAAATCATAAAATACCATCTGGTGGGCAATTCTAATTCATCAACTTGTAGTTCCTACCTCCAAGCCTCACCAACTGCCAAGCCCGGCGCTGCTCTCCTAGCCGATAGATCCACCGCCGGCCAGTACCAAATTGTATCTGGTCAGCTAGTTGAATTAATCGCACCCAACACGTTCCTCTACGCAAATGTCCAACCACCCTCAAATCCATCTGCTGTTAGATTATCCGTGACATTCAACACCACCCAAAATACGTTTGGTACGTTTGCATTCAGTGGAGATACGGTAACATGGAGTGTAGCTAGCATTAGTAGGCCAAATTCAAGTGCGTGGTTGGTTTGTGGCGCTCAGGAGTTGTGGATCAATCTGGGAAATTATGCGTATTTGACGCCAACGGGATGTGTAGATGAGACGATTCATTATTTCAATGGAGCAACTGTTGATTAGGAGATTGATGACGCACAAGCAAGAAACTAGAAGGAGATGTCTATGAAACCTAGGCTCTTATTGTGACTGTACATACCTTGATAGGATATTGTAAATACAGACACCAAATTGAAATCCAAAACATAAACTTTTGATATACAAGAAATTTTATACAGAGCTGGCAACTGCCTTTTTTGGTGCTCGTTTTAATAAGCAGTGACTTCCCCAGTTCCTGCGAAATCTCTCTGGAATAAATGGTAAATCTGGTAACCATATGGTTCGTGCCAGAATGTGAGTTCTAGATGCGTCGAGGAATGGTTCACATTTTACGGACTCCCAGTTCTCGGAATCCATGATGTAGTGAGGCTCAAGCCCGGAGGCCACAGAGCCAGGATAGTAAGTATCAACCAGAAAGTTACAGGTCTTGAGGTCAACCTGATTGAAATGTTAGATTCTTTTACAAAATATGAGAAAGAATATTTGCGAAGAGATTTACTTACATATTTGCTCATGTCTTCGATGTTTCGGTCATTCATACCCGACGGGATGAGCCATGTTGACCAGATTCCGAATCCCGTACTAGCTTCGGAAAACTCACCGGGAAGGAGACCATCGAATTCGCTCTTTACAAATTTTGCTTTCATGCCGTTCGGCAAATGATAAGAGCTGGGAAATCTGTACCACTCTTTGGAAAAGCAGACGGAATCCCCTCGTGTCCCAAGGGTACCATTTTGGAGAGGACTATAGATTTTCAAAGGCGCCGAGTACGCTGTATAGACCCCATAAATTCTTGCTACGCCAATATCCACGGATCCGATAATGAAGAAGCTTACAAACAATAGCTTCAATTTGGCTGGAATCTTACCTACTAAGGTCCTGGGATCCGAATGGCCGAAAGCTGCCAAGAGGATGTGAAGTGACATGGCCGCATTAAGTGCAAGGCATGGGTAGGCTGGATACATAAATCGTTCTTCCTTATGTGGCTGGAAGCTGAATATTGCAAGCCAGATGTAAAATGGTGCCATAAAAACAACGCTACGAAGAGCTGTTGTGGTACCGCCTTCTCGCGACCCAAAAAGCTTCTGGAGCATGAAAAGCGGGAGAGCTAAAATTGCAAGCACAAACCAGATGTTGAAGTTGAGAATCAAATTGCGAATGTAAAAATGCCATGGCTCAGTACCATAGATCTCAGGACCTCTTCCCTCGTCACTGAAGATGTTATAAAGAACAATGTTCAGAGGAACAATCACTAATTTTCTATAGAAAAAGCCAGAAACGACGAATTCAAAGAACTTGTCACGATGTTAGCGATTGTAGGAAGGCGAACCTGGGGAAAGCTTACCAAAACAATCAATCCTCCAACAATCCCCCTAACAAATCGCATTACGGTATCGACGACGGCATCTCTATCGCTTAAGCTAGCGAAAATTACCTCCTCGATCAAGAAAGGGGCAGACAAAGCCATAGAGAATGGCCAGCCGAGAATTCCACCGACAGCGAACCAAAAGATACCCTGCGCAGTCTTCAAGCCCCCTCTCCAGTTCATGAAAGCGGCCATTCCAAGCATAGTTGTGTACATAGCGAAGCTCGATGGTAAAAAGGAGGCCGAGGCATGAAAGAATCCAGGGCTGAAGATATTGGCCATCATGAAGAACATGGCGACCCGTGGGTTCAAGGTTCCGTTGATGACTCGAAACATTTGTGTCTGGCACAGAGCGCATATGAATGCGAGACAATATCGAATGAAATAGAATTCGCCAACCTGTACCTCAATTAGAATATTACCCGCCAATAACTATTTGATTTGTCTTTACCTTCGTGGGGAATGGGAGTAGCCTTCTGAAATTCCCCATCAGGGCATGGATAGTAACATAGAGCCAACTTCGAATCGCAAATTCCGGAGAATATTCCCAAGTTTGTAATCCATAGCTATGACTGAGATAATGTGTAGGTTCCCAGTAATTAAAGGTCTCGTCACAATCCTGTATAGGAGCATACAAAGCTGCCAATATATTTGCTCCTAGAAAGACATAGAATGCGCTGATCGGTTGAACTGCGAAAGGAGTGGCAGGTCTATTGAAGCTTGGTTAGAATATCCCACACTCAAATTTTCTGAAATACTGACTTTTTCTTTTTTGAATGTGAAGCTGTAGAAGCATCTACTCCTTTAGATGAGCCCAGATTCATTGGCTGCGGAGGGGCCATTGTTGCAATTGACGTGCTTTTTTGATCGATATCCCAAATTCAAATCAATGCACGCAGACTTTAACGATGACATCGTGTTCTAGTGCACTTTAGCTTGAGCCGGCGTGGGTACCTAGGTATTTACATAAAGCTTACATAAAATGGAGAGCTTGAATTGTGCATACCTACTGATAGGAATCCATAAAAGCTTATCGCCATGCGCTAAGATTACGAAGATTAGATGACCCCGGTCAATTTGGACCTTTAGCGTCGGGGAATATTTGGAAATTTTGAAGTTCAAAAACTTTCTGGTCAATAATTCGTAAAACATTGAAGTATTGCATTGCATCGAATATTTGTTAAATTTTCTTTTGAATACCCATATTCATATTGTACTCTTATAATATTCTATTGGCACTGGTATCACGTATTTAAATTCGAGTCAATTGATAAAGTCTACCACGGAAATCACTCGAGCGCAATACACCGTCCCCAAGTCCTTTCACAGATTGTTTTCGATTTCAACTGGAAGCATGAGTAATTCTGACTCCATTCCGTCAATTCCTCCGCAAGAGGAGAAGTTCCATCTCAAAGGGGAGAGTGGAGAATCTGCCTCTTCTCCATCCACTCTCTCCAATATACCTGGGCTGGGACGACTTGGAAATGCGCCAAAGTCTGAGAATCCAACTCCAACAGCGGAGACCGACCTCGCAGAGAATCACGTAGAAGCATCGGTCACATCACAAGATAAATTGCCGGAAAGCAGTCATGGTCAACCCCTGGAAGATTTCAAGATGGCGGATGCTGAACCTCTACTTCAAGAATCTGCGACTTCTGTGACCACTGATGCGACTTCAGAAAACCTTCCAGAAATCAAAAGTGAAATTTCACAGAAGACGGGGGTTATCATCGAGCAAAAAGAAGGTCAAAATAGTTTGAAGATTGAACAAGCGCCTCTAGAACAAGCCAAAATGAACACGCAAGACGCCGACAACGACGCGATGGACATTGCGCCGTCACAACCTACCGCAGACCTTCATGTTGAACAAGGGAAAGAGATGTCGCTGAAAGAGTCATTAGGACAATCTAGCACTATTGATATTCAAGTACCGGAGACCCATGCCAATCAACCGGATTTGACCCATGCTTTGGAGGCGATGCTAGGAGGCCTGCTACAACCTGCGAATGTGACTGCAGATGTTGCAACGAACAATGCATCCGCAGCACCAGCGACAGAAGAGGAACACCCAGAATGGGAGGTTGACTCATCTCCATATGAGTCTTCGTCCGATTCCTCAAGTGATAGTTCATCCGAGGATGATAGCGAGGAGGAGGATGGAGAAAATGCCTACAAATTATTAAGTCCAGAAGAACAAGCAAGAATCTTAATGACGGAAAATGATGGGGGTTCAGATGATGAGGGAGTGGCACGTGGGGAAAAGCGCACTGGAGGCCACTTACGTACGAAGAACGAAGTTCCAGAAGAGGTGATACCCAAACCAGATGTCACGATAACGCCCGAGATGCCTATCACAAAACTGGGAGATGTGGAAGGAGTGGTGGACAATATCATTCTCATCAAAGCTTTCACAAGTGGAGAATATCAAGTACTGAGAGAAGAATCTGTGCTATGTTTACAGGATCGCAGCGTTATAGGTGTAGTGTCGGAAACGTTGGGCAGAGTGGAACAACCATTGTATTGTGTAAGATTCACGAATGCAGCTGCAATTGCCGAAGCAGGACTGTCTGTTGGAACTACGGTGTATTATTCTGAACAGCATTCAACGTACGTCTTTACACAAGCTTTGAAAGCATACAAAGGTACAGATGCTTCAAACTTGTTTGACGAAGAAGTTGGCGACGAGGAAATGGAATTCTCTGACGATGAAAAAGAGGCTGAGCATAAGCGAATGATAAGGCAAAAGAGGGCAGAGAAAAGAGGTATTAAGACACAGCAGAATGGCAGTAATACACGTGGTGGGCATGCTTCGCAAAATACATATACCCCTGTTAACAACAACGCCGTGTTGAACTACGACGAAGCCGAGGATGGCCCTTACAAAACCCTCACTAGACCAGTTGGATTTACTGGGGGGGCAAGTGGTAGTGAAGCTCCTCAAGAGGGTTCGCATTACAACAGATCAAGTCAACGTGGCGATCATGGAGGTAGGGGCAGAGGAAGAGGTCGTGGAGACAGAGGCAGAGGAGATTGGGGAAGAGGCCGAGGAAGAGGGGGCGGACGTAATGATCGAAACACCAGTTCTCATGATAATTCATTGCAAGCAAGCCATGCATTGCCCCCTTCTATTCCAAGTCCAGGGGCATTCAACTCTCAACCAGCTTCATTACCCCCAAAGCCTAACTTTCCACCTCCGCCACCTTCGAATATTTACAGCAATCAAAATCAGCCACAGCAATATCAACCCCAACCATCACCACAATACCCATCTCAACAACCTCCAGTATGGCCAATGTACCCGCAAGGTTATCAACAACCGTATCAGCAACCATACCAACAGCCTCAACAACCCCAACAACCTTTTGCTCAAGCACCGAACCCTTGGGCGGGTATGCCTCCTCCTCCTCCCTTGCCAGCAGGTGCATTCATAAATCCGGCATTCTTCGCTCAGCAGAATGGGGCAAACCAAAACGGAGCAAATCAATGGACTCATCCTGGCCAACAAAATGGGAACGGAGGTGGTAGATAATTCATGAAGGGACTATGTATGATCATTGTAGCAAAGAATAAAATTATCACCAATAAACTTTTGGTCTTTCTCGACGTTGAACAAAACTCACATTGATGATACATCAATTGACGACGCTCGAGGTTACAAAACTGGGTGTTCTCTCCCCTTCATTTCCAAATTCATTGGTTGAATGGTAAGTAGCAAGTGATTCTAGCAGGTTTGCATTGTTCTAATACCTCCAATACGACCAAGTGGTTCTGTACTGCGGGTATCAGAAAGATTGTACCTAAATCCCCCCCAGTTCGTGATCAAAGTCGTATCATTTCAATCAATTATCATCAAGTGATTCAAGATCAAGAATATTTTCTATGCCTGATGAGGTGTTCATACGCCGTCGTGATGTTTGACAGTGATAACCCATACCCGAAACGGAAAAAAAGTCCCTGGCGATAAGAACAAATTTGGCGGGGTTCTGCCGCGCGATAGATCTTATCATTCATCCCAATTCATGATACATACATAAATATATGATTGTATTGAAAGATCAATATGTTTTATTCCGAGTCAGTTCAAAAATTCACATCTAGATTCCCTTCGCTTTCAGATTCAAGACTGAATTATCGTGAAAATGGGTGAGACGAATTGGGATGGCTTCAAGCTATGGACCAAATCTACCTGCGAGCGACTCAGCACCTCAGAAGCCGCTCGAGTTGTCAACGACAAGCCTAAGATTTTGTTTTATGGTGCGGGCTTAGTCTGCCTTGCAGTATGGTTGTTAATACGAGCTGCAACGATGTTCAAGAAACCGAGATATGCCAGACCGAGAACACCTGATCTGGAGAAGCCGACTTTCAAGAACGGTAAAGCACAGAGACCTTTAGGAGGTTAGTATGATGCAGTGGTTGATGAATAGCAGCTGATTTTTTGATAGTGTGGGAGGCTATGCAGTTCAAACGCCCAACAGCAGTTCCATTTCCTAATTGGGATGTGCAGCAAACGAAGCCAAATCCATACCGTCCATTTCGCTATGGAGCCTATCACATTACTATGGGTTTACGCAACATGGATTGGAATGAATGGATAGGTACATAAATCATACCTCAAATGATAGGCTGACTGGCTAATGTTTCAAAGAATTGGATAACCAATACATGAAATTCCATGACGACAAAGCTAAACGTATTATCGAACGTGGCGCTAGATCTTGCTATACCGATCCCTCAGCGTTTGATGGTGCTGTTGAGCTGCTTGAAGAGCTTTGCGCGTATCTCCCAGAACGTTACCCCACACTTTACAAACGCACTCCAGTTGGCATGGACAATCTTCTCACTAACGAATCATTCAATATTGTTGAAAGGCCACTTGCAGAGGATCCAATGCAAATGGCAGCCCGCTTCACGCAAGATGATTTGGCAATCATGTTTGAGAAGGAAGACGGACAGTACTATCTTCTTGCCGGCGCGATTTTACTCGCAGGATTTTGGCGTTTGGAGGATAAATTAGGCATGCCGCTGAGCGAGATACACACTTCTGGCGACGTACCAGGGTACCAAGCGAAGTTGGAGAAAGGAATGATGAACTTTTTCCGCAGAGTTCAGCCCAATGGACCCGTGCAGCGTGTAAGCCTCTACTTGCGCGATTATGCTTACCCACATATACTAACCGGTGTTTCAGAACAACTATTTCATTCAAGTAGACGATCAACTTGCATGGTCATCAAGCATTGGCCCAGAAACTGGAGCGCCCGGTACTGTAAGTTGGGACACTGCGGAGAAAAATAAAGCCGTTGAGCATCATTGGTTTCGTTCCGAACGGCAGTCATTGAGGAGATTACCGAGATCTGGCGGTGTGGTGTTTACTATCAGAACATACTTCCATCCAATTACGGAGATATGCGAAGAGCCGTATGTACCGGGCAGATTGGCAAGTGCTGTGAGGAGCTGGGGTGAAGATGTGAGTAAGTACAAGGGAAAGGAGAAGTATGGTGAGGTACTATTGGAGTATTTGGATAAGAAACATAAGGAGCAAGTCGAAGCGGGCCTTGATTTGGAGAAAGAGGAAGAAGTCAGAGCGTATCCTTATTAACGCACGTTTTTGGAAACTAGATGCTTGAAATTATGCACGGATTTGGGGGCTGCGTGTTGAGCCTTGCTTTCTCATTCTGTTGAGTCACCGTCGGCCTAGTAGCATTTGATATAATATTACGATTTTACGAATTTCACAAGAGAAAAGTTGTCACTACATCCAAAAAAATGGCTGCTAGTACAAATGAATATACTTCATCACTGGATCATGCATATTCTTTTGCGAGCTTCTTGTATGTCGAAACATGCAAGTAAAATTTGTCTCGGACAGCGACGCGCCGCTCATTGCTCAAGGCTGCACTGGTCCTCAGTATCAACATCATGTGAATGTCGTAGAATCAGTCGGCAGAGCAATTGATATTTCGATATAGACTTTCTAACATTCTTCAAATATTCTTCTGTCTTTGCTTCTTCACGCTGGTCGTGATTTCTCTTCTTACTTTGGTGCTGGTCGCCCTTTTCAACGCTTTATTTCGATGCCAATGCTGGTATAATTACATATTTTTGTTTTATCTTCCTTTCTCGTCATTATCTCGCATATTATTTTCACACTGCTACCGGTCACATATCAAATTTGGGCTGCAATTGCATCGAGACCATCGCTATATGGTTCAACCTTACCACCCGAACTCCTTTCGAGATATAAGGAACGATGTTTGTCCCAGGTGTCTTCTAGTTTTACAGTCCGTGGTAAGGTGTCCGGTGCTTCTGGCATGTTCAATATCACGGCTCGTTGCGAAAGTCTTAAGATCTAGTTGTTACAGCCTCTGCGAACTGTCAAGCCGCGCGATACGCCTAGCAGACCCAACTTCAACGCCGGCGCCATCAATCCCAACTTCAACACCGGCGCCATTAATTCCAACATCCGCTACAGCTCTTGTTGGAGAAATTTTAACGCCCTTGATATTTTCACACAAGAAGTGACATTGGTGTAAGTCACTAGTCACATGTGTGTTTTGGGACTTGTTACTAACATTGACGCAGTTGGGGCGAAAAAAGAAAGGCGAGCAGCTCAAAGATGCATACTCTAGTGGGTTAAGTCATCAAGCTGGCGGAAGTTGATTGTTGATCTTCTCGAGTTGAATACGGTAGACTAAAAGCAACCTAAACCACGTTATATACTCCAGAAATCTTTAAATATTCGACTAGTACCCCGCACATCTCCACACCATTCGTTAAAAGTTACTCTGCCCCATCAAACACAATTCTAAGTGCTATCTCAGTAATAGCGATCAAAGAAATGAACCAACCACACTCTCTATGGCCACACTTGCAGAGTCACAAGCCAAGAATAATATGTTCGGGATTGACTACAAAGATTTTGTTTTCTATCTGAAGGTATCGCGCGTTCTAAACAGACCACCGACTTCCTCCATGGGCTTATTAGTCACTACCTAGTCGCTACTACCCTCTCAACTTGACTATGTCTTTTAAATCTTATCAAAATGGTCAAGAAGTTTAAATCCCTGTCGAATCTACTCGCCAGCACAGAGGTCCAATCTTACACTAAGCGCCGACACGGTACAGAAAGAAGCAAAAGCAATGTTAAAAATCATGACCTGGTGGACATTCGAAATGAAAGAGTGTCAGCCCTTGATACCTGCTATTAAACAGGGTGTCGGTGGCTCAATGCGCATAATCAAAGCATTCTAGAGGAAAGCAATGAGAGAAAAATGGGAAGAGAATGCCAAACATCGCTCAAATGCGTTCCAGAAGCAGCAGCCATGTCATCTGGATGGGCATTACCAACATACAACTGGCTGAGTCTTCCTGGAACGAAAATGAACGCCAAGAAAGACCACGACAACGTTTGAAAAAATCCTAGGAGTGAAGGGTCATCCACTGTCACGTATCAATCAGGAGCCACGAAGATTACAATACACTTTGCTGGCCTTGCCTGTCGACGGACATCCAGATTTCGAAGACCCTGACTAACTCAACTGAATTGTGACGACACGCTTCAGATAGATGATAGGCAGGCCATCAATTGGTTCCAGACTAAGTTGCGATTTCATGCTACGACCACTGGATTCAAGTTCTGCTCTTCAATGAATATCTACAGGGAATCCTTAAATATCCAAATGATGGTAATACACATCTACAGATGGAGATGCCATTCATCTGCATAGGGAAGTGGGTATCAAAGAAAATTATTCTTGATGTGCAAAACCATGGATGTGGTCCTCAGTCTTCATCTTTCGCAGTATTGTCGCGAGAATTTGTCGACTGATCATGCAACACCAGAGAGACCAAAGAATAGGTACTGTAATAGTTCCGCAGAATGTGGTCATCGACTAACCTATTCACGAATCATGCAGAAATTGATTAACGAGGTCGCTAGAGAGCTCTACCATTCTGAATACTCGGGCCAGCTTTCTCGGTCCCGTACAACGCTAGGGGGTGTTAGAAAACAGTTTCCAAGACCCTACACGCTTGTTGCTGCACTGGATTAACTGATTCTCTTCGCAAATTCATGCAGGCAAACACTCTTTAGTTCTAGAAATTAGAAGAATGCTAGGATCGAAAGTTTGAATGTCGTTCCTGCTCTTCACGGAGGCTAGTGTATCATTGAAACAAGGCTTGAACACTTTCTTGCCGTTTTCTCTACGCTATTGATGCAATTTACACTAGAACCAGAGGTTTTCAGGTGACATATATCGGGAGATATCTCGCATCTGGAAGTACGACACCAGCGGATCTTCAACCAAGCAGAAGACCTGTGGCATTTGTGGCTGGTGGCAGCGTTGGTGCCAGGTGTGGAGGCATGCCAGGCTGTGAGCGAATGAATGTTAAATGTGATATATTCGAGATTGAGAAGGGCATCTGGTCTGAAAGGTTTACTTAAAGATGATGAATCGGTAGAGAAGGAATTGCATGGTTTCAATCGCCACTTTTTGGGTGAGAAGATAGTTGCCCGGTATGGGAAAACAGGTTGATTGCTTTGGAATTCCCAGCAGCAGACTGATCTTCCACCCGAAATAGAGTATCACATTGGTTGGTATCTACACGGAACATCATGCGGGGAACACGTGTTGCGCAGGCTATGTTGGAGTATAATAAGTCGATTGATGCAGGAATACCAGCCGGCATAATCCGTCATGTGCTCCTCATCCCCGAGGGCGTAGAAATAGAGAGAACAAGAATATCGCAACAATACGAATCATCATCTCGCCGCAAGTTATCAATTCATGGATTTGCTGCGTGTTCATTATACGATAAATAGGTTTCTCAGTGAGAATTTTGCGTTCACACAATGACATTAACGTATAGAGATGTCTGGCTGGCAGAGTTTCCAAGAGATTGATAATCTCAGATTACCAAGGCTAGCTATCATTGCAAAGATTCCCGTCATCTCATTTATGAAACGGGTTCAACGGTGGTTATAGGTACGAGGTGCTCATTCGATATCTCTAGCAATATCTCCAGTGATGGACCGCGTGTAGTAAATGTACCATAATCATCACCTGGGAAAGAGATTAAAGGCAATTTTGCTTGTCAGGTGATCTGAGAGCATAGAGTTGCCGAAAGAATGAGAATACATTCGAGCTATCCAACAAGCAGCCGGAGAAAATTGGATATCTCGCCGTTCGGTCCTAAGAGCAGAGCTGCAGCAGAGAAATGCCAAAGATCACCCGGCACATACAAATTCGAAGAAAAAGAATTGGAAACGAATAACGTGCGATTGTATGGCTGTTTTACAACCCACCAGCCCGTCATACGAACCTGGCTCTCTTACTGAGTCGACTATCCTATGAGGCTATCAGTCCGAGGAGTCTCTGGTTTGATCTTGGAAAGAATCATGGCTATAATCTTCGGTTGGCCATCTATCTAATCCCACTCGATATAGTTAGAGACATTTATTTCCAGTCATAAATTGACAAGTGATGCATGTGGTTTGGAGCGGGGTGTTGAAGATGAAAGAAACTCAATAATGAGTAAATCGGGGTGATATGATGAAGCATAGAATTGCCTCAATCCACGGTTCTTTCCGCAAACTCGTCGTCTCGAAAGTACCTGATCAGATATTGAGATGACCGGTGTATGGTCGATAATCATAACTATTTCAAACCGGAACATCCAGATCGATAGCCTACCCAGCAGCCCATCCAGCAGCAGACTAAAGACTTTTGAACCGGAACATCAACGGTTCGGCGAGGCCATGGATCATCCTCGATCTACAATAACTAACAATCTCGGCTTCAGAATGAAAGAAAGCCGGATGCGACAAGTAGAAGCATCTATAAAGATCCAACTCAAATCTTTCGCCATCTTTTTATCAGGCCAAGGTCTTGGAGAGTTGGTGCCGCTTAAAGCCTAGCAACATGTTTCTCGATAGGTTCAAGAGTTTCATTGCGCAGAATTATTGCAATCATCCAACAATCACTCAAAATGACGACATCTCGTTTGGGAGAAAGTGACTCGGGAACGTTCGATTGCGCTACCACCTCGGCAATGCAACATACAGGTTGCATAGTCTCAGCTTTTGATCCCTTAACAAATATCACAGCAGTATGAACCATAGTACTATATTGACTTCACCATCCTCATCGTGATAACAATACTACACCTAGCTAGAATAATTATGGATATAAGTGGAAGGTAGTGAGAAATGGATTCGTTGGAGGAAGACAAAGCACTGACGATTGCTTAAATCTGACCCCGAAAACCAAGACAAATCAACCCAATTTCTCACCCAAGATTGATACTAGACTGAAACTAGCACCCTCGATCAATCCGATGCGAAAATTCTCACAGCAGATATAAGTGGCTTAAGCGACTCAGTAGCATCCATTGTGATGAATGAATGGCAGTGCGACTCATCTGGTTCATGAGCATAAAAGCTGACAATGAGTACTTGTGAGAAGACTGTTACCATAATTCTATGGAACAGATGCAGAAAAGGCAAAGATGTTGGAGCAATAGCTCACAAGATGTCAATATCCACTACAGCGGACCGAGCAACTGCATCGTCTATCGATTCAAAGAACCAGGAGTTACTGTTCTCTCCGTGGCCTGGAAATATCCAGCTTGAAGATAGATCGGTGGAAAGCTATTAGGGTAAATCATACTGAGAAGCGAACTGGGCCATCTATGAGAAGATAGAGAGACTCTTAAGTCCACGGCAAATGCTGGAACGAAAGTCAAGAATTTGGATCGAAGACCGAGATCCGGTTGGGAATGTAGCAGATGCTGAGCTACGAGCCCACGAGAAACCCAGTTACCCATGTGGATGGGAATGAAGTCAATGATGCTCACAAACTTGCATTGTCATTTATAAACGATGTTTAGAGGCATGTAAAGCATGAACAAAATATGTTCGACCCGAGCAATGATTGTTCGGGTCATGGTTAGGGGAAAGGATTCATTTGAATGAATCAGTCATTTTGTTTCGCCCGATACCTTCACAAGCATGAACGCTCATGCTGGATAGCTAGAGTTATCTTTCGAACTATCATCCATGAGCAAGCACACCATCAGAAAGCACACCACCAGCATATCCTAATCTGATCCAAGGTCCTTTCCATATTCTCCAAGAGCTGTCTCTTTTGATCTACCTGCAAGTTTATGGCATCGAAGGAGTGTAGATTGCACCAAGAATATGGAGCGAATCTGGGGAGTATCCGGGCACCTTTGTTCTCATTTAAGAAATACCAGAAGCTTGGTTGATAATTGTATAATATACTGGCACCTTAATAGCAAAATCTTCACCTGAGAGTGTTCCCAGACAATATCTCTCTGTCTCAATCTCTTGGACCACTTTATGAGAATAGAGCATCTCTAATTATCGGTCTCTATCTTCATCTTGTGCTGCATCCGGTGAATACCCCTCTCGCCGACGCAGAAATCGGATTCTGCAGTCAATAGCTTCTGAAACAATTTCAAAAATAAGATGAAGTTATTCACATCCCATCCCACATTCAATAACATTCTCATATCATTGATAAATATCGTCTGAAGGATTCTGAAATTGAATAGTTCATTGTGTGCCTTCAAAAGTTTAGAAATCTCGGAGGGTCGAGATATATCTACGTATTTGAGTATGTTTCGACAGATTTTTTCGAGTTCGAGAATACCAAGCACTTGGTCATGTAAAAGAGACAAAACTAGCAATCAACACAATTTTCAAGAAGTGTCAACACAAAGAAATGAAATTATTAATTCTCGTGTAGATGTTAATCCAAAATCTAGAATCTTTCGCTAAGGGGACATGCTCCCCAAGTCAAGTCTATAAGAACGCCGTGCCTTCTATTTTTATCCCTTTACCCAATGCCCATTGCGCCGGTGGCCCGCTGACCCAAAAATCTGGTATAATGTCTATGCCATGCCCATATATGTCGATAAAATACACCGCGAATAAATAACAGCGCATTCTGATCAAGCCTCGGCCTTCTGCTCTTGGGCCTCTTTGGTGGACTCATTTCTAATTGCGATATCCTTTGACAATTTCGACGTGGAAGCCTTGACAACTTCTTTCTGTGTATTTTTGATACCTCCGGCCATCTCACCCTCTACTCGTCTGTTCAAAAAACTCAAATAAGTTTGCCATCCAATCGCAATTACTCCAGCGAATATGCTCCTATGTTCTTGTGGAATCCATGCGAAACTGATTGCTGTGACGGCAGGCCATAGTTTAATACTGTTCATCATACTGGTTGGAACAGTCCTCTTCACACGCTCGACGACATCCGGTAAACTGTCTCCAGACAAAAGTGATTGCATGCCGAAGAAATATGTATTAAATATAGGAGTAAAGAACATTTGATTGACACCGACTTTCGTAGCGAGGGAAATAGCTTTCGAGGAGTAGTTGAAGTTGTTGGAGAGAAACATAAACCTTTGAATAGTTAGCTACTTTCCTCACGCCTTCTCCATTGCAGAGGGATTGAACAAGGAGACAAACCATTTGTAAGACGGAATACTGCTTCCCATGCTGATAAACAATGCCCTCAATGTACGCTTCCAATCATAATCATCTCCGCAGATGCTTTGCGCCGACAGGTCCCCGAGGAAATATATTACCAACGAACTGCAGAATTGTGTAGTATAAGGACGCTTCCGTTGCGATCGACCGTATGCCTGAAAAGATCGGGTCAAAGGACCAAGTCGTTGCCATATTGGCACATTCGCGATAGTCGCAGGAATAGGAATCGCAGTGCCATTTGGAGAGCTCTCTGGGGAGGGATTCGAATGAGGTACAGGGGTAGAGTTGTTGGAGTTGTGTCTCTTTGAAGTGAAGTTTATTTGTTTCCGATGATTTGGAAAATATGGACGTCGCAGCACAACGCGACCAGTTGTTTGAATAGCAAAGAGTGTCATGATTAATAATAATTTTTATCGCGTTAACATGTTTCGAATAAGATGTGTTGTGCAAAGCAAGATTTTGGAAATTAGATGAATTGTTTCGTATCGTGAAGGTCGGGAAATGACAACGGTAATAAAACGGAAACGGGTA